CAAAGAAATATGCACATTTCACAACCTTTTATTTGGATTATCATATTAATCAGGACAAGCATGCAAAACAGAAAAAGCATACGTGCTTAGGTTTCCGGGCCGTTGACGCCGCACTTTTCAAACAGTAATATGACGGCGGAAGAGAAATTGCGTGATAAACCTCGTTTTTCTGGTTTCGGTAAAGCGATTGAGACGGCAGAAAAACAACAAAATGTCTCGCGGGCCGGCAAAAAAGCTTCGCGGATCGGCACCGGTCTGCGGACCGGCGGTTGGGAACCACTAATGTATACAACTTGTAAAATAAACTTGCCCATATATAGCTTCGTTGGAATAGATTATGGTCTCGTAGAAAGCCTTTATAAAGTTTACAATGTTTGCATTAGACTTATTTGGTATTGCAGTCCATTCTGCATATATACCACCAAATCACGCACCGGTAAGATGGCGAGGCCTGGAATAACCTAATTTGCTGAAAAATTCACTGACAGGCAATACCAAAACAATTGCTCCATGCGGAATAATAAGGTGTTCCCCTTTTGATTAAAGTAAAATAGCAACATTTTGGATAGAATACTATAATGGGTTCCATATGACTCAGAGAAGATACTTTTTGAGAAGATACAACTCCCACCTTTAACTACGTCAAATTTGACATTGACTGATGCGGTAGCTGCGTTGTAAAGCGATTTTTTCTCACCAACAACAGCAATAATTTCGAAAAACGATCTAGTATGTGTAGTTTGCGCCCAATAACAAAAGGAAGATATATCGGGACTTCAATACTAAAAAACACTAAATATTTTAAACCACAGAACCATATCTTTTTATGTGTACAGCCCATTCTAACCACCTTTATCGAAATACTTCATTCAGTTTGGTGAAATTTAATTGTATTTTGAAATCAAATAGGAATTAATTAAGAATTGCTAAAAATAAGACAGATTTGAAGTGGAATGTGGTAATTAGAGAAGTAAACAGAAAACCAAACGTGACATTTATTTATCACGATAGACCGCGTTATTAAAGGTTAATCACGGCAAGAAACACCAATATCAAGTTTCACAATTGAAACAACTTAGCGGACGGATGACTCAAGGTGAAAACAATAAATTTGTTTTTATTGGGAAATGCCCATTCTACATTGGATATGGTAATATGCCAAGATAAAGGTTTTCTTACTGTTGAAATGGCAAAGATATTCAATTGTAGGGTGACCCCGAGAAAAAAAGAACCGAGTTCATTTGGAACATTTTATAAAGAGAACATAACTTTCGTACAAAGCGTCCCAGTTTACTGAAACTTTTGGATGCAATCATACACAAACAGGAGTTAAAGTGTTAAAAATTTTCTCCATTTTCGTAGAAGTAATTAACAAATTTATTGGTTTTGTTTTTTGGGTCACCCTGCATGCAAACACAGGGCCAACTCGGAGTCGTAGACACAATTTCGACTTCCTAGGTGTAGGGAAGTCAGGTGTCCTCTTTTGTAAGTATTCTTCTCTAAATCTAAGTGTTGCGTTTGCGTTGTTTTTAATTTTGCCGTTAACATTTTACCCGTGCATCATTCGCACAACGACAGAATTTTAAGTTGTTATTATCAACTGGTATATTTTGGAAAAAATATTTGATTATTGAGTTGAAACGGTGTAAAATGCCTAATGTGTGATATTTATCCAAATAAAATTGATTTGAAATCACTTGACTGTCACAGCTGTAAATTTGTATAGGAGGATAGGATAGGATTTACATATTTATTCCGGGAGAGAGGTAAGCCGGCCTGATCATATGGGAAAACACAGTCTCTCGTCCGGTTACCAGTCCAGGTAGTTGCCAGTTATTTGTTTTCGGAAGCATGGACTTGATGGCGGAGGAAGCCGTAACCGACCAGTGGTTATGTGAACCACCCTATGACGGCGAGGAGTCCAACAATCCTCTCGCACACAATTTTCCCCCCGCAGGTGATTCAAATCTGCGAGCCAAATCTGCGGTGCGGTGGCGAGCGTATTCCTCACGTTTAGCACTATGCGCCACACTGTCGAGCCTAGTGACTAGTTTTCTTCAAATATACCTACAGCTTGAAGTCATAAATAATTTAATCCTTCACAATGCAGCCTAATCATGACTTACACAAATTACTGAAATCAGAATCCTAAAATAACTTAAATGTTCTGACACATTAAGCTGTGGACTGTTATATACCATATCGGCCCTTACAAGTACATCTATATACTTCATATGCCATATTCAATGTTCCCTACAAGTGAATCATAGGCTGAACATAGAGCAGCAAATAGCATTAGGAGTATTGTTACACCGGCTGACAACATGACAATTGTTTCAACTCGGCGAATACGCTAATTTGGACAAGTCTGAAGATTATTAGTCTCATGATGAATTGTTCAAACCATGACTACGGAGTAATATTCTTCTACGTGGAATTTGTGCGTAGGCAGATAGAAGATTGGACGTTTTAACTTGTATGATACCTCAATATTTCAATAAATATAATTCGCTATACCGATCCGCTTTTGAGGAGCAGGGAGAATTTTGAGGAAAAAGTGCGCCTTATGACAAAATACGGTGGGCCTACTCCGCCAGTTTTATGTTGCACAGTAGGCTACTCAAATGGACATGAGTGGTGATAACTGTTAAATTAAAGGATTTCCTCTTAACTTTTTTGTAGCGACTCGATGGTCCTCGATGCCTCATTGAAAGAACTTTAAAAGCTCTGCTACATTTTTCCATAGATAAACGTCAATATCAGCTGCTTATATGTAAATTGTAAGCGCCTGACTGTTTGAAAAACTGAACAAGGTCCGAAAGTTATTTAGTTGAAGTAGGTCTAAAAGCTGTAATAGCTCAGTAAACGGAATGGTGTGCATGCTTGTAAAAAATGATGTAGACAATTATTGTTTACTGATTTCATGCCCGAGATAAGCAATATAAAGCTTTGTAACCGGGCGTCCTATTTTTTTTTAATTGACTCAAATTGGACTTGCACAGTTCTTTAGGTGGAAGCAGAGAAAATATAAACCAGACATGCTAATAAAGATCCCTGGTTGACAATTTTTTTAATTTGGCTCCAGACTCCAAGTTGAGGGAAATATTGACTCCGGCAGCATCAAATTTTGATAACTACATTTTGATAATTACATCTTTGATGTAAGACTTCTTTAATATTCCTTTGAGAATGCTTGATTACTCTGATTACTTTCGAGTTTCTGTTAGAAGTTTGGACAAAAATTATCGCCATTTAAATTTTGAAATACCGACTCTTTAGAATTCATTCATTACTTCGACGCTGGTACTTATATGCCCATCAATTAAAATATACGTCACACTCCTATTCAATAGCTATGTATTTTTGATCTTGCATTGAGTCACAATTAGGGCTGGTCATTTTCGAACACCCGATGATTTCAGAACCGAATATAATATTTTTTCGAATCGAATACTTGGAAGAAATATAAGGGGCTGTATTGACAGTTTTACTGTACTGGGTCTTTCCGACCGATTCGAATAATTTACTGTTCGACTCGAAATGCCCTAGTCAACATACGAGGGTCGAGATCAAAAACAAACTGTCAAACTATTGATCAAGATGGATATATGATCCTAATTTACGTGTTCACTATAGTTATCCCATATTTTTAGAGTTTATTTTTTACAATTCATTTGACATATACCACGGCGAATTTGCGTTTTCACATCACCAATTCTATGATTTCACCATCCATTAGATTAACATAAGGAACATATTTTTCATATAAATCACCACCCCGCATATTTGTAATATAAGGCCACAGAAACATAAACAAAAATGGCATTACGAAAGTACAGGCGGGTAGTATCTAAAAGCATTCATAATAGCACGATACCGCGACACGTATTTTGATGCCACACTTACGAAACTCAGTATCCAGAAAAATAGAATTTTTAACACAATCTGCGACGAAAAGAGGTTGGACTTAATAATCAAATCTCGATTCTATGACCGCATATGAAATTCCAGGCCATTACTGTAATAGTCTGAAAACATTCGTATATGTTGTAACAAGGAAAATTCGGACCTCGTGAAGTATGCGCACAACCTGAACTCAGGTTGTTAGGGTTCAGGTTATGCGACATCTTGGTGCGCATACTTCAGGAGTACCGAGAGATCTTTTGCGATGTCAGCCGTAAACACTGCGTTTAGAATGAAAATAGACATCGAAAATGATCAACGTAATGTATGTTTATATAAATTAGTCCTATTCAGATAGCTCGATCGCGCTCTTATCTCTTCATTATATAATCCGAAAATCCATGATAACATTTGTATATGTTTTTGATATTCAATTTTGTTAATAGTCGGGTGATGTTACCTTAATCTTCGAATGATCTGACTCACTCTGATATACCTACGGTATCGCAACTTCGCCCCAGCGACATCCACAAAAACGCGATATCACATCTGGCAGTGCTGGTTAGGGTGTCCAACTGAAAATCCGGGCTTTGGAGCACTTTTAAAACCTGGAATCAGATTTTTTTTAGCCAAACCTTTTAGTACTTTACAAAGTCATGCTCTCTTTAGACTTCTAAATTCACACTAGGCGTTCGAAAATGTGTGTGCAGATAGTAATTCAAAAACTGTGAAGGCAGCCGCAGCCGTTGTTGTAACTCGTGGGTGGGTGTTTTAAATTTAAAAAATATCAAACTAGGCTGGCGCCGAGTGCTTTGTCCTGTTCCGAACAGGAAGAGAATGCTTGTAACGTAGAATTGAATAAAACCAATTATTCATCAGAACTGCTTTAAATTTATAGATTCATTCAGAATTCTTATTTTGCAATATAGAATAAAAAATTAGAAGCATCATCTCACAAGAAAATGTAGCTCACAAAAACCAGAGTTTGCGATTGCCAAAACCCGAATTTTAAAATAATAGACCTGTTTCGGACACTCTAGTGCGCAGACTTGAACCGAATAGCCATTGATGAACGCACAAAGATAGAAAGAAAAGAATTACAATTCTATAGTGTATTAATCTTAAATGACACGCTATTCACAATTTATTGTACAAAATATAGCAATGGCAGCATCGAAAGTTTAGAACAACCTACGTGGAATAAAGAAATCAATTCAGATTTGAGCAGTGCGAGACAAGAGATTAATTTACCGGCAGTCTAATGGAAAAAAATATTGTATCCATTCGCCAGAAAGAGGGAGAAACAAAGGGCAGTTAGAATAAAAAAGAAAGTAAGTAAAGTGCTCAGAAAATCTCTTAAAAGTGAAATGTCTAAAGAATACGCATGTAGATGCTTGAAAATTAAAAAAAGAATACTATTGCTATAGCAGAACAACAGTGACCCATTCTCCTACAGCTTGACCCCCCAAAATCAAAACACATTATTTGGAACATATTTTAGAGAGAACATAACTTTTGAGCAGCAAAGCGTCCTATGAATTCACATTATTTTCAATAATTTAGAAATTTATGGGTTTGTTTATTTGGGTCACCCAATGCTGCCCTTCGCAATCAAACCAAGAATCTTAAATTCACAGGTGATGAACGATTGCATTCCCTCTATTGTCGATTTTATTTCACAATAAGCTTGGCATCAGTGTCACTGCATCCTCTTCATTGTCATCTAGTGGATTATTGTCTGAATCACATTCGAGTGAATCAAGTGGAGTTTTCAATCGACTGGAGCGACGACAAGGTGATGGAAATATAAAATTGTTTCCAGCTTTTGTGCTAAAATGGTTGAAGAAAAATAATGGAAAAAAAAACGTCATTATAAACTAAGTTGAAAAAAGGTGAAAAATCTGTAATATCCAGTCATATCAGGTGAATTATGTATAACAAGTTACCATCACCACACACTAAAAGTTTCAAGACAATGGAGACAGAGAAAATTTACAACATAGGCTACTATGAAAAAGATTTTGGCCAGATTCCAGTGTTAAGAGAAATCTTTATTCAAGACTAAGATTTTAATAACAAACTTTGTGTTATAGTGTATGAAAGACTTTTTTGAGACTGTGAGGAACGCTTGGTAAAATTATTGCTTTGAGTTTTTGTAGGAAATTTGAACTTCCTTTATTACATTGAAAGACTGCGAATGTGACTCAAGACTTCACAGACTCTGGGGAATTCAGATATTTGACTCCAGCAAGTTTGAAAATACGACTTAAGCTCCATAGAAAAATATTCCAAATTCAGACATCATGATCCCGGTTTGAAATCCTGCAAAAAATCCAGGATAATCCATCTACAATCACACCAGCCCTGGTGATGTGGTCAGGTGGCTTGGCATACATCCTACCAAATTTATTGCACTTGGGATAAGATGGTTGTGCATTACCCGATAAATTGATTTAGGAGAACTGTGTAAGTGTGAAGGGTAATTTTGTTTGTCTTCTTTACATCAAGTTGAGTACAGGGACTGAAACCTATGGACAGGGGGTATATTCACTTGGCTAACACAGACAGTCCCCGAACTCGTAATAGAACTAAAATAAGGAAAATGGGAATGATATGGCCTAACTCTAACCTGGAACACACACTACGGGAGTACCGAGAGAAAAATAAATGAAAATCTTACATTTTCTTATCTGCAGCACAAACTGGTGCTTTATTGGTTGTCAGAGGTGAGAATGACATCAAATCAACACTTGATGCCTCAGATATTCCAACCTAAAATGTTATGGATGAAATCAGACTATGTAAACAAAATATTTCTTGAGTTTCCACGAAAACGCATTTGCCCAAAATAACACATGCACAACACTTGCATGTCATACAAAAAAATAAAACATGTATTATAGACATACTGCCAAGAATACCAAATCCCTGTAATGCAAGAACAGCACACAGATGACATTAACAATATATATATGTACAAGGTAGACTATAAGGTAACATATATTAATAATAAATAAATTTATTACCTGTAACCCTAATTTTGCTCTTTCCTATATATTATGTTTTCACTCTGAACAGAGCTATGGATGGAAAGGTCAGTCTGGCTTTGCCAACTAAGATATTTTAATCTGGGGGAAAGTAGCGGCCAGCGGGCATGTCGCTTGAATCATACCTTCTCAACCAGGGGGCCCGTGCTCCTCCCCTCAAGGGGGCACAGAGCTATTAGAGGGGGGTGGGCACAATTCTAGATGCAAAACTGATTTTACTTTTCACTCTTCAAGAAAACTCACCATTCTTTCTAGCTTCATTGCGTGATAACGATATTTCATAGGATGTTTTTGTGAAAATGTGGAGCATGAACTGCTTCTACATAATGGGATTTGGAATCTACCATCAAAATACCACTGTAATGATAAACAGTGGGGCCATGAGTACTGAAAACCTACGAAAGGGGGCCACAAGTCATAAAAAAGGTTGGGAACCCCCCATACCCGTCGACACCAACATGAATCCAATGCTCTGATCACTAGACCAACCATGCCAACGTCAATCCAACGCTATCAAATACTCGGTCATTTATATTTCAATAGAACTTTACCTCAGATGATTTCATGAAAGGTGACATTGGATTGCGGCAAGACTTTCTTTTATTTCTTAAAATCATTCCAGGTGAATCAGTGTTCACTTGCACTGGTTGTTTAGACGAATCAAAATCAATATTGATTGACATAATTTTTGGTGAACTTTCGAAAGAATCTGTATAATACAAATATGAGTTGAGATATGGTCAGGGATATTGAGAAAAACCTATTGGAAAAGAATCTAGAATACTAAATAACAGGCAGCTGGTAGCAAGAAAGTTTGCATTCACTGATTCACTGCCGCTGATTGAATTATACTTGTCATACCTAATCATATTAACGTTCACCATGACTGTTTTACTTTCCTGAGACCGTGCCCAAGTATTGGCTGAAACGACCATGCCAAAAAGATGATGCCAAAACAGTCCAACCAGAGCCTAAGAGGCCAAACCAATAATTTCGCAAAGCTTTTTAGACAATTATCTTGCCGGCGCAAACTATTCTGTTCGAAAATACATTCCATCAGTAAGGTGCCACTTTTTATTTTGATTCATGCCTTTACGCATGATTCATGACTGAAGCAAATAAATTCAATTTTAATCAAACAGTAAACTCTTACGTTAAGTGTGGTTACTCAGTTTGGCCATACCAGCGGTTGAATGGAAAATTAAGATTTGAGAATAGATTTTGAATAAAATTTGCTCCTGCACACTCACTGAAACACGAAAGAAAACTTAAACTACAAGACACACGTACCCGAGACAGAAGGCATCAGATACTTCAGTCGAATCCATGTTTTCAGATTATTCTCTGGCTTGTTTCTTCAATTGAAATATTATTTATTATTACTTATCTATTTTAATCGATAAATATGTTGATTAAGTATTTGTCTGTCTTTTTGTCTGTTAGATACCGCGATATCTCACGAAAAAGAGATTGGATCTGCTGCAGATTTTGCATGTGCATCCATCATATCTCGTACCATAGCCTATTGATTTTGGGCGAATTATGTTGTATAATTAGCGAGTTATCAATTAATTAGTGATGGGACACAAGGTGTCACTATGGAGTAAGAGCGCTGTTTTGGGCGATCCCCTAACTTTTGATCGATAAGTCTTCGTCTCTGACCTATATTCTGTTTGAATTTTAATTAAAATATCACACAATACATTATGACTGTCACAGGGTGATTTAAAAAATTACTTGGACAATTTTTTTTTTATTACTACATATCCCCGCGTATAAACCGAGTTGAAACTAAAAAAAATAGCCAAACCAAGGGGTCTGCTAATATAAGCATAACTCCGATCATACTCAAACAAAATAGCATTATACTAACTTAATTCCAAAAGCTACAACTCTAACCATACTCCCCTTATATGTGAGGATATACCATGGATTTGGCATATTTGCACTCATTGCCCATTATTGAACTGATGAGTCGTTTTTGAGATTAGTTGTTTTGATTTGGTGACCATAAGTTAATACTAATGGTTGGATGATGAATAAATATTTATCTATGTAACGAGTTATAAAAAAGGTACCGGTACCTACTTGCCCTAGCCTAGATTCTAAAAATAATTTTCAACAAATACCTCGGTTTTAGTTTGTCTCATACATACCAGGTTCAGAAGGAAGTAAATATTTCATTTCCAGCCCACAACTGTCTTCTTCTTCACTTTGCACATCATCAAAGTTGAGTTTCAAACCTTTAATTTCATCTAAAGTTAGCAAGTATGTTGGTCAGTGAATACTGATTATATTTGTATAAGACAGTCAACTTGAATTTGCAAAGTAAATATTTAATCTTATACCGCATAAGGAATGTAATGAAATATATCAAGAACTAATTGAGATATAAAATGAAACAAAATACCATGACAATTTTGTCAAACATAGGAATAAGATGAAATAATCAGGGATAAGAATGTGACACCCTTTTTCAACTACAAATTATAAATATTCGGAAAACAGCTTCAGCTGACTCTCGATTGGAAAAAAACTCTAGAAATGACATGGGTCATGAGCACACTATGGCCCACAGGCCAAATCCAGCCCGCCTGATGCTGCCACAACAACAGTTAAACCCAATTTTGATGTTTATTTGTAACACTGTAAATATTGTTCATAAAATGTAATTTTTTATGGTCCCTTGTCCACCCCTGCTCTTAGAGTCCGACTACTGCTGCCCACTCCAAGGAAAACAAATTTGCAACAACTTAAACTTCGATGTATGCAGGTCTTCTTAATTTGACAGTCGAGAATGCTTAGTCAGCTTCTGTCTAAGATTTTGACGTCATCACCAAAAGAAATTTGGGGAAATTTCGACACTGACCTCAATATTTGAAATTTACATTTTGTCTGTGGAAGTCGGAAATATCCAATCAATAAATATCAATCAAATAATAAAAGCTTGACAAATTCGGACTCCTTAGCCCAAGAAAGAACACTGGATTGAATATACAATGCATGTTTATATACCTTTATTTTTGTCTTCATCTGAAATTTCTTTACTTGTATTATTCAACTTCAATGTCGGTGAAGCCTGCATATCTTCATTGCAACTTGTATTCAATTCATCTTAAGATTTGAAATTAAAGCTGATTTAGCCTTGTTCTCTTATGTATGAACAGCCCAGAATGGATAAATGGTTTTTAATTACTCAATTTTCCACTTTGTAGGCTAAATATGGCACGATATACCATGAGTTTGTGAACTAATCTAAGCTGCAGTATCATATCACACACATTTTATAGAAGGAATTTCCCTGTCTTGAGGTTTTCTGCACACAGGTGCCAATATACAAGCTTGATGTAGATATATTACAAACTAGAAAGGAAGAAGAAATAAATATAAAAGTAGAAAATGACATAAAAATGAAAGCTACACTGGTGGAATAATCGAGAAGTTCAGGTGCAAAATACAAATTTTAATATTCTAATAGCTCTTCATATTCCTCATGCAATTCAGGCCATTTTACAACAATGCGGTCAAAGTTTGAATCCTGTAGGCAGCAATTTTCAAAGTAGGTGATAACGCCTCTAGGGGTGATAGAGGGAGCCTACTTCCTTCTCGAAAATTCCTGATAGATAAATTTTACGGATTGACTAAGATTTCAACGGATGTTAGAAAACTTGTTGAAGATCCCTTTATTTAAACACTTTTTCCTCGTCAACTTTATATTTTTTTGCGATGTTGGGGGCGATGGTAATGTATGGAATAATGCAAGGGAGCAGTGGTACATAAAGATTTTAGAACCACTTCTGCAGGGGACAATTATATGCGAGAAAATTGTTGGGCTGTTTGCCACCTCGAGGAAGTATGAACTACATCAGTGGTTCCCAACCACCGGTCCGTGAAGCTTTTTTGCTGGTACGCGAGAAATTTGGTTGTTTTGATGTTTTTATGCAGTCTCAATCGCTTTACCGTAGACAAAGTTGCGTTGGCTCATTACGCAATTCTCTTCCGTCGTCATATTGCGACGTCTTTCGCAACATCTTGACGCCGTCTTACGCGACATCTTGGCGCCAAGCATTCACACTTTTCGCCTCCGATTCATCGCGAATGCGCTCCTTCAAATCTCGCAAAATTGAGAAGCTTCAAATCGACACGCGTCCTTTTTCTGTTCTGCGTGCTTTTCCTGATTAATATGACCACCCATATAAAACGTTATGCATATCTCCACCTTTTAAACCAGAAAACAGTCAAGAACAGTATAATATTCCAGTAAGATATTAACTTGTTGCGACCCCACAGGTGGTCACGAGACGTGCAAAAAAGCATGGGCCGCAGAGATCTTTTCCAGACTCCAGTAGAATTTTAAGCCTGTTGCCAAGTTACCGACGACTTTGTCATTGTAATGCATATTCATTTCGTTTGAGGTGTCGATCAACTGCAGAGGGATTAATATGATGAACCCAATGAATGAGAAAAGACTTGATTAAAATGGCGATTCTACTTTACAGTCCAGAATCTGGACTCCAGATTAAAAAAGAATTACTTATCACAATTTTAGATATCTCTTGATAACGAATACTCATCGCCAAGTAATCGAGCAATCAAACTGTTGCGAAAACTCATTGCGAAAAAACATTTTTATCACTAGATTCAATTAAAACGAAGCAAAGAAATCGGCTGCACGTGGCTGGAGAGCTACGTGTTGCAAAAACTTCTTTGAGGCCTCGTTTGTAATCTTATATTCGAAACGAAACAGCAGCAAAATTCTCACAGGAGTTAATTGTGTTTGTACATGATTTGTCATGTACCTGTTTTTAATGTGAGATATTTTATGCGTGCCTTTCTTACGCATAATGGGTGCCCAGCACTGCATTTCATTACGCAAATATATGGTATTATTTTATGTTTCACCCAATTTTAATTTTTGGTCTGCACATTACTTGATAGTTTTTCTCCGTGTGAAATGTTTTTAAGTGTGCTTTTTTTTGTCTAGAAGCATATTGAGTGCCCGACATTGCATTATATTATGCAAATATATGTTATTCTTTTCTGTTACAGCCATTTTAATATTTTGCCGGTCCGCGAGTATATTTATCTAATTTTACTGGTCCGCCAGGTTAGAAAGGTTGGGAACCCCTGAACCAAATGGCTGGTGAATTAATCCCATTATCAACATGGACTGACTGGTAACCAGTCGAGATGCAGTGGTATGTCATATGATTAAGCTGTCTAATCAGCCTCCAGCTTTTCCAAGATAAATATGAAAACTATGTCCTATTAGCAAGTCTCACCCGAGTCTGGTCGAGCACCTGGTAATGGAGTTTTCCTCATCACTCTCTTTCTAGGTTGACTCCCAATTGGTGTTGCTTGCTTTACATCCTTTTCATCATCTGAATCTTCAATATTAAATCTTGCTTTTCGTTTTTTATTTCTTGGTGAAGCAAAAGATACATTCTTACCACCTGTACGAGAGATTAGGGTTAGCCCATAATTTTATTCAGATTTCCCTTAATTTAGTTCTATTACGAGTTCGGGAACTGACTGTGTTAGCCAAATGAATATACCCCCTGACTATAAGACTGGAGCGCCAAATTGGCAATGTAGAGCCAAATAATTGCAGTAATTCAAAATTAGTAGATGATCCATATGTATCAATGGCCGTCTATATAGTGTTCTGTTCGCAGTGACAATGCTTAATGAAAAACACTATAAAGGGCGATTACAGCAAGTCAAAATTATGCATATTACAACTCGTAATAGAACTAAATTAAGGGAAATCGGAATAAAATTATAGGCTAACCCTAATCTCTCGTACAGGTGGTATTTCTTGGTGAAGCAAAAGATACATTACTGTTTTCTTACAATTATGTGGACTAGAGCGCCTTCGGAGCACCTCACATTTTTTCGTGAAACATGCGCGCCCGCAAGGGTAATACTCCGTCTTCAAACGCACCGCCGATCACGCGCCGCGGTTTTGCACAACTACTTCATTTTTGTACAATTTAATATGGTTTTTTCATTGTCAAACTCTTTCAATAGTGTTATTGTTGGCACTTGCGAGAGAATGAAAGAGGCAAACAACAATTAATTATTATCGCTAAAAAATTAATTAGATCAAAAATTGTTAGAAACAATTTTCAATTTTCGGTAGGTGATCCAAGTTCGCCCCCCCCCCCCCAAAATTATGGAAAGTGTCCGCCCCTGGTCATATTCACAGGAAATGGCAAATATCAATACTGTTTCGAATTTATCAAATTTCAACATATGATATTTTGTCTTGTAACCCTCGATTTACAAAGCAAATGAATAACAGAGTGTTTTAGCGATAGAAAGAGATGTGGATAAAAGTTGGATGCAACATCTCCCTTATTATGAATAAACAAGAATCATTAGTTCTTTACCTTTTTCTCTCTCTTCGCTAGTTTTCTCTTCTTTTTTAGCAACTTTAATTGTTGTTTGATCAGTGTTTTCATCAGAAGATGACTCTATAACAAGGAACATTATCCCAACATTAAACAATTTGTAATGTAAAAGGTGGGGGCCATGATTTAAAACCGTGGTGCGCAAACTGCGGCCCGCAAAGAAAAATTATGCAGCCCAAGTGCCAATTTTGAATGGTGAGTGGCCCGCGAAACATGCGCGTAATCCCAATCTCTTTGCGTTGCAAAGTCAATACCAGAGTTAAATTTATGCTTTTGCAAAGTGAACAACGTGTGTCATAAGATAAATAACCAAAATTTTTGTGCCTGCAACTTTTAAAAAGCTTTTGTTAAAAAAAAGTGCAGCCCGCTGTTTCACCCAGTTACTTGTGTCTGGCCATTTTGTCCATTTTCTGGCCACTTGTGTCATTTTGAAAAAAAAAAAGACAGAAGACAAATTCAAAATTCATAACACTATGTGACTGGCGATGATGTGACCCAACTACAAGGAATAATGGGATGAAATTATTTGAGCGCAAGCTGAAATTGTTCGACACAGTTTTTTGAAATCACCAAAATTTAGAATAAATCAAGGGGTCCCCGGGATCCCACAAACCTAGTGGTTGGGGCAACGAGTTAGTTTTGAAAACATATGTCATAGCACATTAGAATACCCAGGGGTGATCACAGATTCAAATCACCTGGTTCCTCTCTGTCATAGGATGGTTCACGTTAATTGTTGGTCAATTATGACTTCCGCAACTTCAAAGGGCGCTCTCAAACTATGTGAAACAAGATGGCAGACACTGGAACATAGTATGTGTACCAGGTAAGGGTTAGGCTTGGGGCATAATTTTCTTCCATTTTTCCTTACTTTAGTTCTATTACGAGTTTGGGGACTGCCCAATTGACTCCCGTAGTATTTGTACCTAAAATTATGGCCTAACCATAACCTGGTACACATGCTACGTTCCCGTGTCCCCCATCTTGGTACGCATACTTCAGGAGTACCCCATAAAGTCCATTCATCTGAACGAATATTATTCTTATACCTGACATGGTAAGCGAACAAGAGAGAGAGTGCGGTTTGTTATGATTATCATTATAGATTTTTCTCTCCACGGAATATACATAAAAATTCTATCCTAAATCCTAATATAAAGCTTCCTATGACAGGCTTTCATTTCTAACCATTGAAAATGTGGAAGCGATTAGATAAAAATGATATATTTTCCACCAAAAAATTATCTAAAAATACAGACCACACTCAGATATATCTGTAATACAATGATATAATTTTCAACAATGTCAACGTGAATAAGCAATGGAACTTACCACTCGCCGATGATATGATCATAGGAGCTTTTCCAGGTTTTCTTCTTTTTACTTGGTTTGAGGCAAAAGGTGTAGAACTGTTAATAAGATAAAATTATCCATTTAGACTTGAGTGCAGTCATTATTTTAAAAAGAGGTTTATGCTGATACAATTCGAAACAACCTTGTGCTTAAGAGACAAAAATTATGCATTGCTAAGAGCAAAACACTGTTGATTAAACTCTGGCATTCTGTCTCACCCACCCACTTCCCAAGAATGATTATAGATAGAAACATATTTAATTTCAACAAAATGAATCATATTCAGATATATATGAATAACATTATAAAAAAGCGCCATTATCAATGCTAACTCATAGTCATAGGTGTTAACTTAACACAATATATTAGGACCCAAAATTGAGCAGTGTAAAATAACGCTGAATATGATAACCCAATTAATAAAATAGTTTTTAGATAGTTTCAGCAATGTCGATTAATTAGGACTGGGAATGGCTAACCGGTTAACCGATTTTAGATGGTTACCGGTTACGATTTATTTTAACCGTTAACTTACATCTCAAGTACAAATCATCATTATAATGTACAATTCTTTCAAAAATGATTTCCTACTCCATCGCAAATTCATCTCCCGTGGCATTCAATTCAAAAGAATATCACTAACTGTATTGGTGAAGACCCAATAAATGTGAAAAACATTTGAAGTACCAAGATCACTGATTATTAAAATTTGGTAATAATTAATTATGATAATCGATCGAAATAATTGTTCACGATTTTATTTCGAAATCGTATATTCAATGTCAACCAACAAGTGTGTAGTTGATGCTGTTTTTTTTTTATATCTCAAAGTAGAATTTGCAAATCAAACACTGAAAATTTGTCACGTAAAAGACATTTGATAACGGAATCGGGTTTTATTAAAATACTTCCATATATCCAAACCATGCTGCATATCTCTTGCAGCAGAGCAATCATAAAACTATCTCAATTCTTGAATAATTTTGAACGATACTGCCATAAGATCACGCGAAATTGCTTTGTGACGTAACAACTAAAATTATAAATTATTATGTGAAACGTCAAGATGCGGTTAACCGTTTAATTTTACTCGGTTAACGATTAAAGTGTTTTCCCTGAAATTCTCAGCCCTGTTATTAATATTATTACCTGGAAAAATTCATCGATCCTCCATTTGCAGAAAATACAAAGGATTCGTTGGAATTAGGCAGCACAGCAGAGAAAGTCATATTTTTCAATCCAGCTGGTGCTTTAAAAACATGGTTCACTGGAGCAAAAGATTCTGAAAATTTATCGTCGCTTCCTGACTGGGGTCTGTTCCGAACAATTTGATTATTTTCCGATGGCTTTTCATTGTGCGTCTCTTCATGGGAAAGTTGAAAATTCGTTTCCTATATTTACAAAATTAAAGATGGGAGAATAATGTACATGGGTAACAATGGGTACTAGATAATCACCCTTAGAAAGTTTCCTCCATGCAATGTGGACTGTAGTCGAGTTATTGACTATATCCATTGATATTCCATGTTCAAAGATATGAGTGAAAAATGATTTCAGAATAGCAGATTATTCGGTTTTGGCCATCCTTGATTTAACTGGCTAGTGGTTACGCAAATCACTCTACGATAGTAATCATTCCTAACAGTATTCTAGCTGGCCTAATCACATTATGTAAACATCCATGTATGAATGAACTGGAATACATTAAATTCTAATGATTAGAAGAAATCAAAAATCTGAATATATTACCTTCAAATTTCCACCAGTATCAGGTTGGACTTCATCTGCCCCATTCACATTTGAAGCAAGCTTTGCATCCTGTATAGGAAAGGCATTGTATTTATAAAGTTCGTAGACTAAACGTTATAGAACCATAAAAATGTATAGTAATATGAAAAAAACTAAAATCTCAACTCCTTAATTGTCTTGTACCAAACCAGGTTAGGGTTAGGCCATATGTTTCAGTCCCTCCACACAACTTGATGTAAAATAGGCAAACAAAATTAGTTACCTCCATATTGGTACACATACTTCCGAAGCGCCCAAAGTTGTTATCATATCAGTATCAAAGATCAAAACTTTAGAGTAAACAAGACATTGTCGATAATACGAAATTATTTGCCATACCTAATACATGTTTAAATACTATTTAAGCACATATTCAACATTGGAATTTGCACAAATCACTGAATTCAGTAATTTTGAAAGTTCAAGAAAACATTTTTTTTCTGATTGAATTCTATTTTCAGTCTTAGAAGTTGAGTGAAGTCCTATATTTATTATTTTGTGAATTAGATATTATGATAGATGCTAAAAATGATAAATTTTTATATAAATTATCCCTAAAATTGAGAATTAGTTTATCGAATATATCCATTTTTGAATGTGTTCGAATTTCCCGCAGTGTGTGTCCACCAGGTTAGGAATAGGGCAAAGTTTTATTTCCATTTTCCTATTTTAGTTCTGTTACGAGTTCGGGGACTGTCTGTGTCAGCCAAGTGAATATACACCCTGCCATAGGTTTCAGTCCATTTACACAACTTGATGTAAAGTAGGCGAACAAAATTTAGCTACCTTATATTGGTACACACACTTTGGATAAAATAACGCCAGCAGTGTTGCAATGAAAAAAAAATTAAAAGAATACTAATAAAAATGCAAGCTAAACTCAGAATGATTAGAATGATCTTACATCAGCATCAATTTCTTCCGCTGATTCAGCTTTTGTACTTTTTTCAGGTTTTACAACTTTTTGTCGTTCATTGTTTTCTTCTTTGTGATTGCAGCCTGAAAAATGAATTCATTTGTGTAATTTAGAGAGAAATTTTCTAATTTATCTCAAGGAGAGGAAAGTCAATAAGACGGCAAGATCATGTGGCAAACCACTGCATCCTATAACATCTAACTACATTACGGATATGGAGCTATTAATTTGAAAGGATCAAAATTATTCTGGTTCGGCTTGCCCAATTTATTACACACAAGGTAAGATGATAGTCATGAGTTTGAACCCAAGATATGTAACTTTCGACGATGACACATTTAAGTTCAAGACAGGGGTGAGTAAGGTTTTTGTACCAGGGGCCAAAAATTTCACCCCTTAAGACTGGCGGGCCACGTAAGCGTGACATAAAAAGTTACATTTTATGAACAATATTTACAGTGTTACAAAATTAAAAGTGGAAAACAATAAACTTAGTGCAAAAACTAAATTTGATTGCAATCTCAACAAATAACTTCAGCTATTTTTTAGCTAAAACATCAAAATGTGGTTTTAATTTGGTTGTGGCAGCATCAGGCAGAACAGATTGAATTACCCAACGGGCCGTAGTTTGGCCATGTCAGGTTTATCACAACAATCGCTAGGCCACAGGCATTTAGTTCAATGCGCGCGTCACGCACTTGTGTTTACATTTTCATGTTTTTTTATCAATATATTACATAAAAACAATATCTATTTTATTTTCTAAGCTAGCTAAGATAGCCAAGCTATTTTCCAGTGCTGAAAGAATTTCCAATTAATGAACTAATGACATTATTATCGAGCAGAAAGCTAAAAATGGAAAAGCAAATCGAAAAATCTTCAAACCTTGCGAGTTTGTGATCTTGTAGTTCGTATGTGTACCGGTAGTTGAATACTGTTTTGTTTTTCTTGCAAAAGTTTATTATTTTTTAAAAAAGACTCGGGGAATGTGATGATAATTGTGATGTTACCTTACTGAGTGGAATGAAAATTTAAACAAAAAAAGTAATTCAAATTACGATGTTTAGAATTAGGACTTGCACAGTATGCGAGAATAACTATTAAACTTCAGTTACACTATAGTTTATGGCATGTTTTTTATCTTTGCCATGAATAAGGCCTATAGTCAAGGACATAGTTGCAATTTTTCGAATAATGAGATCTTTTCAGGATCAAAACCAGATTTTTAGCACAGTTGAACAAACAGCTCTACAACATAAATCAAAAAAAGTCGAAGACAACAACAATCGTGTTACTTTTTCTGGTGCTTTTGATGGCTTTATTTCTGTAGAGCTGGATTTAGAGCTGGATGTTGCAGCCTGGAATAAAATGTATAGATTATAGAGAAGTTCGATACAATTTGAAATCAGCTGTAACTGTAACTCCTAATTTCATTTAGTTACGAATATTGATTATGCCTTGAGTAAATATCAATACACAACTTACGTTAGAGGTTCTTGCGTACCAATTATCCTCGTATTTTATTGTCGAAGATACTTTAAATATAGTTTGTTTTTCTTTTTTCTTCAAGTCAAATTTTTTCCTTTTTCTTTCTTTTTTCCAGTCTTCTAGCATTTGTTTACGGTTTTCTAGAAAAAAATCATAGTAAAAAAATATAGGAAAAATAATCTCATTAAAAAAAGTTATTGATTAGCCTACTATAAAATCTTTTTTTTTTGTGAATGAAATAATTCCATTCGTAGTTTCAGTATTATTCTGAAGGTATTCATCTCTGCATATGTACTGGGATCCAAGAACACAGTGATTCCAAAACTTTTTGCTAGTGCGCCAAATTATCAGGGAAAAAACACCATAGCGCATAAAAATCAAATCGAACTATTGTCAGGGCAGTTTTAGGGGGACACAAATCAACTGTTTGATCATAATGGGATCCGCGAGAGAAACCCAGGGGCTCCGTGAGAGAAACCCAGGGGCTCAGCGAGAGAAACCCAGGGGCTCCGCGAGTTATTCGATTACTCTTCAAATTACTGACTACTTTTGTAACTGTTCAAAGAAGCAACAGCTTTGATAAAATCTGACAACAATATACCCTCGAAATATGGCAAAGAGGCGGAATTAAAAAATGACATCATTTATAAGCAGGAGCGCGGCCAGGATTCTTAAGAGGGGGTTTAAAATTGGAATCGGAAATTTCCGCGCAACATTCTTCACGATTAAAAAAGGGGATAACGAGATTTCTGTTGCGTAAAGTATTCAATCCATGACCGATGCGGGCATTTGATGTGTCTCGTCATTATAATGTAATTGTGCTCATCGTTACTCACGTTTGATTCGAGATTACTAATAGCAATAGGATTCCTAAAATAAAAGATTACTATTCTAAAACAACATAAAATATGTGATAAACTGCCAACTATAAATAAATTGGAGTCGTATTTTTGCGATCTTGGGATTTGTCAAACTTGATTTGTTCTTTCGCACTTTTATTATTTTTAAGCAGGTATCGCGGTTTAAAAATCACAATGTGTGGGCAAAATACGAACAATTGAAATTTATTTTATTGCATTCGGCTCCATTGGTAGTTTCAGAATAAAAAAAGGTACATCGCAGATCGCGCGCACAATTGAATGCGTGCGGCTCCGTCGGTAGTTTCAGAATGAGAAAAAGGTAGGCTACATAGCGCGCACAATTGACTGTGTTTCGATTACGCAGTTACTATGAAGAAAACCTAACATAACACCAAATTTTGTGATTTACAATGTCTGTAAAAGCGTTTTCATACTGAGGTGAGACTGCTGAAACCAAACCAAACCAAATCTTCCATTTTAAGTTTTATTTTTAATATTTTAGAATGCTGCTTTTCAATTTAAAAATTTGAGTTGCGGATTTACCTCTTTATTGATTATTATTATATTAGCATGTCGTCGCCGATGACTATAATATGGTAACATGTTTTTCACATTGAACTCATAATTCCCCACGAGAACAAAAAAGCAATTAACGTCGTCATTGTGTAACATTACATTTATATGCCGAGGGAAATTTTTGATTTAGGGAGAATAAACACCGGCGTAATGAGGTTTAAAGGTTCAAAAACACGCCATACTGACAAAAAAATTCGGCGATTGTAACAAAATGCAATGGCGCACGTTATTAGCGGCCTTTCAAGTCTTCTAAAAATGTCAAAAGGGAAAAGATTCGACCCCTAATTTATTAATATGTTTGTCAAGTGTCAAATTTACAGCTTCAGTCTATATAATTTATGTTAAAAATTTAGATTTATTTATGACTTATATTAACCCTATTAAAAAAAGTTCAGCATTTAAATTAGGTAAAAGTACTTTTAACTTGCTCAGGAATATTAATCTGAAAGTAACAATTTTAACATTTATTTCGGGGCTCCGTGAATATTAATCAACCTTTTCAAGGGCTCCGCAACACCAAAAGTTTGAGAACCCCTGGCCTAAGCCTCTTACTTGGTTGTTCATCGATGTTATTTTTCTCTTTAAGAGGAGACAAATCAGTTCGTTGTAAAATTTTCTGTCTGTTCTCTCGTTGTGCAAGTGATCTTCTTTTAATCTTGTCCTTCTTTCTATCTTCTATAAAAGCAAAAAATGGGAACTGTACTTCCATCAATCACTTTCAGACTTTGGGAATTGGAATTATAATACAGTACTGCAGTAATGATCTTAGTCTACTAATATTAGTATATGTGGAAGTCAGACACACTGTGTAGGCCTACTGGCAGACTGGTGTATGCTGGTATGGTAAATGTTTAGTCTTACCAGGTCTTCGCTGTCCACTGTGTTTGTAGTATTTCGAATGGTCCATGCTTCTGATTGATTTTGCTTCTTTCAGTGCTTCCTATCAGTTCAATTGCAAAAACAACAAACTCAATGCAGTCTATAAAATCTTATACCGGTATGTATTTAGCCACTTCTGGAATTGTTATACTGTTAGTTTAGAGTAAGATATCGTTTTAAATAAGAATTTGTTTCGAACACTGCCATAAAAAGACCAAAGTTACCCCAGCCCACACTCGCTCAGCCCACACTCAGCCTGACGTCAAGGGGTTAACCAACTATTTTACCACTTTATAAACGTTAATACATAAAAACTTAGTGGCTATGACAATATAGAGACCATATTGGATATCTGGATATACACAGCGCAAATGCAATACCAAGCACGGACCAGTTACCCCTAGTATGGCCTGTCAAAAACGATGTGGGCTGGCATCCTACGAGTGTGGGATAGCGTCACACCACACGAGTGTGGGCTGGCGTTCTGACAGTGTTATACGGTAAGTTAAGGCATCCAAAACGCTCACAGATTACTAAATTACATATATCCACGTTTACCTCAGCACCAGAAAAATGCCACTGTACAATAATTCAGTTAAAATGCAATTCTGAAATACAAACCGCATTGGAACCAACTTCCACGAACAGAGTTTAGCAATGAATCTAATTCATAATCAGATTGTTTTGAAAATCGCGGGTCTAACATCAAGAAGTGCCCGGAGTCAACGATATGGAACTTTTTCTATTTTTATTTATCATAATTTGAAAAAGGCTAAATTATAAAATAAATAAAACGCGAATTTTTATATAAAAAAAATTATTCTCATATAAATGCAGGGTATATATATTATGAAATAAGTAGGGTGAGAAACTTAACCGCTGTAGTCTATGCACAAACATGGAATGGGTTATCGGGTTCTTTTGTCGTTTTCGATTAGTTCAATTTAAAATCTTTGTATCCGTTCCAATGCTTCCAACATTAATATCGAATTTCCACAAACGACCACCATTCCAACAGATGCAATGATCCCGTCTTTTCTGCGCTCTTCTCCGCACCGAAACACACCATAATTTCAAGTACAAATACTACGGGGATCATATGGCTAGTCCTCAAAAACTCGTAATCGGACTAAAAAGAAGAAAATTGGAACGAAATTATGCCTTAACCTGGTAGCCTACATATACTACGTTCCGGTTTCCGCCATCTTGGTGCACATACTACGGGAACGCCTTTATTTCGTCGTTTTTGTTACATGTAGCTAACGGTGAAACGATGGAAATTTTGGATTCTGTGAGGTACCCAGTAAGCCAGGCGCGTAGCCAGGATTTTCAGAAAGCGGGGATTTCAAAATCAAAAATTTTATTCCCTTATATTTTTTTAGCGTATACCGATTTCTGTCCCGGAGAATATTCAATTCATGACAACATACGATGATCCAAAATTTTCTTCTATATTCATGTAATTGTGTCCAACGTAACTCGCGGTTGTGTCTTCTTGCGTCAAAATATAAACATTACTGGTCTAACCACTCAATCTGTTGATGTAAAAATATGAATAAACATGCTAATTGTATTTAGTTTCGATAAATCAAAAATACATATTCATCGCCTCGAAATCCCTGCCGAACGACTTTTTCGACGGATAATAATGATTTTTCTGTTGTGTGGTGAAGTAATCAATCCATTACCGATATGGACATATTTAATAATGTCGTGCTTTATTAATATACTTGTCTCAATTAAACCTGTAGTTGCGTCAACAAAATAAATGCATGGCAATCCGCGGTCATAAAAATGTGTGGTAAACTTTATTATATCTAGTTTTGATACGTATTTTGAGAATTTGACAAATCTGATCTGTAGTTGTAACACTGACTCCGCTCTATTGCAATGATGCCACTCAGATTATTTTTAGATAAAACCGTTAGAAAATCCCCAAGTCTGCTATAAAAGCTCACGGAGTGAAATTATCTTATTACAATAAAAATTGTTTGAAAATACTTTAGTTTAATTTTATCTTATATATCACCACGACTTGGGAAAAAGTCGCGTTTCCAACCTTGTATAATATTAACACGAAAATTTCGACGGCAATTTGAATCAATGAATAAAAAGGTAAATTCCGCGCAGGAATTGACTGTGTTTCGATTTTAGAAACGTTGTGGTTCCCAACGCTGCCGAAACTTATATTTGCCATGTACCGAAACGTATCTTTGCGATTTAGCCTACAATGTTTAGAGAAGCGTTTTCAATCTGTCGCGGGGCCCTATTTTTATTAGTGTTTTATATTGAAGCTTCTCAATCAAAATATTTGGGTCGCCAATCGACTCCTTTATTGAAATTTAGCATCATGCCGCCGATGAACGTATAATAACTTTCAGCGAATTTACAACTCTAGGCAAAAAAATTATTATCGTTGTCGTGGATTAATTTTGTGATTCAGGAAGAAAGGGGGGTCGACTGCACCGCACACGGTGATCTACACCGATTTCGGTCTCTCGTCGATTGCAGTTAAATATTGAATGTTTTATCCCAATGAATTTGTCGAATTGTTATTTTCTATCCAAATCATGGCTGTGGTTCGCCATATGACCCATATGCCATATCGCCCTTGAGTGGTGCATACCATATATGTACACACCCTTTAAACTTGACCATTCCCGCGTTTTATAGTATGTGGTATCATCACTCAATGGTATTGTACATTCATCCAAATTCTTAATTTTTTTTTTTTTAAAAAAAAATTTTCATTACTATATTCATATGCATTGTGTTTCATGTTGTGTTGTGTCTCTATTTATAGATGTTGTTTTGTCTAACAAACTCCTTTGTACAAACAGTTTTGTACACTCCACCCATATCCCTGTTACCGCATCCACCCACCCTCCTCGCACAACTGCCTGTATAAAGGACCATATTGTACATATTTGATTTACCCTATTATAATTTATATAAATCAAAGGGGTGTATGCCGCACACCTGTGTTTTAGGCCAATATGGTCTTGTGCATACATCCCGTCTTCAGTATTTATAAGTACTTACTCTTTTATATTGCTTTTACGAGACGAATAAACATACATACATACATACATGACTGGGCCATCTTATCAATTTTCCTCTCCCTCTGGATAAATATGTTAATCCTATCCTAATTGAATATTGACTAAATATTCAGTTAATTATGCTAATACAGTAATAGGCATTGCAAATTTTGCAATGCTTAATTATAGAAATAGTTTTCACGGGGTGAAGAGTCGAGAAAGCATTCACAGTCAGTTTGTCTTCAGAAATTAAATACTTTTTAAACTAAATCTAATTAATTTTATTTTTCTTGACAGATGCTTATATTTTCCCGACAGAGAGGAGTTTAGATTTTCTGCTTCAGCCTCACAGACTGCCAGAGGTCAAATCGCATGGGCCTTGTGTTGACGCCGAGGCGTGGGCGATCGTTCGTGAGCAATGTCTGAAGAGAAAAAGTTCGCTGTTTTGTTGCCAATATCTATTCAAAGATGTGCAGAAGCTAATGGAATTGATACGCTAGAGACAGAAATTACCGAAGCCCTCGCTGAAGATGCCAGTTATCGAATCAGAGAAATCGTCAACATTGCAGCTCAGTTTATGAAACGATCCCGACGAAATCGTCTCCAGGTAACCATGACTTTACAGACAGATTTTCATTAAAATTTGACGACCTAGCATTTTAATATCATATTCTATATAACGAGGTGTGATTGTCCATGCAGTATTTTTATGTTTTTGGCTATTTCAGTACCGGTAGGCCTACTGGTACCGGAAACGTCTTGGCTCGGCGGTGTGGCGCATCGTGGTAAGCGTTAAGAATACGCTCCCCACCGCATCTCTGATTACGGTACCCTTCGTGGGTTTGCAGGTTCGAATCTCATGCGGGGATGATCATGTGCGAGAGGATTGCTGGACTCCTCGCCGTCGTAGGGTGGTTCACGTAACCGCTCGTCGGTTACAGCTTCCTCCACCATCAAGTCCATGCTTCCGAAAACACAAATAACTGGCTAACTAATCCCATAACCGACCTAGACTGGTAACCGAACGAGAGGCCGTGGTTCGCCATATGATTGAGGCTTCTTATCAACTTTCCTCTCCCCCGGGATAAATATGTAAATCCTACCCTATATTGGCTATAAAACAAATGCTAGTTCCACAGTTTCATAAAACCTGTATAGTTCTTTGCATGGGTGTGCATTATCAGTATATTCTTGCTCCAGATATTACTTTCTCCATTGAAATCATTCTGTTAGATATCAGCATTACAGAACACTCGATTATAAGTGACTATTTGAATATTATTTTTCTCATCATTTTTTACAGGTAAAAGATGTTTCGAAAGCGTTGAAAATTGCTAACATTCCTCCTACTGTTGGAGAAGACCATAGTCAATCAGTAGAGTATGAATATATGGAGGAGGGTGATATCTATTGCATTAAAGATGACGTCATAAATCTTGAAACTTCGAAAGTTGCTGGACAGGAGGAAAGTGATGTGATGAATGTAGAAGAAAGTACTGCCAGTCCAGAATTATCATCAAAATGGTTTCTTCTTGATGGCCAAACTTCACAGGAAAGCTCTTCAGAGTTACCTTCTGTGTTAATGGATTACTTCAATTATATTGTGACTTGTATTTTGGGGGAAGACAAAGAACTTCAACACGAGAGTTTAAGTGATCTGCGGAAAAGCTCGAAAATTTTTCCTCTTTTACCATATTTTGTAACCTTTATATCAAATGTGAAAGCAGTCAGTCACGATTTAGAGCAATTATCTAATTTATTGCAGACTGCTTCAGCTCTGGCATCTAATCCTTTCATTAACCTTATTGGCTATTTAAAACCTTTAACGTCATCTGTCCTTTATTGTGTATTAGAATCTCTGACTGCTTCCATCAACCCATTAAATGATCATTGGAAACTCAGGGATTATGGAGGCAGACTACTTGCTTTCATTGTTCAGAAATATGGCTCTCAAAGTTCGGAGGTTGCAGATTATATTACTGACTCTGTCAAAAGTGTTCTTCTTGATCCTACAAAGCCGCTATGTTCTCATTATGGTGCGGTTGTTACAATTAACTCACTTGGAGTATCTGCAATTAAGACATTGTTGTGCCCAAGTGTTTTGAATTACTATACAAACTCCTTGAAAATTATTGAAGAAATAACAGACTCTAATAATTTGCAACTAAAAGAAGATGCATATAAAGTTGTTGGTGTGATCTTGCAAGCCATAGAAAAAATGATAACAGACTTAAAGAACGGTCATAGTCTCACAGGCGAATTGTATGGCATTTGTGAAGCTTTATTTTTGATTTTTGGCGATGCTCTTACTTCCAGGATTCGAATTAATTTTCCACACAGAAAAGGCATAATACATACTCAAAATGGTAATTACGATAGAATGCAATTTGGACCAAGAATGGCCAAACTTACTCTGATACCGAGACGGACTAGAAATTACCGTTATGTTGACATTTTTGGTCCGAATCGAGTGTCAAATAAAAAACTGTCGATATCTATTGGGGGGAGATTAAAAACTCAAGATTCTCCTCAGCTGTACACACACAGTCAATATTTTAACCTATGTTTGAAAACGACAAATGTTGGGAAGTGTTATTGTTTAACAAAAAAGAGACAAGTCCATTATCTTCATGATTATATTTTTACATCTTTGTGAAAATAGATAGCCTATCTCAAATTTTTTTCTGCAACTGTCTGAAATGTACTTGAAGCTATATTTAGAATTCCGGATTTTGATTCATTGACTGTGTCTGTTGTAAGTTTGCCAAATTCCATTGTAATGATTATCTGAACCCTAATTAAAAATGACTTCATCTAACATAGCTTTTAATTGATTAAAGATGAATTACTGGCTCCTTCGTATAGGGCGACTCAACTTCTGTTACTTTTTAATTGATTCTGACATTAATATTATTTTAAAATATTTTCTGTCCTTTTATATGCAGTCGCAATTTTCTAATCAATTTTTTTTCTTATTTTCTAGTGTTTTATATCCAATAATTCCTTCAAATCATGTCATCAGCTTTGCGGCACCTGAGTCGTACTCTGATACGGTACAATCAAAATCAGTTTGGAAGCCTCGTGGCTACAAATAGAAGATTTTACAATGAAGACATTGCAGAAACAAAGCAAGCATGGCCAGAACCGATAAATGAAGTTGTATTGTGTGGAATAGCAAGTCGTGACTACAGTGAACATGAGTTGTTTAAAATTGAATTGAGCCATAAAATTACAAATAATATCAGTCTCACTGGGAAAAATCGAAAAGTTATGGATGAACTAAAATCAATCAAAGCTGGCATGAGAGTGCGTGTTACAGGAGAACTTGAAGTTAGAAGAAGCGTCAAAGAAAAGTCGGGGAGATTATTCTCTGGAAAAAGTGAAATTGTTCTAGCTGACTCTGTTGAAATACTTGAAAACGAAAACTGCGACGAACAACACTCTGAAAACCAACAACAGAAATCTGATGAAAAACATTCAGAAAACGAAGACCAATCAGAAACTATGTCACATTAAATATTTCACCATGTTGTCATAGTGACAGCTTATGTAAGTTTGGACTGGCATGTACTTCTTGGCAACCTACAGGGTTGGGGAAAAAATACATTTCGTAATTTGGACTTTTTCATATGGATTGAAATTTTCTAAAATCAAGTTTTTTTAACACCATATTCAATTTCCTCACAGCGGCACTAAAAATTCAGAATTTGAAGTTCAACATTACCACAAAGGACTAACACTGAATGATTCGTCCAAATTCGATAAACAGACTTATTTTAGGAATCATTGATTATCTTTATTAAAAAAAGTTTTTGATCTATAAGAACAGATAAAAACATGCTGAAACAATGCAGTTTTTCTAAAAGTTTATTACTACACTTCCTCAGAATATGTTGAAATAATTTGCACAGTGTTTATTTTTTGTATGCCATTAGTTGGGAAGAAATTGTATTTGAAGTGGTCAAATGATCACTGCTCAAACCCGATCTTGTTCGACAACTGGAAACTGTTCCCTCTCCCCAGCCATCAAATATGAAAAGTTTGGTCATCTTTATCTTAGTGCGGAGCTGATACCAACTAAAGTCTTTGACCTACCTGGTTACAGTGTGAAAAATAATGACAATCAATCGAATTTAAAAACATCCATTGACACAGTACTAAGATATTTTTGTCTTGATTTGTGACATATTTTCCAAGTAAATGAATCGAATGTGTTCTATAGGATTTTTTGTTAAAATGTGATGGTTCTAGGTTGTGTATGGAGTCAAGTTTTCATTTTTTACCAACAAATAAAAAGTCCGGTTATCTCAAGAGTATGTATCTTCACGACGACGGCACCACTTCACGTTCATTATATTCAAGTATTGGTTTATTTAGACTCCCTAATTAGCATAACAGACTATAATATAATTTATGCAAATTGATTGTAGGATTCATACATTTAGGTGAGCGAACACGTACTACCTCTTTTATTAATACCTTTCCATCTAAAATTTGTACGCTTCAAACCGTCCTTAGGTTTTGTTTGCTCTCCCGATTCTATAGTCAGTTATTTTATTTTTATCTATTATTTTATCGCCTACTGCTGATTATGGAGTCGAAATAAACTTATAATGGCTGTTGCATTTTTTCTTTCGGATTCGCCTCCAATTTTCATACATACTTATATAAATACATCGAATACCACGCGCCCCACGTTACAATACAGCGAGTAAGAAGTCAACGAGTTCGCAAAACTCTGCTTTCATGCTAGTACTGTATATTATTCAGTTAACGTTACAAACATGAAAAACCAGGATTTTTCGTCAGTTTGAATTATCTGTGGTCAACACTATTCCTGACTTAAATTCAGGTCTTCACTTCTTATAAATGTTATGATGACAACTGAGATCAATTCTTGCCAATATCCGAACGTATCATTATTATTGGATGGGTTTTATCACAAGCTTGAGTTCCTTCCTCATCTCCGCGACATTATCAACGATTAAAATGTAGCTGATACTCCTGTTTCTAAGCTTACAATGACTGAAATGTCACTGTGCATAATGTTGGAGAGGAGGCGAGTGACTCTTGCACCGCTCTCCATTAATGTTTACGTCTAATTATATTCCACTTCATGAAAAAGCTTATTCTGAGGTATTTACCTCATTCAAAGTAGCCTACTGGGCATAAGAATTTTGCGGGCCACGTCACTGAAATAGCCTACATAAAATTGTTCCCACTCCACGAATTTAATAATGAGTAATAATATTAACAATAATGATAAAATTGATATGCACAAGGTACGGGGATTTAAAACTTCAACAATTCCAGTGGTGGTAGGGGGCGCCTTGACTTATCGGAAAACAATTTAAAAAATATTCCAGGTAAAATTAAGGTACTCCCGTAGTATGTGTACTAGGATGGCGGACACCGGAACGTAGTCTGTGTACCGGGTTAGAGTTAAGCCATAATTTCAGGTAAAATAACTACGGAAGTCACTTGGCTAGTCCCAGAACTTGTAATAGAACTAAAATAAAAAAAAATTGGAATAAAATTATTGCCTAACCCAAAACCTGGTACACACACTACGTTCCGGTGTCCGCTATCTTGGTTCACATACTACGTCAGTAAGAAGTGATTGCAGAAATTGATGAACTTGGAAAATAGCAAAGTATGAAACTGAAAAATATTAATGGAGACTTAGCAATATACAATGGTCACAATAATCTTTGACTACGGGCATGAGATAATTAGAGAAAATGAATTTCAAGTTTAAGAATATTCAGCAATACTCTTCGGCAATATTGTTTTGATGGAAATAACTTGTATATGCGGTCAGGCCTCTATTTTTGGTTGTTTAAATCGTTTTAGGAATTGCAAAATATTTTGAAATTTTAAAACGAATCAGTCAATTTCGGAATAAAATTGAAATAGGTCATGAACTATTACGACTGGAATATATATTAGCAGCTAAAAATATAGCAATCTCAGTTTACTGTGCAACATTACAGGAAAAGAAAACCCGAATTGTAGTGAAAAATCCCAGAAAGTCATCGGATATATGAGTCTAATCGCGCGAACAAGAATACATGCGCGGTTAAAAAAAAATTGTGAAATCAGTGATGTTTTCGGGCATTTATTCGTAATGCAGTAGTTGTTCCTGAATGACCCGATTTAGAATTCCAAAACTGAGATATTAACGTTCATATAATTTTAATACAGCTTATTATCACAAGAGAATGGAATCAAACTTTTTTTGTATTATATGTGCCGAATATGAAGTCATAATTTTGTTCTGGCCCTAAGGCTTTTGTACACTGAAACTGAACGCATAAAAGTGTTCAAATCCCTGATCATTTTATTTGTGTGTATTGGAGCGAGTTGTATATTGGATGATGAAAGTGAGTATTTTTATATTTTAGCTAACTAGTTTAAATTAAATTGTGATTTTGCTCAGAATACTACTGTTTGACTTTTGATTAAGATTCATACGGATAGTTTCCCATATCTAGGTTAGGAAATAAATCTTATGTAAAATAGCCAATATTGTGATTGTAGAATTGAAGATGGCAGACTGGTCGAAATATAAAAATGCAATACTTGAGTTATCATAGCATTGCTCTGTGCAAGCAACAAGAAATTCGTAACGATTTTGTATTTTGAAAAACAATAATCGTTTCAGTTTTGCATACTTTATGAATTCAATACATCCCGTGTGATGTGCTAGACTTGTTGTTTTAAATATCCAACCGGCGACGATATAATATTCAAACGAAATACGCTATTCATAACATTAATTATATTCAAACGTTTTTAATTGTTTTTCAGCCATCAAAAACATGCATGCCAGAGGATATGTAACTACTTTGATCTGCAGCTTGGGGGAATGAATATTGATGATATTGATAGCATCAGAAATCATACCCACGGTATGCTTGACAGTATTCAAGAGGGAAAACGGTCTTAGGAAATGACATTATGGACTGCGGGATGATATACAATCAAGAGGTCTGTATTTTATTTACGCAAAATTTTACAAAGTATTGTTATTCTTAGCTGTATATATCACTTTTCATAGATAAACATGGGCGAATATAGTAACAGCCCTTAACAGCCTGTTACTCGGCACCAAAATTAAAAATATTTGGTAATTGCGAGTTTTTGCTGCCCTGGACTTTTCAAAACGCCTCTTTTCACGAAATTTAATTTAATATATATATTAGATTTTGCTTCGTGGTAAATTAACAAATTTTATTTTACTAAAGTAATGAGCATAAATATGATACTCCCGTAGTATATGTACCAGGTTGGGGTTATGCCATAATTTTATTCCAATTTTTCTTGTTTCAGTTGTGTTACGATTTCGAGAAATGTTTGTGTTAGCCAGTAAATATCCCCTGCCCATAGGCATCAGTTCATGTACACAACTTGATGTAAAGTAGGCGAACGAAATTAGTTACCTTCATATTGGTACACATACTTTTGGAGCGCCATAAATAGTAGGCCTACTTTGTACCTCACGCTATCGGGCATTGCAAGCGTGTAAGCAAGCAAGAAAGGCAACAAGCTGCGGGTGAGAATGGTTGCCGACTCGATTATCGGACACGAAACGGACATAACGATCGTTTCAATATTATGTTGTTGTTGGACACGTAGTGGACATAACGATCGTTTCAATATTATGTTGTTGTTCTTGTTCTTTGACACGTTTTTAAAAAGTCGCTTTTCTCTTCGAATACTGGACCAATTGCTTTGAAATTTTCAGTGGTTAAAGATTAATTTTTTCGCTAGAAGGCTATTACTTTTATTTATTTCAAAATTTTGCGTGAATTCTATGAAATTTGATATTTCGTCTAAAATTTTGCTGTATTATTTTTTATCCATGGGAACACGGATTTTAGTCAGTGTCATGACTGGATGTACGTTTTGATTCTGCAAAATTCTTGCTACTGGAAATTCAGAACTTTTTTGAGGGTACCGGTAGCGTCAAAGGTACCGGTAAGGACTGATTCGCTCTGGTCTAACGTGTCCATATATTTGTGCGTAGCTCTCTTGTCTTGCATACACTCAAAATTTATCACTCAACTTGCGAATCGTCTTGAATAGTTTAGTTGGGGTTCTGAGCGACTGCTCCGGAATGAATCGAGGACCATCGTCTATCCATTACTCGATAAGCCGTCATATTGGGCTTTATTAGCTCTTGGTCTAATCGTCAGTACGCAAAGTAAAGTTCTTTCACCACACAACTTAGCGTATTACATGACAAATAAATAAACGTGGATAAAAACATAGATAAATTATAAAGATATATTAATATATATACCGAACGTGAATAGAGAAATGTATACTATAATTTAAGGCGTTGTTGGTAACATACGAATAATCATAATGAATTCTCGGAGAATTCTACATTCCGGCATGCAAAATTGAGCATAATATGCCTTGGAGCAAAAAAGTACATATTTGCTTATATGTCTTTTTCAAACGTTATCTGTAGCTGAACTATCAACATACGAGAGAAATGCGAAGATTGATTGAAGTTTTGATGATAATATCATTGCAATTGTGTTCAGCATCAGGTACGTTGCAAATCAAACTACATTTCACGTGGCATTGAAATTAGCATATTGAAATAATAACCAAGCTAGACTGTTTGAGTAAATATAATGACTGAAGTGTAGGGCAGCAAACAGTTGTTAAATTCAATTCCATATTTAAAAGTATCGGCAACCATTGTGAGGTGAAAATGGACAAAGTGACCAATTTCGAAGGAAATTACGAGCTTGTGGACATTTATTATTATTTCTATACTGTACAACTATTATCCACGCCTTTTGCCCCGAACAAGCAGCTCCATAAAAGGGCTGCTATTTTGGAACGACTGGAATTTTTTCGGTCTGGTATTATACCCTGGCCTAGGTGACATGCATGGTATTAAAACCGAAGTGTAATCCTCAATTCCAGTGCAATAAATCTAACGCTGTGATTGTAGAACTTGTTATCATCGTTCTTGTTGGTATTTCCGCAAGACAATCATGTCCATTTAGCGCACAGCCAAGCGCATCGCTAAATAATATTCTCGATGCCTAGCTTAATTGTTAAGTTTTTCAGTCGCGACACTTACTCGAAACCTAAAAGTACAGACATTGTCGGAACAGCAAAATATATATTATACGAAGCAATGTTCAATTTCACTGAATATAGTTTATATTGTTCCATTCCCGTCAACTAGTATTTCCATGAAACATAAGATAATCATATTATTACTATACCACATATTCGCAGATATATGATTCCCAGAATCCCACATTGAACGAATATGACCACAGATCATGCACGACGCTTTGATCTAATTACAATTACTTCGATAGTTATAATTAACTTAATTTCCAGGAAGATGTTTAGACGTTGTGTTTGTTGTTGATTCGTCAACTTCTCTGGACGGAACTTCGTTGTCGCTGAAGAAGGATTTCTTACGAACAATAGTAAGATAAAAAGATTTCAGCTTCATTTTGGTGAAATCACTGAGAATTTTATTTTATCCATCATATAAATTTTATCAAGGCAAGGTTACGAGCACTTTCAAAGAAAAAAATTCGAAGCTATGAGTCCGTTGCGCACATCTCTCGCGTTTCGACCATCAACCCGGTTGGCACAAAGCTTGAACTGATTAAATTAATAAACAGCTTTCCTAGGAACAAAAAATATGCGCTGAACGTATTTTTCAGCGTTTCCAAAAGTAAAATGTTGTTCAGTAATGTTCGATAGGAACGCAGATGACGCACAATCTGAACCCCAACCTGGTACACACATTATGTTCAGATTGTGCGCCATCTTGGTAAACATACTTCGGAATCGCCGATTATTTTAAAGCGAGATCTGCATTTTCAACTTTTGACTACCATTTTTAATTTGGATTTACATAAAATTTTATGTAATTTGTCCTGACTATATAAATAAGAAAGATGAATAAGTAGATAATATCAAATTACGATACCAGCGAATGACGTTCAGTTTGCAAAATAATAGGAATTAATTTTATGTTTCAATGTTATTGTTGGCATAATTGTAATACAACGATTTGATTTATTTTTGTTTATCTTCCAGTAAATGGGATATTTCAAGTGACTTTGTTAACGTGGCGATTGTCCCATTCAGTGAAAATGTTGTGAGGAATAAAGTGATTTCTTTACAACAATTCCAAAACAACAAAGAAGGTCTAACCGCCTCTATAAAATCTTTGCCTGAGAGTAAACCAGGTGAACTAGTTTCATATTTCAGAAAATGGTTCAAAAGTCTATGTTTGTTGATGGAAAATTGTGGATTTGGACAATATATTAGATTTTCAAAGTGACCAGAAAAAGAATAAAATTTGTTTTTAGGACTGCGAATTGAAACGATTCCTGCAAAATTTTGCGCGCATACTGATTTTTGAAGTTTTGTCAATTTTTGTTTATTCTTTAGTGTGATAATGTTTAAGAACTTCACACACAATCCATCTATTGGCGCTACGACATGTATGTGGTCATTTTTTATGGCAATGTATAGTGCCCATGTATGCAAAAGTATATTAGCGCAAAATAGCAATTAATGTTTGTGAAGCTAGTTATTCATTGCAAAGAAATATGACAGGTACGCGGATTGAGAAAGCTTTGAATTATGTACGAACTAAAATACTCTCAGAATCTAACGGTAATAGGCCTCGGGCTCCGGGCATTGTCGTTGTTATGACAGATGCTAGACATCAGGATAGCATTGATGAACCACTTCAAAAATTATGGGACTTGAACATAACCGTGAGTTAGTTTTCTCTTCATTTTCTATTCTTCAAAAATGATTGGCTTTCGAAAAAATGGTTAATAATTTTAACTTTCGATCTATGTTTCTTATACGTATGCTGTTCGGTTGAAAAAGGATTGTTGGCGTTTTTAAACTTCGAATGAATATGTTGGTGTCTGGAGATATTATATATAAAGAGGGTTTTAGTTTCGCACATCACTCTGAACGAATCCCTAATGTGGCAATAACGGTCTAAGCCTCATCCCACATTTCTGCCTCTGAAGCTTTGTTGAGCGCTAGGCACCGTATATAAAGAGTACTTCATTAAAGATAATTATAAAAAAAATTCCATATTTGACTTACCGGACCTCCCGAAGTATGCTCACCATGATGGCGCACAGCCATTCTTGTACTGTAAGTCCTAATTACCCGCGCACATAGGCTATTTCGTTCTGAGTGGTGAAAATTTGCGTTCGAACTTTTAATGCCTGACATGGACAAACCACGGTCAACGGGCCAAATCCGGCCCGTTGGGTAATTCAATCTGTCCCGCCTGATGCTGCCACAACCAAACTAAAACCAAATTTAGCTGAAAATAGCTCAAGGAATTGTTGTAGATTGGGATTAAATTTAATTTTGGCAGGAGGCTTATTTTTTTCCCCGTTTACTTTTGTAACACTGTTAATATTGTTCACAAAATGTAACTTTTTACGTCAGTCGTCACTCTTACATGGTCCGCCAGTCTAGGTGGGCAAAATTTTTGGCCTCTGGTCCAAAGACCTTGCCCATCTCTTCTTTATACTAAGGTAGAGAAGGCTAAATCCTAATAATTATGATCCTTACAAAAGTGTAAAGTTGGTGCTAGCTGACAAAATGATATGTTATATCCAATAACTAAAACCATATCATTTTTCTGCCAATATAATTTATATTTAATTGACAGACTTACGCAATTGGCTTTCACCCTCGACCTCCAATGCAGATCTTAACTTCACAACTTTCTAAAATTGCTCGATATAATCGAACACGATTGCATTTTGTTGGTTCGATTAATGTAAAGATTCTACAAAACGACATAATGATGGTTTCCTGTCCAAAACCAAGTGAGTTTGATTAGATTGCGTTTGAAAATCAGAACGCAAAGTTGGAGATCATGAGATGCGTTTTAGGCCAGGACTAGAAGTTAGTTTGTAATTAATAAACATTAATTTTGTTGAAACGCAATTCTCAATCTTTGTTTTGTAAATCATATTATACATTTAACGAAACTATATAGCAAAAATTCTTTCGAAATTGACTGGATATTTTAGATAGATATAAAGACGACTTTTTGTCGCAAGTTTTGAATTGCTTTGGGGGTTTCAAAATCGTATTTATGATAAAAAATAATCAAAACTCTATTTTCCATTTTAACATGTTCTTCAACCCTTTATCGTCTGATTGCCTCCAAGGCCTAAAATATATATCCAATACGCCAAGAAAAAGTATTGTCTACAAATTTATCTTTCCTAATAGAGAACAGACCATGCTTTAGTAAATACAGCCATGCTCAAATATATGACCACGTTACGCTGAAATTCACTGTGGTAACTTACCAGCAGGCTTGACCAAGGAACCTGTTCATAGATCAAAATACGTCATAGATCAAAATAAAAACAAAAATCCATTTTTAACTACTGAAAAGTTCAAAGCAATTGGTCCAGTAATCAAAGAGAAAAGATACTTTTTAAAAACGTGTCAAAAAACAAGAACAACGACAACATAATATTGAAGTGATCGTTATGTCCACTGACGTGTCTGATAAATTTCATTATAAAGAATTTCAGCTAAAATTTTGATTGAATTTCCTAGATCTATCCAATGAAAACGATGAATTGAAATCCAACGGAACTTTTGGTAAACTCGTCAGATGCTCCTGCTGTGAGTAAAATGATTTAATGCAGGGTGGTCCAAGGTTGCGAGGTTAAAGTGCCGCAAAAACTTTTGAGGAGGTATCGCGGGACGCAGTCGGAGAAAACCCAAAAATGAATAAAACATCGCGAGTTTACTCACTTTAAATATATTTAAAATTGAGAGTTTTTTGTTTTAATCAGTTTTTCAAGAAAACTATATGAAGCCTTTAATTCTTTTAAAATTGCTTCCCGAGGAATATCATGGTATTTTCAGTATCTTTTTTCGTGTTTGGTTTTGTAATGTCGCTTAGAATTGTATTCATTCGTGACAGATATTACTTTGAAACACACCAGACACCGTGGTTCAACTTTATTGTGGGTAAGGAAATACGTTTACTCTCAGTTTACGTCGGTCACCTTTTCCAACACTCATTGTATGATGAATATATTACATGTAGCGTGAGCAAGCCCAGTACTACTATCAGAAAAACTAGCCAAGTCCGTATAAGTTGGGACCTTGGGCCCACATGAAAAAAAAATGGATTACGTGGCGATCAGTCAGTCACATGGCCAACGCTTGAAAATAAAGTAGTGTATTGACTAAAATAAAGGCACAAAGAGTCTCTACAAATGAGGAGTTACCTGACGCGAGCTCATCTCATCGGCTTGGACCTGTCAGCACAAGACAATTCATTCTCATTTTACCGATCACAGGATGTTATGACGTCTTGACGTTTATAGATACAATAATGAAATTCCGTGATTTTAACAAACATTAATCCCGACATCGGGATCAGGAAAAGGAAAGTTGTGTTTAAAAATAAATCAAAATTGTTCTGCTAATAAATACAAATATCTGCCAATGGTCTCAAAATTGTTCTGCATCATGACAGATAATAATGGCCTACAACGAATTAAAACTGATTTTTAAATGAAAATGCGACAGAGCAGTATCCTAAAATCATGCACCATGTGACATTCACGTTCCGAAGAGATTTTCGCAATTCCTCTTTAAATCAGGGTACGGTATATGGCTGATATGCAATATCAATCATTTCAGAATAATAATACCTTTAATACATATCTTTATACGAATACGCTGTAGGTTATCTAGAGCCTTGCTATAACAGAGTCTTATAGACACTCGTAAGTTTTTGTCTATCGCAGGTGAAGTAGATGAATGCGTAAATCTGGGAGGAAAATGTCACGATCATAGAAAACACGTCTGTGTTGATGGATACGTTGTTGAAAAATATTTGAAGAAGAAAATGTGTGGTTGGGATAAAAATTGGAAATGTTTGGAAATTTACTTTCAGCTGAAAAAGGAGATCTTCCGTGTACAGACATGGATGGAAAACGCATGGTTCGGGGAACTGATATTTGTTCTCAAGGATATGTATACAATAACCGACCAGCTTGCAGTGGAACTAAACATCGCAAGTGTTGTTTACCTTGTATGTATCAGTATCTATAGATAAGAAACAGTTTTTGAAAATTTTTTCTTGGCATATAATATTTTTTAGGGTATTGCTGAAGTATGCGTACCAAGATGGCGGACAACGGAACGTAGTATGTTAGGGTTAGGCCATAATTTTAGGTACAAATACAACGGGAGTCACTTGGCTTGTCCCAAAACTCGTAATAGAACTAAAATAAGGAAAATTGGAATAAAATTATGGTCTAACCATAACTTGGTACACATACTACGTTTCGGTGTCCGCCATCATGATACGCATACCTTAAGAGCACCCTATTTAGTATACCAAGTCTATGTCTATATAATTTTTAGCGCAGTAGAATACGATGAAATTAACTCAACCATGATGTGTTTGGTGATTGTTGATATCCTATCAATCACGTAAATAGGTGTTTTCAGACAATTTTTTATACGGCGCTTGGAACAAGGCCCTATGCGGCCACAGGCATCTACCGATGTATAAGAAACTATTATTATTTGAAAGGACCGGAATAAATCCGGTTCGGCATTGACTATCCAATAATTTATGTCAACACAGTGAAGTTTAACACTTTCCTTTTAGGCCATTTGCCAATGCTTTGAAAGAATATGTTCAAAAATCAGAACGAATGACGGTAATAAATAATTTGCGCAGTCTGGCTCAAAGCAATATTAAATAAATCTGTTTACAATTTTTTATTTTATTTCGAACACGCTTCATCACGAAACACATCGTGAAGATTTGCGACCTATATAACGCAGACAAAAACCAGTTATCTAACTATATACAGGAGCTGAATGTTAACCGTCAATGCGATTTAGATTTATTCATCATCCCATAACTGTTTTCTTGATCGTTTCCTTGGACTTGTGAAAGTCAGGGATGTTCAACAGGTGACCTTCGGGCCACAACGCGGCCCGCCAAGTCATTTAGTATGGCCCTTGTCAACACTCAGATTTTTTCCCATTAAGCCTAAAATCTTAATCAGACAGTTTATGTTTAATAAGGCGTTCACATGGGTAAAATACATAATGATTTGTGCGCTTGTCGCTGAGTTTGCCGATGCCTTTTTTACTGGAGTGCTGTGCGATAGCCGAATTCTCTTCTTTTGCCTTTCGCGCTGCGTTTTGGTTGTCGCTAAGTATTTAATGCGTGTACATGGAAAATCTGTGGCCCTGCTGGATGACTAAAGTTGGTTATATGGCCCACCTACGAAAAATGTTGCACATCCCTGGTGTAAGTAGTTATTCAATGGCAAGTAATAAACCACCAGAATATTATATACATAGTTTCAGTATATTATATGCCTTGAGGAAAAATATGACAGCATTTCCTATCGCACCAAGAATATCAGAAATAGCAAGATCGCTTTCTCATAAATGACTCTTTATTAAAATTAAATTGTATTGATATTTACAGGTGAAAAATTTGAAGATGTCTACAAGAAAAGTGACGCAGGATGTAAAGGAAAATGCATGCACAATACAAATTTTTGCAGTAAAAAGTATGTGAAGAATAAATGTGGAGGTCCAGCAGAAAGAAGTTGCTGTGCAAAGTGACAAATGAAAATTTCAGACAAATATCATTCGTGCCATGAGCATGATTGTATTTCCGTATCCAGAGCAGCAATATTGTATGTAAACACACCATAATAAAACATATATTATTTTATAAACTATACGTATATAACTGATAATGTTGTACAAATAATGTATTAAAAATCGCACTTGTTTGCAAATTATACATACACCTAATATACACTTACGATTCACATCCAATTATCAACTAAAATACTATCACGCCATAAGACAAACAGAAAGACTTATGTCTTATTTGCGAAAGTACGATGAAAGCCAGTATTTACAGTCTAAGAGAAATCATGTGACGATGGCTAATGGATGAACATACGTTACGGGATAATTTAGTTCACACTTCAGATTCAGTGTTATAATTATTTGTGGTACTATATCCCGAAAAGTTTTCGGCGTTCACGTTTCCATTTACTGTTATGTGAACTGAGGTTTCTCTCACAGATTTGCCGATATTCTGAACTTCATGCAGCACTTGTGACGCAAATTGAGAAATGCCACGGACGGCGTTAGCCAAATTCGGTATGCTGCGAAAATGAGTTTCAATCATTTCACACAGATTTTTCTCTTTGTTTCTTCTTCTCCAGTCTCTGAACATTTCCATTTTTACGTCATTTGTTAATCCATAACGATTGGTGTAATCGCGATACTCGCGCTTTTCCAGTTTCAATTGATGCTTAGCAAACGATTTCCAAAGTTTATCGTTGCCAATAAGATGGATCACAATTCCGAACTCTGAAGTTTCCTGAATGAACACTTTCGCCAGTGTATACGGTTCGTTTTCGTCAGCATTTTCATTCTTGCTTTGCCAAAGTCGAATCATGTGAATCTTTTTCGATGTTTCTTCCAAATCAAGCATTAATATTTTTCTAATGTCATCACGATTGAGGCCCAGAAAGTAAGTTGCATATTTTATCCAGTCCTCCATTCTTGGTATCAAATCGTTAACGAGTGGAAGATACTTCTGTTCAGTTGTTTTTTCGGAAATAAATTGTTTTGTAAGTCGGTATGCTCTCTTAGACAATGATTGGTCAGTATCGGAAAAATCGTCTTCTTTATTTTCACATTCGTTAATTTCTCTGTTCCTAGTTTCCCAAATTTTCAATAATGCCAATTTGAAATTCCGCCCATTGTAGTTGAGTTTGCAACATGTTATGTCACAATATGGCAACTTAAGAAATTTATCGGCAAATGTTTCCCAATTATCGTCATCTGGAATCAATACATCAATGAGATCTGTGTATTCTGATTCGTCTATCGAACGATAATCTATTTTTTCTAGCAGCTGCCTCCGATAGTGTTTATGTCGCACAAAAGGATTGGACATGTCGTTCGAAAATTTATTCACCAGATATTTCAATTTGTTGACGTGGTTACACTTTTTTTGATCAATTGACCAAAACATGAGCAGAATTCGTCTTCCCTTTGTTGGGCCGAAGCCATTTCCAGCAATGATGTCGTCAGTCGAAAGTTCCAGGTAATAATAACAAAAAAAGCAAAAATCATCGTTTTCAATTGACTTTGTTCCGATCTCAAGTTTTCGCAATAATTTTTGATTGATTGGTATTCTCTCGACAAGACGAGAAAACTTTATTTGTGAGATGAGTCTTTGCGGAAATAAAATCGATGAATATATAAAAGATGATACCAGCTTTGAGAAACCTTCATCTATATCTTTGCAAAGTAGTTTGCGCAAACCATAATGATGCGCCAAACTTTTCGTGAGAATTTGTCTCTCAGACATGAATAATTACATTGTTGTTAGAAGTCGTATTTTATATAGGAGTATATATATTATTTTATTGTTATAATACTTTTCTGAGATTTATAAATAAAAATAAATATGAAAGCTCGATACATAAACTGATTTTAAAAGCACATAAGAAGTTTTGAGAGCATTGGATATGCAACACGAGTAGAACATACAACTGTCCACTTGATTCGAACCTATAAGCGCGAGCCTATACAACCCGAGCTGGGGAATTTAAAATCGGGAAAGTACATAAAGCAACCGTCGCAGCATCTTTGTTTCGGGAGATCATTTTAATATGCTGTCGTGCAACACAGATTATGTTGCCAAAATCATCTTATAAGTTTAGTATTTCGATAATAAAAGACGCGCAAACATAACTGAGAATCGATCGACAGTAATTCACTGTTTATACGCGCTATAAGTGCTGAAGCACAGGATACCAAAGAAGTTTTTATAACACACCGCGAAATCGACAATTTCCTTTCCATGTGGAAGTGTATGTAGGAAGAAACCTTTTGTCCTCTACAAGACAACACCTTTTTCACCCTCGTCATATCATTCTAGTCCTCAGGTTCAAAAACAATTTCTAAAAATACTCTTATATTGCAATACTCGATACCACAGCTACCCAATAGATTTTCCATGAAATTATATCTTGTATTTCTATAACAACAACGAACAGAGGCACTACGTATGCAGCCATTGCTTACAAGAGGAACAAAGTGAACAAAGAACGAAGAACAAAGAAATGTTTTAATCATTAACTTCAAAAAGGTAAATGAGCACATGACAAGTGAAGTTTACTGGCATGTTACGTAACCAATATGTCGTTTGTGACATCATTTTCATCCGATTACCAATGGACAAACCATCAAACAATTAGGGAAAAATGTATATTAATAGGCCGCTATTGTCCTTCACTATGGACAAGCTATTGAGCTGGCGTATCTCATAGCCATTCCATTTTTTCTAATTTTGCTCAACATTAATTTTATATACGCGGTGTTTGGTTTGGGGAATACCCCGGTGTGTTAAATGAATTATCCCCAGGTTCGGTTTCACCATATAAGGTAAGGTAAACTGAAGTCTAGCTGCCCAACCCAAATCATGCCGCAAAGATTCAAATATATATCCCTTTATATACCGTGTGTGGTATAGTGGTTCAGCGTGGACTGAGTCTATGATAAATCTTTTCACTATTCTTTTACTTCTAAAACATCTTCAAATATTTCCTCACATACAGAATAAATATTTTAACTATTGTAGAATTCGATGACATGGCTTGTGAGGGACTAAATGAAGGGAAAAGACGTGATGTCACAAAGCATTGACAGAGTATTTCGTTTCATCCAATAAGTAATTGTGATAACAAATATATCACTCGTGCCCTTATTGACACAATATTGCGTTGGGTATATAATGTAAATAAATAGTAATGTGGACTTGCAATCGGGTCTAGGTAAAATCCTAGGTAAAATTCATTAATAAAAAAAGTAGGTCCAGTGTTTTATTCAACATTACTCTACTAGATCAGTCATTTAGGAAATTACGAGTACAAATTAATTTTTAAAAGTTCCTGTCAAGTTCACCAAAGATGTAGCGAAACAAAAAGTCGTAACAATTGATTTGAATTACTTTTATTACATTCTATAAAGTAATTCAAAATTTCAGAACTACGGAAATTAAAATTATTGGATGTAATATTATATCTTAAAAATTTGTTTTGCAAAAGTTCATTTCATCAATGACAATTTTTACATTTGTATTTTCCAAACAGCTCAAATTATTGAAATGTAATGTGATAACTCGAAAGTACATCACAATATTGTGTTTTTGTAATTGTTTATATTATTTCGAACCATAATTTGAAATCCGTCTAAAAGTAGTCTTAATTAATATGGATTAAGAAAGTCTATATCAATATTAATCTAGGAGTATGTAAGTATTGTGGAAAACTTTCTATCTGTCATTCATTTTATTTCTGTTTGTGACTTTCTTTTCCATAGTTGAACAGGGTTCACATCTATATACGTCCTTACATTGATATATTTATCCTTGACTCGTCAGTTTGGTGAGAAATCTGGCATCACGTTCGTCTAATCTGTGGTTAGAATTAATCTTCAGCTTCCTAGTTGTTTCATGTCAGCAAATTTTACAGTTTTCATCTTAATTTAATATCGTTTATTAATACATTACCACCACAGAAGAGTTTCCGTTGAAGTGCGGCAATGGAATTTTTTATATGAAGATACATTTGGATTACGGCATTCGTTCACGGTTTCGCGTTGACTCATTCCAAACCTCTAGATTTAGAAACACTAGTAAATTACGGCAGTAAAAACAATTTACATGTAATGTAACAAATGTAATTTATCAAGGCTTTATGCTTAAAAGATTCAACTGCTCCGTCAGAAAAATGGCTTAACGGAAGAAAATTGACATTTTTGTATGTCGCTCGCTAGCGGGAACCATTGCAGTGCACAGACGATAAATTAGCGCGAATCTGTGGTAAAACTCTCAAGCAACTCAGTCAAGTTTAGTCGGGGTTTGTCCTTACATTGTCGTGTTGTGTTGTTTATTCACTTTTAAGCTTGATACGCGCAGTTTTTAGTTTCTATATATAATGAATAATAGCCGAGATGTCAAATGTAACGTAACTGACACTTTTTCCGCAAAGACAGATTTTCGAGCATGACTGTAAATTTTACCTCGTTTTGTGGTTTTGCCAGTTATTTGGCAGGTGGTTGAATATATTGAATCAAATGATGGTTAGGCAACATGTAAACTAGTTTTTATGCCAACTCAGGAAAAAAACGCTTATAATAGGAATCAAATATTTTAGGTGTGTTCACGGTTCACCTCAATGTGTTAGACCCCATTTAGGTGTCGCTTCTCGATAATTGAAACAGCATTGTTTTTTAGCGTCTCCATCCATCCTGTAAATGATATTCTTATTTTATTCTACATATATATTTAAGTTTCGTTTTTTCACTATTGGTTGAAAAATAAATTACTGATTACTGAATATTTTCGATGGTTGAGTATAGCAATAGGTTTTATGGGAAAACGTTCATAGTAGTACATGCGTACTCAGACTAAGCACATTCGGTCCAATGCAAATGTGATAATCGTGACAAACAATATGCAAAACTAATGATCAATCCACAAAGCTGACGGAACGCTTAGTCATTATTCACCATTTATCGTGGAGAGTGAATCACGTACGCTGGTGAATGGTATTTCAGTTTGCGTCGTTTTTAAAAAAACAACTTTAAGAATAAGGTGATTATAAAAGCCACATATCGTCGGTTCAATATCTCACAGCTTATTGTAAAGAACCGCTATTACAGTTAGAAAAATACGGTGTTCAGGTGTTATTCAGGTGCTTTAATACAAACTCACAAATACTTTATTGTAGTGGTCCACCCTGTATTATTTACTAGATATCAGGTACTCGACATATAAGAACTAACATTTAATCCTCTTTTACAAGTGCCAATGCTCGCCGTCATAAAAGATGACAATCTTCTCATAAACTATTATTGAAAACAAAATGTCAAATAATAAAATTTAAATATGAGTGGTTAGCCTTTATGAAAATCCGTAAAAGGGCAATAAATTTTGAGGGAATTTACGTTTCGGTGTGAAACCTTCGAAGCGGTTTAATAATAATTACGTTATTTTACTCAAATATTTTGCTCCCGGAGGCGAAATGATGAGTATAAATTTGTGATCTAATAAACAATTTATCATCGTGCGACATGATTCGCGTAAAAGAGGAATCATCGAAATTGTATTTTACTGCAGACTAACCAAGGTCAGACTTCTTTATACAAGCATTTTACAACTGTGGCAAGAAACGCAATGGCACAGTTGTAAAGTGAAAAGCAATGGCAGACGAAACGTTACAAAAATACATTTGTGTTCGTGTGCAGCAAGACTCTTGAATTAAATAGAATAGTCATTTTCACTCTTGCTATAGCATCATTGCGTTATACGCATACGAATCCACCTGCACATAGAGGCATAGAGCAAGGAAAGGTAGTTAGTTTTACGTTACCCCAGCTTTTAGTTGTATTTCACTGTTGCTGTTATTTTTGTTTTTTTGTTTCTGCATCTGAACGTGAATAATAGTATTATGTGTAAAGACTTACTGGTGACCATTTTTCATTAAGCGATGTTGTTATGCAGATTAGGAGCGAGGTTTTTAAATTTCTTACCCGCCATCTCATCCAAAGTCAAATTAAGTAGACTGCACTTCTGTATTTACTGAACTTCTGTATTTCCGATAAGCCTACCTAACGACATATTCAATGCTGCTTGACCAAGGGTATTCTCTGAAACAAAATACCTCGCAAACATTCGCCGCCGTCATCTTTAGCCTAATAATGTAACAGTGTTTAAACCAAAAAATCATAAATTGAGGGTTTGAACCAAAAATTCATAATTTTATCCGTAAAACATTCAAGTATATATTCAGATTATATCATTATTGATATAAGTCACTTTGAACCGCGTGTAAGCTGTATTAGCGATTAAGGCAATATAGTCAACATTTGCTATTTTCGATTAAATGCAAATTTTATAGAAAGCAATATTCAAAACATGTTATTCGCTTTTTGCGTATTTGCGTGACTCATGTTATTTTGCTTCTTTATCTCAATATTGCTCTTGAGAGTTGGTGTCTGTTTAAAATATATGTTTGAATGTCACTCAACTTGAGTGTATGTTCCACTTGTGACTTAGCACTTATTACTTGACCTAATCCGGATCAGTTTGGCAGTCAGTTCAAGTATTTTCTTGGCAATGTCACGTTGTAATTTTCGACGCGCTCAGGAATAAGAGAAACTAGCATTGTTGTGAAGTTTGCGACCACGTATTTCTAACAAATTGTATAAAATCTCCAAGGGATGAATGAAAACCTACGAAAAACAAATATTCAGCAACAACATGGGTATCGTTGCTGCAGTTTAACTTAGTAAACTAAGCAATGGCAAAGTTTGTTTTCTAGATAGGACTCATAGAATGCTGCATAAAATTACATGGATTTCAGTCCATATTTCATTGACTATTGACGGTATGTACATGTTCTTTGCGTTTAGACGTTTACTCTACCTAAGTAAGTAATATACTACATCTCACTGTCATGAAATATTCTGCGGTAATTTTGCTTTCAATCGCGGGATTAGGTAAGTATTTCTGTTACACGATTTAAGTCTCGAGCTTAAGAGTTTTCTGAATCGTTCAACCATGCTTCATAACTCATGTATTACGGTCTAGAGCTGGCATGGGCAAACTGCGTCCCGCGGGCCAAATACGGCCAATTGCGTAATTCAATCTGGCCCGCCTGGTGCTGCCACAACCAAACTAAATCGAAAATCAAACTAAACAATAGCTCAAGGAATTTGTTGAGATTTCGTTTAAATTTAGTTTTGGCACGAGGATTATTGTTTTCCACTTTTGCCTTTGTAACACTGCGAATATTCATAGAATGTAACTTTTTACGTCACACTTACATGGCCCGCCAGTATAGGAAGAAATAATTTTTGCCCCCTGGCCCAGAACCTTGTCTGCCCCTGGTATAGAGTCTAGCTAGACCCTACAACAGTGGTACTGGAACTATGGGACCACCCCACAATTTTTCTGGGAGCGTGAAGCCAATTAAAAATAAAAATACTTGTTAGATTTGATCTTGTCCGTCTTATTTGGGATATTCACATTGCTTTATTTTGGATATTCAGTTCCATCCACGTATTTTCAACGTGTATTTGAATGAAACATACCTTCGTCATATTATCTGTTGTTTGTGGCTTATTGTTAGCTTGTTATTTTTGAGGTGAGGCGCAGGACCTGACAATTTCTAAAAAAAGGGCTTGAAAAGTTGGAGAACCACTGGTCTAGAATAGGTTAAAAGAAGAAAATGGTACAATGCTACAAATATGATCATTTTAATGAGTTTGTCTCAATTTTTCATCAAAACATCGCTTTTCTAATCACATATACAATTGTACATATTTCAAGTCGCAAGTGATTGGAAATGCACACAAATTGGAGGAACATGCAAAGATTATACGCAAAACACCTGTATAGCTGGATATGTGACAGGAAAATGCAGTGGTAACAACGACAGAAGATGCTGCAAACCATGCAGCCAAAGCTGTAAGTTCAGTTAAACTACTACGATGTATTTACATCTAATTTCCGAAATCCATACAGAGTTGGACAACGCATGATGCAATACTTGCCCGAATTTTTTGTTGATTGAACAATTACTAATTCCTTGTTAGTTGAGATATTACCTACCATATTACAGCATTTAAAAACAAGTTTTACTCAAGATCATTTCTCATCATTTTTCATACCGCATATGGTTGGCATTAAACATTCTGTTCAGTTACCTTGAAAACCAAACATGCTATATATCTGGCAACTATAGTTCTGTACGTATGATAACACTAAAATGCGATTGGGATCATATAGTCATCTGTCTGTAAAACTTGATTGAATGTAATATATAGTGATGAATTGGCGTTTTATGCCACTCGCGGCACATTCTTTGCGACCAAACAAATTCTATCTTGAATATTTATGAGAATATAAAATCGAAGTATTTTTCAAAAAGGTAAATCGAAGGAAGCATCTGACTCATTGCGTGATGGTGCTTGCAATGGAAAATGTCAACACAATTCAAACTACTGCGATAGTCCGTACCAAAGTGGTAAATGTGGTGGCCCAAGTGCAAGACAATGCTGTCCTGGATGTAAGCAGAACTGATTTATTTTTTAAATTTAGTCCTTTTTTTAATACGCGGAAAAACGGGCGGTCTGGAAGTATATGTAACAAGATGACGCACAACCTGAACCTTTACCTGGTACACATACGATGTTCAGGTTGAGCGCTTTCCTGGTACACATACTTCGGGAGCACCGAAAAACGAGCAATGAGTGCAAATAGTTTTTTTTTCTTATAATTCATTATATCACAGTGGTTCCCAACTATTTATGGCTAGTGGCCCCCTCCCGAGGCTTTGGGCACTCGTGGCCCCCTATTTTTCATTGCAGTAGTATTTATAGTGTTATTTTTATTGGTATATTCCGAATTCATGCTTAACACCTTCTGAAATAACCGTGTCAAGCGGTGAGACTAGGAAAACGGGGAGTTTTCTTGTGAAGAGAAAAGTAAAATCAGTTTTGCGCCTAGCAAACTTTCAAACATATGTCGCAATATACAAAACATCTGAGTAATAATTGATTCATAATTCAAATAGAACTTTAATATAACCAATACTGTATATACATTGCTTTCAGCGAATTTCTGCTATGACGATATCCTTAAAGTGGAAACAACAGGCGCATCTGCTGAAACTGCTAAACAAGATAAACTAAGTTACCACGGTAATAGGAACTTTACCTTAAATTTATTTGGTATCAAAAATGCAATCACTGCTTGTATGTGCATTTACTTGGTTTTTTTTTTTTAATACGTATTTTACTAAAAATGAGTCGAATACCTTTTATATATCTGCTGTCATATTCATAACATTCCCTATTGGAGTTTTTGGCGACTGTTTGCAAAAAATTGTCATTATCACATGAATGACGGATGTGCAAAAGCAAATCCGAAACAACCACAGCTCCGTGAGTAGTTAAAGTAAAAATACATGCTTGCCATCATTCCACAGGAGTTGCAGCATCGAGAAAAATGGCACAAACGGATGCGAGTGCAATGGCCACATATAAATCGAAGATTCTCGTTGCTGCAAAGAAATATTGTGTACAAGCGGCTGTTATTGCAGGTTCGTCTTTATTTTTTATTGTAAAACCCATTTACTGTTGTTTGATAAAAATTGATTAAAATATAGATACTATTATCAGATATGGTGGTCGGCTGGTCGCTAGAAAAACAGAAAATTGATTAAACAGCTATTTGTTTTTACAAAGGATAACTTTTTCAAATGCATCATTCACGAACACTCAAAATGTCGTCATTGCACTTAAGAGCAGTGTATTACCAACTACAATAACTCTAACAACAATCTAGAACCTAAAGGAAATAAAACGTAACGAATAAGAACGCATTTTGTTCGTAATCTCTTTTGACCTTCAAAATTTCTGCTTTTGTAGCAACTACCCTGTATGATAATCTATAATGGAAATCAAAACAACAATGCTTCGCAAAATATAAATTTGGTAATTTTGACCTCTAGAAAATGTGGATTTCTTGTAACGCCATGTGTATAATTCTCTATATTTCAGGTATAATCAGTCGAGAAACAAGAGCTGGCAAAGTTTTGATGTCAGATGGTTTTGGATTTGATCGTAGTGGATTTGGTCTCATGCAGGTACGTTCTAAAACTGAAAACGTTCAAAACTTACTCATTTATATGCTACGACAATTTGATGTCGACAAATTCAAACTTCGCAACACTTATCATGTTGGATTTACACTTCGTGAACATCTCACTGAAATAGAAATAAATTATCATTTACAAATCAACTGCAAGCCTAGATGGGTTTGACTCGTGGAAGCCACTAAAGTAATTGAAAACGGAAATGTATCATCTGAAACAAAAATTGAAAGGCTCTCAAGAAAATTGAAGCACTATTTTTACATATAATGTAATCCTGATACTGTCTATTCAAGAATTGTTCTCAAGAGGACGGCGAATATTGCTTTCAATCTTAGATTAAAATTGCGAGTTGAAAATTTTTTTTAATTTAGAAATTTAATAATAATCACTAAAATATTCTTAGGTTGACAAGGGAAGCCACAATCCACAAGGTGGCGCATTTAGCCAAACTCATATTAATCAAGGCACAAGTATGTCATTATGATTCTTGCTTCAGATTGTCAAATGTAAATTTGTAATAACTTATACGAACCATGTTAAATATAAAGCTATTTTTATATTTATTCATCATTGAATTAGTGTACACTCAGCAGGCCATATCTGAATACTCAATGAATGACATTGAATAAAAATAGATGATTTTGTTCATCACCCCTTTTCGACCAGAAGCTTCCACGGTATTCCAGTAGTGTGTGTACCCGGTTAGGGTTAGGCCATGATTTTATTTCGATTTTCCTTATTTTAGTACAATCACAAGTTCGGAGACTGTCTGAATATACCCCTATAAGTTTCAGTCCCTTCATACAACTAGATGTAAAGTAGGCGAACAAAGTTAGTTACCCCCATATTGGTACACACACTTTTGGAGCGCCGCTTTTACAGTTTGACTGCATTTCATCATCAATAATTTTTCTTTTGGTCGAATTCAATAAAAAAGAAATCAATTTTACGTAAGGAGATTTTCTCAACAGGAAGAATACTCTTGTTTTTAGAGATTCTCGTCGATATGCTTAAAGGAGTTCGAAATAAGCACAAATCCTGGAGCAAACTATGGGTTTACAAAGGAGGGATAAGCGCTTATAACGCAGGAGTAAAAAACGTTCGCACGTATGCGGGAATGGATGTCGGAACCACCGGTAACGACTACGGGAATGACGTAGTTGCCAGAGCTAAATGGTACAAGGAGAACGGATACTAACAACATAACAGAACATCTTAGTTTTTTTCTTTCTGTAATACATCTTATCTACACCAAATAGGTACTAAAATAATCATAATTGTGGAAGTCTTCATGTACGTCCATTGAAAATAAATTGGAACATTCAATGTGTATATTCAGCAACTCGGTATTCGTTTGGATATTCAAATATGATGTTAAATTGAGTTCTAAGTTGGAATATTACTAGTTTGTTTCTATAATTATAATATATCAGTAATTGCATCTATGTACTATGTCTCTTGATTTAGTAGTTATAGGGAATACAAACCAAACCGGGTGGGTACTTCCCATGCGCATATAATAATGCGAACTCAATTATTGGTCGATCGATCAATGACATTCAGCAAGGTCAAGGTGATGGAAGACTTTCATAGATTTGATTTCATAGTGTCAGGTCGATAGTAGCGTTCGTAATGTATAAGTTAGAAAATATCGTTGGTAATTTTCTAAAAATACCTTAACACTAACAAATATCGAATTCCTAAAAACCAAATCTCCCAAGTCGTGGAATGTATAATATACCTGAATGACGTAATGCCCTCGTGTGGATCTTTTTCAAATTTACCAAGTATTGAAAATTCATACGATTGCTAAATTTTTTACTTCCTTTTCCAACACAAACTTAATCAAAATATAGTCAGCGGTAACATCTGATTTTAATCGATGCTCTTCCTGTATGTATCAGCTCATATTGCGAGATTTTCTTCTAGCCTAGCAAAGGTGTAGGAGGTGTGTTCGGATATGCTGCATTACGAGAGTACGCAGAGTAGGTGGATTGGCACAAAAAATGCTTTTGCACGTATATTGTAAGAACCTGAAAACAATGACGATTTGGGCTGAAAATTTTTTACTCAAGAAAGACAGTTGGATATTATAAACTAAACTAGCCTGTGAAAGTAAAAGTACCCTGTCGGTAAACTGCTGCAATCGTTTAGAGTGGAAGTGGAGAAATATACTCCACTGGTGTGATACGTAGAAACTAACTCTATCGCTTTGGCATATTTACAGAAACTGGGCAGTGACTGAATTTTTGTTTTATGTTTTCATTTTAAAGTTTTACGGTTTTGTTTCGTTTCTCTGGTCAATTTACATTTCTGTTCAAGTTTGTTGAATGAATCGTTCGCTTTTGTTGTAGTATACCAGTGGTTCCCAATGTTTCCCCTTCGCAACCCCTTTAACAAAAACTTATATTAAAAAGCACATTGTGCATAGCATAGATATTTAATCGCTTACAACTTATTCGATGCGATGGTTGGGTTTTCGTCTGTGCAGCCAACTTTAAAATTTGTGATTGCGTGTTGGACAAAACCACTCTCAGTTCATATTCTACATTCTTTCTATTTCTTTCCTTAGTTTTGATATGTAAAAGTGTCGAAAATCCGCTCTCACACAGGTTTGTTGTAACAAAGGGCAGCAGTATTGGAAATGCCAGTTTCGATGGTTGTGGATACGATTCAAACCTATCCAGGGCTGGATTAATCATCATAAAGCAAAATAAGAGAAAGGAGTAACTTCAGAAATTTCCATTAGATATTTTATCTTTCGTGTTCATAAATTTCAGCATTGCTCTCTTATTTGTCTATCGCAGTGGTTCTCAAACTTTTTTTTCAAAAATTATGCATAACGGTCCCCTTGCAATTTTTCTGATGACTCGCGGTCCACTAAAGAAATGAAAGCAAATAACAACGCGGTATAACAAGCATTCATCTATTGAATGACATTAAAACAGTTCAATGAGAAGGGTGCACCTGATTGGCTTCGACTAGTTCTTCTCCCCCGTTTTTTTTTTATAATAACTCTCATATCGTGTCCCACGTCCATTCTGTTTCAACATATTTTTTTTAATAGCGAGTAACGAGGAAAAAGCTGCCTCACATTTGTAAGTTGTTGCAAATGAAATGAGCATTTTAGTACCCTCTTAGCGACATCGGGATAGGACGGTGCCACCGTGGTTTTTCTTTTCCTCCAGACCTATCACAGCAAAACCTAATCTCACATATGAATCATTATATCAAAATCGATTTTTTACGGCCAGGGGGGCACTTTTAAATAACCCCGAAATAATTTACAATCAGATGCACACGCCCTCCATAAACAATATGCTCTGATTTGCGTACTTGGCACGTTAACCAACGTTTGTTACGTATTATATTATTCATTTTTGTGTTCTCACCGGCTGTTAACCCGAGTATACCAAATACTAGCAGACACATAAACGCTCAAAAGTTTAATCTTTATGCGAAATTAACTGAACATCAAATTGTTAAAATTAAACAAAATTATTAGTGATCCGCAACATTATCCATCAGTAGCCATTATTAGCGTACCATTGGGATCTAGCAACTACATCGTTTGCATAATCATTTCCAGTGGTGCCGACGTCCATGTTATTGTACGAATCGACATTCGAAACGCCTGCGTTGTAGGCACTGATTCCACCTTTCAGGGCCATGTCTTGGCTCCAAGAAGGATGCTTATTCTTTACACCATTGATCATATCGATGAGAATTTCTAGAGTAAAAAAAATCTAGTCATTGAGCGCAAAATTTCATTGGTTTTCAGCTTTTCATTCAAATTCCTTCGTTCGTCTATTTTGGAATTCTTTATTCTTCTCTCACTATATGCATAAAACGTACTAAATCGATTCAGTCTTTAAGTTTAATGGATCCATAGCTAGTGTATGTGCAAGTTGATATCCAAATGGATTTTGTACAGTTTAGGTACTTAATAATGTGCGCATGAATTCTCATTATACAGGGGCATCGCTAGAAAAACAGAAAATCAGTCAAACAGCAAGTTGTTTAGAGGCATTATGTTTCCTTTTAAAGTCTGAAGGCTGTTTTCTGTCTTTTTCCATAATGTGGGTGTCAAAACAGAAATGAAATAAAAAAAGATATCAACCTAAAACAACCTAGAACCTATAAAACGTATCGAAAAAGAAATGAGTGAGCACGCATTTGATTTGTGATCTCATCTGACATTCAAATTTTCTGCTTTTCTAGCAACCACCCTGCAATAATATTAAAGAACTAAACAATAATAGTAATACTATACCGAATGCGAAGCAAAACTACTAACCAAAAATGACAAAACTCCCCCTGAGGCGGATTTCTCCTCGGTTGGGAAACGTAGGAATAGATAATGTCAAGAGCTAAATTACACAGAGCACACACACTACTGTAGTACCGTGAAAGCTTCTGGTCGAAAAGGGGTGATGAATAAAATCTTCTATTTTTATTCAATATCATTCATTGAATATTCAGATATGGCCTGCTGGGTGTACACTAATTCAATGATGAATAAATATAAAAATAGCTTTATATTTAACATGGTTCGTATAAGTTATTGCAAATTGAAACTTGGCAATTCGAAAAAAAGAACCTTAATGACATACTTGTGCCTTGATTAATGTGAGTTTGACTAAATGCGCCACCTTGTAGTCTGTGGAATCTTTTGTCAACCTAAAAATATTTTGATAATTTCTATTAAAATTTTTCCAACTTGCAATTTTTATCAAAGATTGAAAGCAATCTTTGCCGTCTTCGTGAGAATAATTCCTAAATAGACAGCATCAGGATTACATGTGCTTTCTTGATAGCCTTTCAATTTTGGTTTCAGATGGTACATTTACGTTTTCAATTAGCTTTGTGGCCTCCATGAGTCAAACCAATCTAGGCTTGCAGTTGATTTGTAAATAGTAATTTATTTCTATTTCAGTGAAATAGAATATGTTGACGGAGTTCAATTCCAACAAAAAAGGGTGTTGCGAAATTTAATATTCGTCGGAATTGTCGTAGCAAGTAAATGAGTGAATTTCCAGTTTAGTAATGTACCTGCATGAGACCAAATCCACTGCCATCAAATCCAAAACCATTTGATCCCAAAACTTTGCCAGCTCTTGTTTCTCGACTGATTATACCTGAATTATAAAGAATTATCCACATGAAGTTACAAGAAATCAACATTTTCGAGAGGTCGAAATTGACAAATTTATATTTCGCATTATGTTGTTGTGTTAATTCCCATTATATATTACCATACAGGGTAGTTGCTACAAAAGCAGATATTTTGAAGGTCAGATGAGATTACGAATAAAACGCGTGCTTATTCGTTACTCTTTTTTATTTCTTTTAGGTACTAGATTGTTGTTAAAGTTAGTCTTTGTAAAAACAAATAGCTGTTTAATCAATTTTCTGTTTTTCTAGCGACCACCAAATATTATGCAGAGTATCTATATTCTACTCTATTTTTATCAAACAACAATAAAAGGTTTTTAAAAAATCAAAAATAAATATAAACCTGCAATAACTGCCGCTTGTACACGATATCTCTTTGCAGCAACGAGAATCTTCGATTTATATTTGGCCATTGCACTCGCATCCGTTTTTGCCATTTGTTTCGATGCTTCAACTCCTGTGGAATTTTACCAAGCACGTATTTTTACTTTAATTACTCACGGAGCTGTGGTTGTTTCGGATTTGCTTTTGCACATCCGTCATTCATGTGATAATGACAATCGTTTTGCAAACAGTCGCCAAAAACTTCAATAGGGGATGTTATGAATATGACAGCAGATATATAAAAGGTATTCGACTCATTTTTGGTAAAATACGTATTTAAAAAAAAACTATGTAAACGCACATACAAGCAGTGATTGCATTTTTTCATACCAAATAAATTTAAGGTAGAGTTCTTATTACCGTGGCTTAGTCCATCTTGTTCAGCAGTTTTAGCAGATGCACCTGTTGTTTCCATATCATGGATATTCCCTGAAAGCAATGTATATATTGGTTAAGCTCTATTTGAATTATGAATCAACGGGGGGTACGGTGAAATTAAAACGCCAAAAGTGCAATTCACGACGACGTAAGGCGTTTTATGAACTAAAAAGTATGCGTCGTTCACAGCGAAATTTCACAGTTACGCCTCTCTTTGCTTGACGGTGTTTGGTGAATACTTTGCAAGTCCTATTTCTAACATCGACTATTTATCCGTAGTCAGTCCATACCCGAATATAGAAATAAAACATTGAAAATTGCAAAAATTAATTTTTAAAATTAACTCGTGGGTGTCAGTAGCGTCATAACCGCTTATATATTCAAGAACACGCTCGCATGTAGCGCCGATCGAATGCATGGAATGTGACACTATTATTTGGAATTTAATGCTAACCAAGTTGATTTTTTATTGCTAAACAATGATTATTTCACATGCGCCGCGATTAGTGGTGGGAAAAAGCGAATTTTTTATTTGAAAATATTCAAATACTTCAACGAGCATCAGATAATGAGTATTGTCCTTTTAAACAACATTAATTGGGATGTCGGGCGCCGAAACGATCGCCGTTACGTTTTTTTTTTTGGAATTTACTAGAAGACTAAAAACTCCGTAACGATGCGGCGTTTTTTTATTTTATAATGTTGTTATACTCGACGCCCACACTAATTTTTTTTGTCATCGCGATCGTTTCGGCGGCTGACATCTCAATTAATGTTGGTAAATTATATTAAAGCACTTTTTTTCACTAGTTAATATTAATTCTCACTATCGTAGTTTGGTTTTTATATTTTGGGCACAATTGTGAGTTCACATCGGCGAAGATGTTAAAGACAACTAACTATTTAAGGAGTGCATTCACAACAAAAATTAATTTTATTCTGATTTTTATCTTCTGTGTAGTATTTGTATCACAGTTTGTAAATTACGGTCCCAATTTCAAGCGAACGATAAAATATATTACTGACCCCGGGGTGCGATATTTGTGAAGCTGATAGTTGAAATTTTTATGCTTTCAATTTCATATTGTGTCCATGTTACTTTCGTATTAAATAAGAATTGAAAACTCGGCAAAATCAGCAATTATGGCATTCCTACGTGATGAAAATACTATTTCTCCCCAATATCTCGGGAAATTTCTAGAAAACGGTATTCACATGCCTTGCTTATCTGGTTCAACGTTTCTAAATTAAAAAAAAACGGTGTTGGCGCGATTTGTGCAAAATTAGAAATTGAAAATATGATAGGCACAACGAGGAAAGAAAAAAAAATTAAAAAATTCTCACATTCATCGTTTCTGCCTGTCAGCGATAACCGTCGATAAATTCTTACACCTAATTCGTTGTAAATAAACGTTAATAAATTCTACTTTGCTTTTCAATGCGCCGTTCTTTGTATTAAAATAAAAGCAATTGAGTCGGAAAGAGAAAGTCGTTAAATTAGCTTATAACTTCACTCCTTTTGAGTGGCCATAACGGCGGTTAAACTCGTTTCATGTCTGTTTCGTGGAGAGAAAGAAAAATACGCCTTACCGAATTGCAATCAACGCATTCTTAATTATCATTATAGGGGCCAACTAAAAACGATAACATATCGTTAGGACAAACAAGTCTGGCGGTGTTAAATGCGCAACGGTGATAATGCACAGAATAATATCGCTTTAGGGCGACCGCGGCCATGATGCGCGACCGTAAACGATGCTGTTGATCTCTTGAATTTTCTCATGAAAAAAAATTCCCAAACGGGGGGTTACAACCCATGTAAAACCCCAATTTGTAGTGAACTTTTAAAATTTCTCAATCTGTTGACAATAATACATTTTTGAACAGGGAATGTTTCAAGGCATTTTACACTTTCGACAAATTTCATATATCTTTGCTTGCTACTGCAGCTTGATTAAAATTTTCTAGGTGCGAATAATAATTTCAAGTAGATATGTATTATTGAAATACTAGTCTTTCCAATATCTGATATAACAGCAGCTATCATCCGGGGGACCGTGACCGCACAAGAGGCGCAGGACAATTTGAGGGGGCCCTAATGCTAGGCGCAAAACTGATTTTACTTTTCCCTTTACAAGAAAACTCCCCGTTTTCGTAGTCCCACTACTTGACACGGTTATTTCAGAGGGTGTTGAGCATGACTTCGGAATATACCAATGAAAATAACACTATACATGCTACTGCAATGTAAAATAGGGGGCCACAAGTGCCCAAAGCCTCGGGAGGGGGCCACTAGCCATAAATAGTTGGGAACCACTGTGATATAATGAATTATAAGAAAAAAAAAACATTTGCACTCATTGCTTGTTTTCCGCGTATTAAAATAAGACAAAAATTTCAAAAATGAGCAGGCTTACTTACATCCAACACAGCATTGCCTTGCACTTGGGCCACCACATTTACCACTTTGGTACGGAAACTCACAGTAGTTTGAGTTGTGTTGACATTTTCCTCTCGCCGTGTCGCATGTACCATCACGCGATGAGTATGATGATTCGTTTGATTCACCTTTTTAAGAACAATGCTTTGTTTTTATAATCTCGTAAATATTCAAGATAGAATTTGTTTGGTCGCAAAGAATGTGCCGCGAGTGGCATAAAACGCCAATCCATCACTATATGTTGCATACAATCGAGTTTTACAGTCAAATGGCTTTATTACACCAATCGACATTTTAGTGTTATCTTCCGTACAGAACTAGTTGCCAGCTACATAGCATGCTTGACTTTCAAGGTAACTGAACAGAATGTTTAATGCCAACTATGATATTATTTTGTATTATGTGATGTGATTACTATGTATTATGCCAACGGGTATTCTGTTATCGAGGGAAATTGTCAAAATGCACTTTTGATCATATTCTTTTTATCTCATATACACATCGGTTTACTTATCTTGAAAATATCCTTTCCTAAAGTAATGTTTATTTCCTTCCAAGGCAATACGGATGATGGCTCGTTTCCATGGCAACGAGGTATTTTCTTGGATGGCACCATATCCAAAATTGATCAGGGGATGCTACTGTACATGTGTGTCAAGTTTCATGCTTGCATCCAAAAGTGCATGATTTTATCTCTTATCCGCTGGACTACTATGCGGTGTGTGCTGTACTTTTTTGAATTTAAGAGGTTTTTTCTTTATTAAATGAGAAACTGTAAAAACTATGCCTTGATCTGTGATCTCAGTAAAACTTGTTTTTTAAATGCCGTAATATGACAGGTAATGTCTCAACTAACAAGGAATTAATAATTGTTCAATCAACAAAAAATTCGGCCCAGTATTGAATCATGCGTTGTCCAACTCTGTATGGATTTCGGAAATTAGATGTAAATACAGTAGGAGTTTAACCAAACTTACAGCTATGGCTGCATGCTTTGCAGCATCTTCTGTCGTTGTTACCACTGCATTTTCCTGTCAAATATCCAGCTATACAGGTGTTTTGCGTATAATCTTTACAGGTTCCTCTAATTCGTGTACATTGCCAATCACTTGCGACTTGAAATAAGAACAATGGTAATATATGATTAGGAAGGCGATGTTTCAATAAAAAATCGTGACAAACTCATTAAAATTTAACCTACTCTATACCAGTGGTTCTCAAGCCCCTTTTTTAGAATTTGTCAGGTCTCGCTCCCCGCCTCAAAAATAACTAGCTAACAATAAGCTGCAAATAACAGATAGTAAGGCGAAAGTATGTTTTATTCAAAAACACGTTGAAAATACGTGGATGGAACGTAAATATCCGAAATGAAAATATTCAAAGTAAGACGGGCAAGATCATATCTAACAAGTATTTTTATTATTAATTAGCTTCACGCTCCCTGAAAAATTGTGGGGTGGGCCCACAGTTTAAGTACCAATTTTCTAGGGTCTATACCAGGGGCGGGCAAAGTTTTCTGGCCAGGGGCCAAAAATTATTCCTTCTTATACTGGCGCTTATAATATACCATGTGAGTGTGAAAGTTACATTCTATGAACAATATTCACAGTGTTACAAAAGTAGAAAACAATAAGCCTCGTGCCAAAACAAAATTTAATCGCAATCTGAACAAATTCCTTGAGCTATTGTTTAGTTTGATTTTCGTTTTAGTTTGGTTGTGGCAGCACCAGGCGGGCCAGATACAATGGTCGGTCACCATTGTAGACGCCAAATTTGGAGTGCCCTTAGCGCCCACACCAGGGAATAATTCTTAGATAGTCGATCTGTTTTAGTAAACTGATTTCGTCACTCCAATGCAAAAAGACGCGTACAAGTTGATGATTACGTACAAAATTACGACACAGATACGTCGGTACGATGGTGGTTAAAACTATACAAAATTGTGTAAATTAAGTAAAATAACAGTTGCGGTTGATTACAGAAACAGGCATTCGCGTAACATTCTACAGCAGAAATAATCCCTGAATATAAAAACAATAAAGTGAAATACGTACTTGACAGTGTAGCTTTCAGCTTATAAAACAATCGACAGTTGATTGGAACAGTTAATCAAATTAGGTTATTCTAAATATATGAAAATACAATTAAAAACTTGAACTAGGCTACAAATCTGCAACCAGACAACGAGACCCCCGGACTACAAATCTGCAAGCCCGTAATCCTGAGAAGGTCGAATCAAGGTCCTCGAAGCGGCGCGCGCATCGAACGCGCGCGGGGTATTATGAAGTCATAATCAGTAAAATCCATGAACGTATCAAAGTCCTTATATACCTAAGTTGCGCAACAATGGAAATTGGCCGCCATTTTCGATCAATATCGCCTGCGAGGTTACGGCGGTTCTGCGTGATCCGCGGCTAGGCTGGTGCCTTCTGCTATAGAATTAAAGGCTGTTCGACTCTAATTGCAGCGGGAATAGCAAAACAGTGCAACTATTGAAGCTATCATCAGATGCAGAGAAGGAGGAAATGGGAAAATAACTGTAGGCGACGTAAAGGCTGGAAATCTGGCCCAGGCAGTTCCTTGTGTGAGGTTAGTCAAACGAATGGCCTAATGTCAAACTAACACCAGGAAAGATAGGTGGTACACAGTTTTAGGATGATGTCATATTTAATTATTTATGTCACGTTGCCGATTCGACTCATTTAAGTTAGCTCTGACCCCAGGAAAGTTGAGTTAAATTAGTAAGATTTTCTAAATGCTGGCTTCAGATGTCAGGTCAGCAGGTTAGGGAAACTGTTTTCAAATCTTCCTAAGTAATGCAAAGTCAGAACATTGCATTGAATGTATCAGATTTATTGTCACGATTGTTTAAAGCACTGCAGTAACAAAAATTTATAGTAATTAGCAGCAATATGAGTAGACAATTCGGAGCTTAGTGGAAATAATGAATTTCTGAACTGAATGCGTGTTTCGTTAAGTCACTGTCAATTATATTTTGTGTTAAAATGGGATGCTGAACGCTTGTTATTTCGAAAGTACGTTCATTGTGTAACCTACAACTCATTCCTTTTTCAGACTCACTTTTGAAGAATACCAATTTGAACCGAAGAGTACGGATAAATGGAAAAAATTAAAATAAAAGGGAATGACAATATTCGATGTGCCAAATCCACCAAAAAATTCAAATCATCAAGAATTGTATCAACTAAAATATTGACTGAGATGAAGTTTCAAAAAATAACAATAGGCCTACAGTGAGTTGTGAATGCCAAAGTAAACTCTAATTGCCAGTTTGAATGTCTCGTAAATCATTTCTTAAACGTTTTGGGTTTGATTGAAACAGCCGACTCCAGGACGAACCAGTTGTGTCAGAAACTTATAATGTTGGGTCATATAAAAAAGTACAAAAATGTGAAAATTGGGGGGGGGGGGCATTTCCCTCTAATCGTTTTTGCGATATGAAACAACATAACACTTTCATTATAACACGGGGGTGCTATTTTTTTGCGTTTTTAATCAGCCACTCGTATGTAGTCGCCATCGCTTGGCTGACATGGGCAGTTCAGAGCTCGTGATGACCTAAGATGAGGAAGGTCGGAATGAAATATGGGGCTAACCGTCACTTGGTACACATACTGCTGAAGTTTCAATTATTGTACCTTTTTCATTTCTTTGTTATTTAATTGTTAAAATTTTAATTGTTGATCAATCGAATAGCACTTCTTTTCTATGTCTTTCATATTAAGGTATTTACATGCTATTCTTGATCAATTGAATGGTCTTTTTCTCATGTCTTTGATAGTTGATATGAAGTATCATTTCTTTTTATTGGTTAATCAAATTATTTCCAAATTCTAGACTATTAGTTTGTTTGTAATGGTTTCATGAATCATACTGTAACACCAAAGATTTAAATAAAAATGTTCACTATTCCTATGATAATCATTGCTCGCTTTGATTTGTAGACACGATTCCCAAGATGTGAATTATTGAATTTTTCTATTGATTGATCCTCTTGTGTGAGTCAGAAACATTTTCAAAACCCGACCTGCTAAAACTTATTGATAAGTACATTATAAGTATTAACATTCTTGGAGTGCAAGGTTGAAAAAATCCCAAACATATGTATAAAGTTCATGCAATTTTTAAACATTTTCAGATCATGACAAACCTATGAATAGAATTCCTCTTGCCCTATCCAATGTGTTTCTGTGTAATGTGTATGTCCACTGGGTTGCACTTTATTTTATTTGTTATTCACGCTCAGACACATCCTCATCACATTAATTTTTTTGTCCCAGATCCACTTTGTGTTTATAGCCAATTTTTTTTTTTTTTCTGATTATTATCGTCCGAACCCCATTGAATTCAGGTATCAGTCAGGTATAATTTTCCATCACATCCCCTCATTTTGTTCACAAATTTATTGTAAAAATATTATCTAAATAGTTCAAGTTTTGCCATTAGTCATCTCTCAGGGTTAAACTTAATATTGATCACTTCGAATAAATAGACTAGAAAAGATATTCAAGAATGAAAAAATTCCAAATTGTTTTTTGCGTTTTTCTCAAAATTGTGGCTATGGCTATTTTATTGATGACTGTATTTTTTGGTTGACAAAATAATGAAATCTCTCTCTCTCATTGTACTGCCATTGGTAAGAACGTTTAAAACTCAGTTATGCAGCTGGAGCCTGGAGTGTCTAAAAAGGGCGAATTTCTAATGTAACATTGACATCAATATTTAGCTACAGTCCCATTTGACGTCGCCTTCACTGTCGAAAAATTTAGTTAGTTTTAGTCATTTAGGCCTGTTGTAGTGTGAAACTGTGTTTGTCTACTATCCTAATGGAAACATCATCACGGAGGTCTTGTCACGCCATCGGGACGCTTCGGTTGTCAGTAAATTCCGGACGCCAGACGTCAAATCCGGGACTGTCCCTGCCATTCCCGGGACGGTTGGTAGCCCTAGCATCAGCAGGTCTTGAATAGTTTAAGATTTTGCCTACTTTCCCGATTTTCCGTAGGCTATATGAGTGTGTGTTGACTTGCATTGCCTATATATTTGTTTTAGTGTTACGAAAAACCGAAATAAACTTTACTTTACTAACCGTGCGTTGCGTCTATATTATGTTTGTTACCGAGCGTCGTGGGTTCTTAATGTAAATGCCCCGACATCCTATCGGATTTCTGCGCCCTCGGAATATAACTACTGATTTAAATCTGCCCCAAAAGCCATTTAAAACTACTAAAATTAGGCTTGTTTGCGTTACACTACTCGAGCCGAATGATCGAAAATGGCGTCCATATGACGCCATAATGGGACAAGTTAGTTGCACGGGGTTGGAACGTATGTACCGCCAGCGCCTCTAATGGTAAACGACAAAAATAATACTGAAGTGGAAGAGTCAGTTTCACTAATATTAACGTTCTATTTCTAATGCAGAAACAAAAATAACAGCAACGGTCAAATACAATTTCGACGATTCTTCCTTTACGCGAATCATGGTTTATTAGACCATGAATTTATACTCATCACTTACTTCCGGGAGCAAGATATTTGAGTAAAGTTTATCTCTATTCAAACAGAATATTTATATAACTTATCCAATTACCTTTTCCAATAATTTGTTTGATCTGCCGAAGAATTTCCAAGCATGTAGGATAGATAAATGGTGCCGCGCCCAATGTACGCACACACCCATCGACCATAGTTGACTTGGTATTTATGCAACTATGTTTGTCCTAACTCTGAATCTACTCCGAATTATCATCTGTTTACAGGCACAAGCACTAAATATGGCAACATTAGAAAAGTTGACACAACAGGTGCATCTGCCGCAACAGCTCCCCAAGATGGCTTATCTGGGGGTGAGAGTACATAGATACAAGTTATTATTGATATTAAATCACATTAAAGCAGGGATGTGCAACATTTTTGTCAGCAGGCCTTATAAACAACTTCGGACATCTAGCTGGGGCACACAAACATGCATTGCATCATGTCCACAACGAATTACAGTAACAACTGCATCGGTAAAAGATAAAACGTTGCGACAAGAGCAAAAAACATTGTTTATTTTCACCCACGTGAGCGCCTTTTCCTACATAAACTGTCGGATTGAAATTTCATGATTTATAGGGAAATATCTTGTGAGTCATGACAAGGGCAACACCAAATGGCTTGGCGGGCCGGATTGTGGGTCGCGGGCCGCCTGTTACACAACGCTGCATTAATATAATGAAATCGGAAATAATAATGTCGGTTATTAATGGAAACGAATACTAATCTTTATATTTTGTAAGGAAAAATGACATTTGTGGTGACCGTTTGTAATTTGTGTGGGGACCGCTATATAAGAAACATCCAACTTCATATTATTTTGGGTAAATTGAAGAAAGTCAGTAATTGCTCCATAGAAATTTTATTACATATTGTATTGGCATGAACAATAGGGGAAGGGGAAAGATTGCACATACTGCCGTATGCATATATTCATGATTTTTCAGTTATGTGGAACTCAACACTTCATAGCTGTTTTCTTGATCGTATTGGATTGAACTCCTTTTGTGTTTCGTCAATCGGTTTTTGCTAACGCACAAGACTACGCTAGCTATGATTCTTTATGGTGTCACTCCTAACAATTTAGGGGTCACTCATAACTTTCCGCAGTGATCAATCTCATTAGTTTCTAGTGGGTGAGCATGACCCTTCTTAGCCAAATTTTCTCGAATAAAAAATCTAATAAAGTATTATTTTACAGGAGTTTCCTCATCACATCTGATGGCACAAAATGATAGGAACGCAATGTTTCAATATAAAAGTTTAATTGAAACAGCAGCCAACGAGTTGTGCATTGACGCAGCTGTGATTGCAGGTAAAATAGAATTATGAAAATGAGCGTTTTATCGTATTTTTTCATGGGCACATGTGGTTTTCGTGTTTAGGTTGATGTGAGCATAGTCTGAAAGTAATTTAGCTCTTGACATTATCTATTCCTACGTTTCCCAACCGAGGAGAAATCCGCCTCAGGGGGGTTTTTGGTTAGTAGTTTTGCTTCGCATTTTGTATAGTATTACTATTATTGTTTAGTTCTTTTATATTATTGCAGGGTGGTTGCTAGAAAAGAGTTAGGGTTAGGCCATGATTTTATTCCGATTTTCCTTATTTTAGTTCTATTACGGGTTTCGGGGGGGGCTATCTGTGTTAGCCAAGTGAATATATCCCCTGCCCTTAGTTTTCCGTCCCTTTACCCAACTTGATATAAAGTAGGCTAACAAAATTAGTTATCTCCATATTGGTACACACAATTCTGGAGCGCCGCTTTCACAGTATGAACGCATTTCATTATCGATAACTTTTCCCTCGGTCGAATTTAATAAAAAGGAAATCAGTTTTACGTATCGAGATTTTCTCAACAGAAAGAATATTCTTGTTTCTAGAGATTCTCGTCGATATGCTCAAAGGAGTTCGAAATAAGCACAAATCCTGGAGCAAACTATGGGTTTACAAAGGAGGGATAAGCGCTTACAATGCAGGAGTAAAAAACGTTCGCACGTATGCTGGAATGGATGTCGGAACTACCGGAAACGACTACGGAAATGACGTAGTTGCCAGAGCTAAATGGTACAAGGATAACGGATACTAAGAACACAACGGAACACTTTTCTTTCTGTAATACTTCTTATCTACACCAAATAGTTACTAAAATAATCATAATTGTGGAAGTCTTCGTGTAAGTCCAATAAAAATAAATTGAAACATTCAATGTTTATATTCAACAACCCTGTATTCGTTTGAGTATTCAAATTTGAAGTTAAATTGAGCTTTATTATGTATGTAATGGAATATTATAAGTTTGTTTCTATAATTATAATATAATATATCAGTAACTGCATCTATGTGCTATGTTTTGTGAGTTAGTAATAGGGAATTCAATCATATAGGGTGAGTACTTTCCATGCGCATATAATGCTCACTCAAGGATGGATCTACCAATGCATTCTCTAGGCATCGAGCAAGGTGATTCGATTTTATATTATAAAGTCAATAGTAGCGTTTTTAAATGTATTTACTTCATAAAAAGTTAGGAAATATAGTTGGAGTCGTTGAACGTTTGAATAGCAATATACCGTAACTTCAACACTGTTAAAAAAGGCTCCAAAGTTCACAGAGCCTACCATTGAAAGAAAATACACTATTATATTCGATAACGTTGTCTATACGTGATGCGACGTAAAATTTTTTCTCAGTGAGATGATTATTCTATTCATTCGACGTCACATTTATCTTGTTGATACATTGTCTCATTCTAGCGTTGTTGCAGAAACTCAGTAAAGCTGAAGTGTTGTGCATTTGCGTCATAGGTTATTGTTTTCACTAGCGCTGTAGTGTCAGGGAAAATTTTCCGTATCCAGTTTGAAATGAATTTGACTCCGACTCCGGTTTGTAAAACTTTTATTTCCTAAAAATGTTGATATTAAAAACCTTGGCGTATGCAACGCCTTATTTAATATATATACCATTAAGATGATTTAATAAACTTATTGCTCTCCGAGTTTCCCATAACACTTTGGCTTCTTTTTCATTATTGAAAGCCTGCGATTTCGGAGTACTAAAGCATATGACACCGACTCCTCCAGTGAAAACATTCGAAACTGGTTTTCGAACTGACTGGGACCCAATTGTATCATAAACGCTTCACACCTTTTCTCGTATTCGTGCTCAGTATGCCTCTTTAGTTGTCTCACGCAAAACTGTGTTTTACTTAGTTACAGTACTGCAATATTTTTGTCTATTGCAGATTTGTTAAATTACATGACGTCGATCTACAAAATATACTGACCTGCGTTTATATCAAATGGCATTATGTGTATTATTGCGTCTTTAATAAACACAAATTGAACCTATCGTTCGTTTTGTTATTGTGTTGTTGTTGTTAGCATTCTTTTTCTTGTCGTTGTGGGAAAACTCGCTTTTCTTTTTACCTGCTGAACCAAATGCTTCAAAATTTTCATTAAAAAAGATTGTTGTTGTCGCTAAAAGCATATTACTTTTATTCATTTTAAAAATCGCTATTGGCTCTATGAAATCCGCTTTCTTGTGTATAATGACGTCATAAAAATTTAAAACTTGCGCATCTTGTGGCGGTTCTGCGTTCGCGATCTGGTGGTCAGACGAAGACAACAGTACGGCAATGCAAATGATTAGATATTCCTACTATCTTGTTTTGATTTTCGTGTTCATATATATGACCATTGCTCTCTTATTTGTCTATCGTATCCTATCCCTGCTATTTATATTATTAATTTTTGTATTCTCGACCGCGGTTAACCTGACAATACCAAATACGAATAGACATATAATCGATTTAAAGTAGTTATATATTGATGGATTTATTTTATTTTTTATGAGAGATTAACTGATCATGAAATTATTAAAAATTAAACAAAAATATTAGTGATCTACAACATTATTCCTCAGTAGCCATTATCATCGTACCATTGGGATCTAGCAACTACATCGTTTGCATAATCATTTCCAGTGGTGCCGACGTCCATGTTATTGTACGAATCGACATTCGAAACGCCTGCGTTGTAAGCACTGATTCCACCTTTCAGGGCCATGTCTTGGCTCCAAGACGGATGCTTATTCTTCACACCATTGATCATATCAATGAGAATTCCTAGAAAAAAATGTGATTGAAAAAACATTGAGCGCGAATTAATTATTGGTTCTCAAGCTGTTCTTTAAATTCCGCCCTTGGTCTATTTTGAAACTTTTAACTCGCCACCTGTATACAGAGTCAGGTAATAATGAATGTTAGCAAATATACCTGTTCCCTGTTTAATGTGAGCCAACGAATACGGTCCTCCTTGCAGTGTGTGATAGCGATCGTCAACCTTCGAACGTAACATAATGAAAGAAATAATGGGAGAAGAACTCATGTATTCAAGTAATTAGAACTATTCGAAAAGATCGCGAGGGGGGGGGGGGGATATCAAGAGCTAGTTTGCTCAATCATATGGTGAACCACTTCGCGTGCAATGATCAGTCCGGGTCAGCAATAGATTACCAGTCCATAAGCATTGACCTATTTATATTGATAAATTTGTTTGTGCACTTTCAGTTAATGAAAGAATTAAAAAATGAAATTAATTTTAATAAAATTGAGGATTAACAAATATTTTTTTTTGGCGATATGAATATACCTGCATAAGACCATATCCGTGTCCGTCATACCCAAAGCCATCTGATCCAAGGACCTTTCCAGCTCGAGTTTCGCGACTGATTATTCCTGCAATAGTATTTGAAAATAAATTTAGAGTTAGAGCTAGTTGGTCTCATTTTAGTTAACAGAATATACAGGTAACGCTTATTGTGCTAAGTAATATGGGCAATTAAAATATAAATGATTTCAAACGCATTGGAGTATTATGCCCATCATCTACGGTATAAACATTAAGTAGGCTGATTCAAGTGCTTGGCTCTGCAAATCGAAAAGATTTCAATAGTTCCCTCTTCGAGGTTGATGCCCTGCGAGTGTTCATATTTGTTCGGAGACTATTTTCTAATGAAATTTGCTCAAAGCAATCCCGTGCTGCTTACTCACTCAGAAATGATGGATTTTGATCTGTCGTTGAAATAACGTTCGCCAACTAATTTGTCAAGAGTTACTGATATATATTATAAAAAAAATGAGTGTAGAATATCGCTTCAGTACATACGATTGACACAAGACTAAAGGTAGTTCATTTGTATATACATGGTGTCTTCGAGGTCCCTTTACAATTTCAAATTTGTTATGAAGTCACTTCTCAATATATCTTAACCAGGTTTGTTGTTTTTTAATCCGTAATTGTTCGAGCATTTTTACTTCATTTAATACAAAACAATACGATAAATTCCCTTTGCAATTTTAAAAAGATTTAAGTTAATGAGTTAAGATTTTCGGGGCATATTTTAATCAAATTGAAGCAGTTTCTACTATGCGTTTTAGACCATGGTCACATCAACCTTTAGACCAGAACCGTATGTGCCCCAGAAAAAAAAAGGCGTAACGTTCGTTTTCATTATTCTATTTTACCTGCAATCACAGCTGCGTCCATGCACAAATCGTTGGCTGCTGTTTGAATTAAACTTTTATACTGAAGCATCGCGTTCTTGTCATTTTGTGCCATCTTATGTGATGAAGAAACTCCTGTAAAATAATCAGATACGATTTCTATTAAGTCATTTTAAAGCCAAGTCACGCGCAGTGCCAGGTGTGGCACTATAATCAGCGTAGAATTGTGCGTTGGCAGAAACCGGCTGATGCAAGACTTAAGACAGTTCAGGCCACTACGATAAAAAAAACAGCTATGAAGTGTTCCACAGAAGCGAAAAAACGTTGTGCACGCAATTATACGACGGTACGCAATTTTTTTCTCTCCAATTTGTTTACGCGGGCCACGACTCGGAACGCCAAGCCACCTAATGTGGCCCTCGTCAACACTCAGATTTTTCTCCATTGAGCATAAAATCCTAATCCGACAGTTTATGTTTAAAAAGGGGCTCACGTGGGTAAAAATAAACAATGTGTTTTGCTCTTGTCGCTGCGTTTAATCTTTCACAGTTTGCCCGGTGCCTTTATTACTGCAATGTACATGGTACAACGATTTTTTGTGCGGCTCAGCTAGGTGTCCGAAGTTGGTTATATGACCCACTGACAAAAAATGTTGCACATCCCTGATTTATTGTGATTTACTATTAATAAAAACATGTATATATGTACTCTTACCCCCAGATAAACCATCTTGAGAAGCTGTTGCGTAAGATGCACCTGTTGTGTCAACGTTTCTAATGTTGCCATATTTAGTGCTTGAGCCTATAAACAGATAATAATTCGGAGTAGATTCAGAAAAGGGATGAACATAGTCGCATAATTATCAAGTCAACTATGGGCAATGGATGTGTGCGTACATTTGGCGCGGCACCATTTATCTATCCTACATGCTTAAAAATTCTGCGACATATCAAACAAATTATTGGAAAATGTAATTAGACAAGTTGTTTAAATATTCTGTTTGAATAGAAATAAAATCATATCTTTATTGACATACAAAGTGATAAAAATTTATTAGAAAACTGTCTCAGAAAGCTTTGTGACTTGTGGTAAATATTAAAAATTGAAAGGTTGATTTATATTTATATTTAAAGGCTGATTTATATCAACGAAATAAAGTAACGAAAGATCTGCAACGACCACGAGCATGAGCGCTCACTATCCCAAAAGATAATGTTACATTGCATGTATTTAAATAATTTAATAATAATTTACTACAGTTTAGTCACAAAAACTTCAAACTCAAATTTAACTACTAAAGAAATTTACTAACAGAAAATTGTTAGGGCAATTACAATACAGACCAACGATGTAACGAGAATATCGGTCGGAGACCGAAGACTTATCGATCGAAACTGCGGTTTCGATTCATGACTCTATAGTGATACCGCGTGCCCCATCACTAATTAATTAATAACTCGCTAATTATACGACATAAAATCAATAGGCTTCTGGTCCGAGATATGATGAATGCACATGCAAAATTTGGAGCAGATTCAACCACGCCTTCGTGAGATATCGCATGCATCTAACAGACAGACAAACAGACAAACACCTATCAACATACTTACGTAATCAAGTGGTAAAGATATGCAAGGATTACACAGGGTTACACTGTAAATCTTTTGCTAGCACCACGAATATAAACAATGAATATTCTACATACATCCAATTCCACCGCCTATTAAACCACCACCGCCAGACGACACGCAGCATTGTCTCTCAGATGGTCCGCCACATTTTCCATTGTAATAAGTTCCGTCGCAGTAATTGCTGTTGTGGTGGCAATCACCACCAGCGGTATCGCATTCTCCGTCGTTTTGTGAGTACATTGCTTCACTGCTGGCACCTGGAATTTGTATTTAATCGCTGATATTTATGAACGGTTGTTGACAGGGTTGCCATATTGGGTTTTTTAACGCCAAATTTGCCATTTTTGGCTTTTTTCAAACACGTTTGGCGTCAGAATTTCCGTTTGGCTTTTTGGCGTTTTTTTTGGTTATTAAAAATCTATTCTAGTGTTTATTATTAAAATCATATGAAATACAATATTTAGTGTGTAACAATAGCCTATTACCGGTACTTAGCTACTTAACATTAGGATTTCCCCGAGCATCGATTTCCTTGTTTATTATCTTAACGCTTAACCATACCCAAAAAGAAATAATTCCTGTTTCTGCAGCCGCTCAGACAGATGTTCAAGCAGGGTTGTAAACATTGCCTCGTTTTTATAGTTTTGCGTGGTATTTGTCAATTTTTAGTTCTGTTGGTATTCATTACCGGTATGCCTGATGTGGAGCCTTAGTTTAATTGCAGTAATCAAAATTTAGTCTCACGAACGATGTGTTAACTAAGCTAAAATTACTGAATTAGCTTTCAGTAGTCCACCTGTAAGCGGCAATTTTTAATATAATTGATTGTTTATAAATTTGAAAAATGAGAAAACTTTCAATAGTAAAGTACGATATAATGAGAATTTTTAAGGTATATATATGTACATACTCTAACTAGAGACATGTAGGTATATCCCATACTGAAGCGGCGGACCTATATTCTATATTAAATGGTAAAATAATGCTGTCCGCTTGATATTTATTTTTTTTTTGTTTTTTTGGATTTTTTTAACTGTTTCATATAGATGTCAGCTTGACTGTATTGTGTTTAATGTAGATTCTGGTGCTGCCATTCAATTAATCCATTTTACTTATAAACTCTTCATCCCGCAGAAGTGGAAATAGCCATGATGGTAACCGAAAAACAACTTGTAATGGAAAAGGACGTTTGTTTGGCTCACTGAATGAACTGATGGCTCTACATCACCATCAGTATTTTTCCAGGGGCTTTTGTACTTAGTAAATTTGTTGGCTTTTTCTGGCTTATTTTATGTCTTGATTCGGCTTTTTTATCGCTGGGATCTGGCAACCCTGGTTGTTAATACTGTAGTTCTAATAATAAGACGTTCTTCTCCTATTTTGAACCAGGGCTATAGAGTCCAAGTTTTGCATGTTCTACTGGAATCAGAGCCGGATTTTCAAACTGTTCACTGGGTCGGGAGTCAGAGTCATAATTTTATACTTGCAATAGTGATGAAAAAAAGAGGCAAAATTTTACAAGAACTCAAAAAGCAGTAAGTTTACTAAGTCTTGTTAACAGTCTTTTCAAGTACGCGCGCATACGCTGAAGTTTTTGTTGTCAAAATTTGTTTCCTTCAAAAGTTGAATTCGGAGCTGGAGTGTAAATCGAATTTTAACAACTCTGAGCCGGAGCCAAAGTTGTTTTTTTAACCCAGAGTCGAGAATAGAAATCGGAGTCAATATTTTTCTTAATTAGGGGTCGGGCTTATTATAGTGTGACATGATTATATTCAAATCTGTGTGGTGTCAAAATTGTTAAATAATTATCCTTCTTAACCAGTGTTATCAGAGTATATACGTTTATCTAAACACCAAAAATTTTACAATTGACAGCCTTATAAAAATACAAAAATTAACAAATGTGTTATCTGAGAAAAATTAAGGCGTATTTAAATCAATACTTGTTCGGAATAAAATTAATTCATACAAAACGTACATGATGCGCTGCATTGCAAGCAACATCGTCTGTTTGAATCTCCATCACAAAGTCCCGTTTCATATCCAGCGGTGCAAACAGCATTTCTATAATCTTGGCATGTTCCGCCATCTTTTGTGCAGCCCCAGTCACTTGCTGCGGCTAAAAATACGAGAGCTGTGAGTGTTAATAATGACTTTCAAATTTTAGTTTAGTTTTATCGTTGGGTATGTAAAATTTTTATCCGAGACTAAATAGAAGAATTTGCATTTTGCATTGATTATCTGTTCTCATGCAGGACTTGGACTGGTAACATGGACGAAATACTTTTATTCGACACACGGTTAGATGGTCTTATCTACTCCCCTCGTGTCGGCGATTATTATGAAAATTCCACTATCCTACTCGATGTAAACTTGTTAAGAGCTTAGATTCCATCGGTGTTCGGCATGAAACATGATAACTGACACTCTGACACTAAATTTAACCTGGAGGTAATCGTTCACTACATGTCGAGATCCCCACAGAACTATATATACTTGATTTTTTGCAATTATTACGAATAAAAATAAACACATACGGTAAGTGGATATCAAATATCATTTCAATATTAAATTACTCACCTAATCCAATCAATGCCAGGACAACTACAATCTTCATTGTTGTTATCTAGTTATTATTCTCAAAATTTAAAAAAAAGATAAAATAGATAATTTTTTATTACAGCATACTAATGGCAACAACAGCAATAAAAGAAACTTTTTCTACACACCAAACTTCATGTAATCTTTTCCTAACAAACTCGATTGAAATTTGGGTTTTGAATCTCGTGTCCAACATCTCGCCTAGAGCGTAAATTATGCAACGCCGGATTGCAAAGATTCATTCCAGATTCCTGTCATTGCAAAGTGCAAAGCATTGTTCATGACGTAAGGCGTATGAATATCTCGCTAATAAAAAATTGGGTATTCCCGTAGTGTGTGTACCAGGTTATGGTTAAGCCATAATTTTATTCCTATTTTCCTTATTTTTTTTAGTTCTATTACGAGTTCGGAGACTGTCTGTGTTAGCCAAGTGAATAGAGCCCCTGCCCATATAGACCTCAGTCCCATTACACAACTTGATGTAAAGTAGGCGAACAAAAGTTAGTTATTCACCTCCATATAGGTACACACACTTTTGGAGCGCCAAAAATTACAGTATGTCTTCGAGCGTTTACAGACAAGTAATGCTTCTTTATTCATTTATTAGTATATTTTAATTAAATCGAAACGTAAAAGCCAAAAACTGAAATTTTATCTCAGTCGCTTCAGCTTATGATTTCAATGTATTTCGGATTAGATATATCATTCCGTTATTTATTTTCACGGTATGTTTACAAAAGCAGATAACAAGCTAATAATACCTTGAAAACAAGTCTGAGACCGACCATCTGTTGCACGTAGGCAAAATGTTGTGGAAAATTATTAAATATAGTTTGCTGTTATATAAGAATATATATATATATATATTAGTTATATAAGAATACTGTTTTCATCAAGCAAATATCGTGTGCGTGCGGACCAGCTATCGCTGTGGGAACCTGCGTGCCTTGCATAAATATTGATGAAGTTGTTTTAGTAATTTATGCTGTCACGAATGTATATTACGCACGTGCATTTGAAGTCGGTTTCTTTTATATCATTTAATACCCGTGGGTAGCGCGATTGGCGCATCGTAGCCTACTAAGCGTGAGGAACAAGCTAGCCTTCTCCTCTCTGAGTGAGTCTGATTACCCTGTGCGGGTTTGAATACCGTCAGGTTAAAGGTTGCTGGATTTTTTGTGGTAGTAGGGTTGACCAAGTTTTCGCTGGTTGGTTACAGCTTCTTCCACGTCAATCCCATGAATCTGAAACAAATCACTGGTTAACTATTCCCATAGCCGACATAAACTGGTAAACGGGCGAAAGTCCGTGATTTGCAATTTGCTTCAAGCATCTTTTTGGTCTTCGTATCTCCCGAGATAAATCCGAAAATCCTATATTTATTGTACCTATTTATTGTTATCAATGGATACTTAATTAATACACAATCTCCACAATCTGTCCATAGTCTATACCTCTTGAGAGTCCTGACTAAAGCTTGAAAAAATTAGTCTATTAACAATACGTACCATATTATTTTTACTCTGCCGACCTTTCGATCAACGTTTTCCTTTGTGACTTTAATCGCCCCCATAATCGGCATTTGCACTAATGCACGAGGAAGTATCATACGGTTCAGTGTTCAGCATTTAATATTTATGCTGCATGTTGGTTACTAAAGTAACTATATTATATTCATTAAAGTGTGAATAATATTTGTTCTACGCGAAATGCATATATCTCTATCACGATGCACCAATGCTGAACCGAGAAGTATAAATTTATTTCGGCTCCATAATCAGCATAATGGACGATAAAAATAATTGATAAAAACAAAATAAATAAAACTGATTACAAAATCGGGCGAGCAAACAAAACCTCAAGTAAGGTATAAAGCGTACAGATTTTAGAGGAAAAGAAATTGTTAAAAGAAGTAGTACGTGTTCGTTCACCCAAAAGTATTAAAACTAATTAAATGATACGCTCGCCACCGCATCTCTGATTATTCTTCTTGGTTCGCAGGCTTCAATCCCATGCGGGGATGATCAGATGTGAGAGGCTTGCCGGACTCCTGGCCGCCGTAAGGTGGTAGGCTCCCTCCACCGTCAAGTCCATGCTTCCGAAAACAGATAATCGGCTAACTCATCTCATACCCGACCTGGCCTGGTAACCGAACGAGAGGCCGTGGTTCGACATATGATTAGGCCATCTTATCGACTTTTCTCCCCATCGGGATAAATATGTAAATCCTATCCTCCTATTACTTTTAAAAAGATAATAATAATAAAAACAAGAGAGCTATGCTCAAATATATGAACACGTAACGCCACCCAATGGCAATAATTTTGATGACGTCATAGCGAAAAAAAAGTAATAGCCTTCTGGAGAAAAATTTTATCTTTAACCACTGAAAATTTCAAAGCAATTGGTCCAGTATTCGAAGAGAAAAGCGATTTTTTAAAAATGGAGACGGAGACAAATAACAATAACAACAAAATTTGAAACGATCGTTATGTCCACTTCGTGTCCAAAAAACATCTGACGACCTGATGAAACATCTGTAAAATCTGACGACCTAATTATATGCTCAAATACTAAACGGCATACAATGCTTTTATGGCCGCAATTTTAACACTGCGATTATTTTACCTGAAATTAGCTCGACGTGAGTGGGCTCCACTTGTATTTCATCAGCGAGCTTTGGAAAAGTTGTTTAACTTTAGTTACGCAAAATAGATGCTGCCAAGATTTTACACTGTAACACTTATTATATATATATACAATTATTTGCTACTGAGCGGAAATTCACTAACAAATATAAAATAATTGAACAATGAAATTTAATAAAAAAAAACGTTTTGGTTCCCGACCCTTGGGTTGGGAAACACTGCCCTAGGGTACTAATACCAGTGGAAATAGTCATTGTTTTGTCACAATGGTGTTGGCGGGAAATAATCTTTGCTACAAATTTATCACTTTTTACATACATTTACTTCATATCTTCGACTTGTCCGTAAACTCACACTTTTATTAGTAGACTATGAATAAGGGTCCGGCCACGCGAATATTTAGCTTAAAACCAGACGTTATGATATGAACTACATATTTATCACGTAATAACAACCTAAGATATTTTGTTACCATAAGTATGCAGAAAGTATAAAAAATATGAACAAGAAACACGCAATGCAATGAGAGTTTTTAATGATAGAGATATTAGTTTTACTAAATGAAAGTTAGACTTATTGAAGAAAAATGGACGTTACATTTTATAACAACATATTTAATGACTTTTGAAGCACTTGTATACATTTAGAAATGATTTCTTTAAAAATAGAAATTCAAATATCTTTCACTACACGCGATGAAATTTTTATTGAACTTCAAGAAGGAAATTTCTATTTAGGCCATTACAGACATCCAATTTCTGTGTATTGAATTGGCAATATGAATGCAAGTTTAACTTGATACAGAAACAAGATTTAGAGTTAAATTTCAACATATACAATATTCGTGTGAGACATTTATAAAGATTAGGAACGGCTTCAATTTTCCATGATAATTTGTAGTTTTTTAACATCAGAAGTTGAGCCAGTTGATCATCTTGAATTTGAATCTTTCGATACTATGAGAAACAAAATCACTGCTGTTTCGTCCAATACATTAAACGAGAATATCGGTCAGAGACCGAAGACTTATCGATCGAAAGTTAGGGGATCCCCCAAAACAGCGCTCTTACTCCATAGTGACACCTTGTGTCTCATCACTAATTAATTAATAACTCGCTAATTATACGACATAATTGATCCAAAATCAATAGGCTTCTGGTCCGAAATCTGGAGCAGATTCAATCTCGCTTTCGTGAGATATCGCGTGCATCTAACAGACAAACAGACAAATACCTATCAATACTTACCGATTAAAATCGATAAGTAATAACTGAAGCAACTGTAGCAGATTCAGTTGCACACAATGTGAAGTTCGGGTGGGCTACATCTTTTGGACATAACCATCCCGGACGGGAATCGACCCGTCGATATTTTGAAAAATGAGAGACTGGCATTATAAGACAAGAAATAGAAGAATCTAACACTACTGCATCACTGTTTTGGCCTAATAACTACTTATCTGCGTTATTTAATTTAAGAGGTCATCTTACATGAACATATTTCACACGGAAATACTAAATATACAGCTGTTGAAAATGTCAGATATGAGAAATATATTTAGTTGATTCAGATTTATTGTGAGTGGAGTCAACATTTAATTAAAAAAAGTTTTGACCGTATTTCGATGTTTGTTGCAATGTTTGTTTTTTTCAATAAAAATACGCAAAATTTTTTATGTACAGTGAATACCGGTGACATCATCATATTTACCTAATTATTAATTAAATAACGACTCCGGGACAGGTAGGCCTACTGGAAAAATAAACCGGTTCAACCAGTGCAAGGACATCATTGTAAAAAGGTTTCTGAGACAGCGGAATCTCAATTGTTTTCATGAATTTTAATTTAAAGCATCAGTATTAACATTACCTCAGCTATAGTGCACGAGCAGGAAGTCTTAATATTGTGGATGGGATAATATTCGGAGTTACTATTTTTCTTATGTAACGGGAGATCAATTTAGGAACAAAGGGAGTTGTATGGACACGAAATACTTTTGTCTAAAAGCTGTAGATTGGTTACAAACTCGCCAGAATCAAATTAAGAAAAATCCACAGCATGGCGCAAATTTAATAACTGATTCAGGTCCCTAGCATCGAGTAAAATAATGTAAAATTATTTGCTTTCGTGAGGCATATCAATCTTTAACTATCAGTTATTTCATAGCTCTTGGTCGTCGTGGACTCACACTCGACACACTCATAATTATTTGGAAACTACCATCATATCATTCATTCGTTTAATTTTTATATTCATGTTGTATTTCGTGTACCTTCGCAGAAGAAAACTCTTTGGTGTCATCCTCGTTCCCATCAGTGTAATTGTAATATATGGAAATATCGCAAGTGGCATTGGTGTGCGAATATTTCATACTAGGTATCAGGGGCGCACGGTGAAATTGAAACAATGCACCAATAATGCAATTCACGACGGCATATGGCGTTTAAACTAAAAAGTACCCGTCGTTCACAGCGAAATTCCACAGTTACTTGTGCTCGCCTCTCTTTGCCGGACGGTGTTTGGTGAATATTTTGCAAGTCCTATAACAAACATCGACCATTTATCCGTAGTCAGAGAGAACTATAACTAGCGGATGTCAGTAGCGTCATAATCGTTTATATGTACAAAAACACGCTCGATACAAAAACATGTAGCGTTGATCGAATGCATGAAATGTGGAACTATTACTTGGAATTTAATGTTTATCGAGTATATATCTAATATTTTTAAAGAAACATCGACTAATGAATATTGTTATTTTAAACAACATTAATTTTGATGTCGGCCACCGAAACAATCACCATGACAAAAAAAAATTCTCGGAATTTACCAGAAGACTGAATACTCCGTAACAATGCGGCATTTTTTATTCCATAATTTTGTCATAATCGAAGGCTGCAGTAAATTTATTGTCACCGCGATCGTTTCGGCGGCTGGCATCCCAATTATTGTTGGTAAACTATTTTAAAGCACTTTTTATTCTCTAGTAAATATTAATACTCATGCAACGGCGGATATATATCGTATATAGTTGGGTGTTTATATTTCGGAAGAATTGTGAGTTCACATCGGCGAAGATGTTAACGACAACTAAATCATACTTGAGAACTAGAAATGACAATATACCGTATTAATGGTTCTCCTGAAGTATGCGCACCAAGATGTCGCATAACCTGAGTTCAGGTTGTGCGCCATCTTGGTGCGCATACTTCAGGAGTTCCATATTAATTATTGTAACGATCGATCTGATCTATATATGTAAAATTTTTTATATATTTTTTTGTATAATTTTACTTTAAAAATAACAAGCGCCCGTACTTGAATAAGGGCCGGTTCGAATAAGGGCCCGGTTAGTGAGTTTGGGTAAAAAAATATGGGCCCGGGCTACAGAACGAGCAAATACGGTCGGTACCTGATGATTTCAGAATCAAATCGAATATTTTTTTCGAATCGAATCTCGAATACTTGATATATATATAATTGTATACGACTTTTTTTATTGTAATTGATCCTGTCAAGAAATGAAATAATGAAAACATAGAATACATCTCTCAGACAGATTGCTGAGTGTTCACACACAATAAGAAACACGTTTATCAATAGCTCACTATAGAAAATAGTCATATGTCAGAATTGCATTGATAAAATATGGCTACGATAAAAAAATTGGGTAATTCATCTCGATCATTGGCGGGAAGTAATAAACAAGATGGCGGCAATTCGAAATTTTGCTCTGAACTCAAGTGCCCAGCCCTACTCGTTGACAAAAAGATGTTTTTTGTTATAAAAGTTGTGGCGATGAAAAGGGAAAACCCTATTAGGAGGTTATAAATAAAATGTCGTTTACACAAAAATTCAGGTTTGAAACTCCGAGGTTTGTAATAACAACTTTAGATATTTGGAAGTCAGAAAGAATCTAAAAATGAGGTCATACTGAGTCAAGCGCGTGACGTCTCTCACTTACAAGTCTTATAAAACATTTACCTGCGCAATACTACACATAATTAGGTTATTTTATGAATGATCTGAATGTTGAAATTTGAATATCTGCCTTGAATTATAGTTATTTTTACATAGTTAATTGGCTCGGAAATAGAAATAATACTTCGTAATACACAACAGGTTCGCAGGACCTTTGCCGAACCCCTGGTACAGCTTCACCCAACCCCAAGGGCTCGATCGAACCCAAGTTGAGAAAAACTGGTTTAACGCTTAATGAAACAATTATAAAAGTTATGAAAATTGCAAATAATATTGCATCTCAAGTGAAAAATGAAACTAAGAAAGGTGCAGTGAATGAAAAACGTAACTCAGTCTAGAAACCATTTTGTTTCAACCACTGAGCTCTGGCGACAACATCGTTTGCATAATCATTTCCAGTAGTTCCGACATCCATTTCCTCATACGTGCGAACGTTCCCTTCTCCAGCGTTGTAAGCGCTTATTCCTCCTTTGTAAACCCATTGTTTATTCCAGGATGGATGTTTCTTCTTGATTCTCTGTATCATTGTAACGAGAATTCCTAAAAGGTATTGATGAATAAATATATTACGACGATCGTGACCAGTTCTAATATAAATATTCAGGTGCCACTTCGGTAGGCGATCTCACTTTCTTAACGTGATCTCAATTGCACACTCAAATGATACCAATTGTGTCACTTTAGTATGCGTTCAATCTCATAAAGACATTTTTATAGAATTCAGTTCCTAACTGAAATCACACAGACCACACAAACGATGACATCGCATAGCAAAGTAGTTTTTCACCAGTTTTCCCCCTGGTGCTCATAAGGTCTCGTTACAGTTCAAATTTTGTTGGAAGTCATTCTAAACACACATAACCAGGTTTGTTTTATTTTAATCATTGTTTATATATTTTTTTTTTTCATTTATTAATACACTATTAGAGGCCAGCAAACCATGGTATCGGTAAATTCCCTTTGCAAATATAAAAATAATAATTCCAATATTATTTATTCTGTATATGTCTGAATATTATATAAATAGGTTTAAATAAAAAATAAAAAAATAACAATAAATAATAAGTGAAATAAATAATCGTTATGCTTGTAGCTTTTTCAAGCAGAAATTCTTCGTCATTTTGGAAGCAGGACTTCAGTATGACTTTTATGTTAGTATAACAGTCGTATTTGTTAATTTCCCAGGAGTTAGCGTCGACATTCTGTATGTGAGTGCCATTATACGGCAACCCAGTCCTGGTATCAAGTCCAGACTCGAAACAGAATCAGTAATAAATCTTTGAAATATTGAAAAGTGTAACACATTGTTTTTTTCTGCTTTGAAAATAAAAATGAAATAGTATTATATACTGAACCTGTTCCTTGATTGATATGTTCTTGAGAAAACGCTCCTCCGCGTAGTGTGTGGAATCGATCATCAACCTTGCGATGTAAAATAAATGAACGTTACAATGTATGCGATGTGACGAATAAAAGTGTAAGGTATGCTTGAAAGTATGGTCGGTAACCACCGCGATTCGCGAGTCAAGACTAGTCACTGCGTCATCCAAATCTCGAGTCGAGTTCTGGTCCCGTGATCGAGTCAATCAATACGTGAGGTCTTATTGGTTGATAGCGAGTCAACCTTCTCTATTCAGATGGCCCGAGTCACATCAAGTTTTCGATAAATGAAAACTAGCGTCCAGTCCAAGTCCAGTCAATGGCGCAAGGTAGATAACACGACAGACTAAGGTAATATCACATTAACATTTGCAGCCTTTGAAGCAACACTTTTGGGTACCTCAGCCCGGTAACCAAATTTGGGTTTCCCGCTGCTCTCAAACCCTGAAATGTTTTTTCATTATTCATTGTAATATGTATATCTAGTGTGCATTCAGAATGTTGAAAAAATAAACTACAGATTACTCCTGAATTACGGACAAAACAGTCACAAGATAGGAAGTTATACTTAATTATACTCTTTGTTCAGAGGAGATCAACCTATTTGCTAATACTAATTTTACATTATTTATATCTTACTTGCATGAGTCCAAATCCGTGGCCATCGAATCCAAATCCATCGGACTTGAGTACTTTCCCAGCACGTGTCTCTCTGCTCATTATTGCTGTGTATTAAAAAAAATGTTTTTTTTGAAACGAACAGTTTATGCGCCATCTTGGATAAGCCAAACCTATTCAGACATTTCATCTTTTATGATTGAGTTGCAAAAAAAAGCCAGGAAGAACTCAACAGAATTAGAAAAAGGCATATCAAAACACATTCATCGGAAAACGATAAGCGGTTAAGAATTGAACTTGTAACTGGACGAGAGACTGTGGCTTAACATATGATTGAGCGTGTTATATAGACTTTACCCTACCTGGATGAATATGTAAATTATGGTGGGCATGAAGATTTAATGCTGGGGTGCGCAAACTGCGGCCCGCAGGAAAAATTGTGTGGCCCGCGGAGAAGTGCCAATTTTGAATGGTGTGCCCGCGAAAGGAATGTCATATTAGCAAAACTAGCTAGCAAAATTCTGTTGCAAAATACACAATGTTATAAACACTTGTTTCTCACTGAATTCGTCTAAAGTCGATGTGACAGTATGCATTTTTTTTTATAAATGTATGCGTTTCAATTTATGCATGATGCATGCATCCCTAACAATGCGGTAAGACCAATAACAAAAAGAAACTTTTTGCCTGCAACTACTAGAAAGACTATCTTAAATAAAGATGCGACCCGTGGCTTCACTCAGTTACTTGTATCTGGCTCTCCTGTAATAAAAGTCGAACTCCCATGATTAGTGGTTAAAGCGTTTGACTTGTCTATGTTACCATCGCACGTTAAAAAATTCGGGTTTAAATGCCATACCCACTACCTGACCAATGGTATAATAATTTAGCTAGAGTAGTGGTTCCCAAAGTTGATTGACCGGAGCCAAAATTAGAAGCGGGAGTATATTCACGGGCAGGGAGAGGGGGCGCCCGCAAGGTCCGATACAGGCACGGTATGTATAATTAAAATACCCGGTATAATTGAATTGTTACGAATGTACAATAGCTTAGACTGTGATAATGACGTAACACTTGGCATTTTCAGTTTGCAAAAAGGTAAAAACATAAAGTGTTAAACTATTTCATTGAGTTTGGCGGGCCGTATTAATTCGTCACAGGCCGCGGTTTGGGAACTACTTGGTTAGACAATGCCGAAACGGTAAGATTCTGGCCCTTCAAAATATAGCAGCTTCATGCATATCAGTAGATTCAAGATTTGGTAATTTGGCTAACCGAAACTCTTTAAAAATCGAAAACCTTTAACATTCGAAGATTCCTAAATACGCTCAAAGAATCCTGAACATACAATTAGGCAAATACCTGCAATAACTGCTGCCTCCACGCAGTATTGCTTTGCCGCAATCAAGATCTTGGATTTATACTTCTCCAACTCCGATTTGTCATTCGCGGCCAATGCATTGGACGCTGGAATTCCTGCGTTATAAAACAAAAGATTTACTTAAAAAAAAGATCTATTTAATACACAGTGTTATTGAGTCAGGGGCTTAAGTCAGTGGTTCTCAACCTGTTTTAGTTTGCGGACCGGTAAAATTTTAAAACTAATTCTGGAGACCGGTGAACCTTGGAACCAACCCAAAATGTCAATAACCGATGTAAGTACGTCTAAAGTATGCAATTCAAAAGCAGACAACTCAATCAAGAGAAATTTCTGCTGTCTTTCCGATATCATGCGTGTTTTAATACAGTTCCGATGAAGTTTCTGCAAGGCAAAGTTGAAAGTTGACTTTCACGCGATTTCTCTGTTTTGTTCTCGATGAGAGATAACAATAGAAGTATTTCTCACACAAGTAAGTTGTACAAAAATCGGCAGTATTTTATTGAATTTGTCACTGAGCTCAGGATATTCTTTGTCAAGCAATATCCAAAACTGCGACAATGGTACTCAGCCGTTCAGGGCTTAAAATGGGCCTCGGGCTCTCTGACCAAGTTTGCTTTATGCATCTATAGAAGGTAAAACTCACAAAATAAAAGGGCAGGCCATCAATGCTTTGCAGTTTTCAATTGAGATCTAACATTTTGCAATATATTTGGCAAACCGGCAGGAAGGTTGACGCGCATCGGCGGTTGAAACCCACTGGCGGTCCCATTGGTATCACCATAATCTCAGACAGATGATTAGATTAAGATGAAATGTTGTAATGCTAAACAATCATCCAAAATAGGGAAATAATAGTGCATTTGTATCCGCTCTTCAACAACACATTTTTCATACTGACTGCACAAAAATTGATACTGCTCGAAAAACTAATTATAAAACAGAGAGTTAGGGCTTCGTTTAATACCTCGCAACTCGCGATATTTTGCGGCCACATCTTAGTTACCAAGTAATGTTAAATATCATTTGCATACGTTACCCGAAGAAGATAGTTTGTCTTGTGCAGCTGTGGCAAAGGATGCACCTGTTGTTTCAACTTCAATAATTTTTCCATAGCACATGGTCGCTGAAAATAAATAGCTTAGTTCCTCAATGAAGTGCTCAACTCCATGGAATTTTAGACAATGAAAATTGCTAGGGTGATTGGATTTATGTGTTTTTAGGCATTAATTAAATCACCATGGTGTCAAAATGCAGCCACGGATTCAAAATCTTAAGTATGTAGCTAACAAGACTTTCCATAGACATTAGTTCCCTATTGTTCTCATTCATGCGTATCTTCGAAATGCATACGTCACACCTGTATAGACTACACATGAATAGCAGTTGCCACATTTTGACTACGTCTGTTCTGAACTTTTAAGCGATTTTATAAAAATGTATCCAACTTGGACAAATGTGGGTTTATTAAATTATTTTATTCTATAGACAATAAAACTTTTAAATAAATAGGTGCGTACATTCTGGACTTGAACCATAACAACATCGCCTCTCGATGGGCCCACCACATTTCCCGGTAACAAAAGATTCGCCACAGTAATTCGTCATATGCATACAGGTTCCACCGCCACCCGTACATGCTCCATCACTCTGTGCGTGTGTTAGCTCGTTGTTTTGACCTGAAATCAAAGTATTAGTCAACTTGGGCCAAAAATACAAACGACAAGCATAAAATTGAAGTGAAAAAAGTAGAAATACCAGATGTAGTTATTGTTTCAAAATTATTCCAAATAGCACTGAAAATAATGACAAGTAAATTTTAATCTATAAGGACCAGTCGTTGAAGAGCCCGAACGTTTTGAAATAGGCCCTTCATGACGGCTGAAAGCCTCCAGATGGATGATCACGAGATATAAAAGGTTGGGAATACGAAACAAATAAAATTATAAGTGAGTGATGAATAGCAATGTTTTACTTTGTCTTCAGTTAAATACAATTTCAACTTACATACAGAGTTACAAGAAGTACAACATCGTCTATTTGAATCTCCTCCACATTTTCCGAGCTCATACCCGGAAATACATACGTTTTTTGTGTAATCCTGACATGTTCCGCCTAAGCTAGTACAAGTATAGTCCAATGCGGTCGCTAAAATAGAATTATCAAAACTTTTATTTTACATTTTTACGATGTTTCATAATTAATAAACAAATATAATTGATAAAAAAAATGCGTCTGAAAATATGGGTCTGCGGCCGATAAAAAAAGATATATATAAAGTAATCAAAGCACGTAATATGTCATTAAATGCTATGATTCCTTAATGGTGCACATTCGTTATTCGAACAATATTGCCCACCTCCAATACAGCATTGCCGCGCACTCGCGCCATCGCATTTCCCTGTTTGATATGACCCTCCACAAAAGTTTGAATTGTGCATGCAAGTTCCTCCGCTGCTTTGGCACGCTCCATCATTTTGCGCATAAGACGCTTCGTTGCTTTGGCCTGCAATATTATCATCAAATGTTTGGTGGCTGGATATTATTGTTGTTATGACCACCTATACGCTATTCGGACATAATATGTTTAAGCTAAACGAACAAATACATTTGCACCGCTTGAGTTCAGAATGTGCACAAAGGTACATAATATGTCCAATCAAAATAAAAAAATACAGACAGACTTGGTATTTATAAGGATACGTTGGGAAAATTTCAAATTGAAATGATCCTACGAAAAAGTTTCCTTCTGTTGAAATCAAACTACGTGCACCGTTGTCATTAAAGTTTGATCTTTTTTTAACAAACCGAAGTAAGTGCTAAGAAGTATTTAAATCTCTCTAATATGTACGTATGCATCTAATTATAACGTAAATGTTTAAAGATAGATATAGCATTCGAGTTCCAATGACACTAAATTTGCAAACTCACATGTAGCACTACATGGTTTACAGCATCGCCTATTCGCGCCGCCATCACACATGCCAGTCTCATATCCAGCAGTACAAACGTTCGTTGTATAATCCTGACAAATACCACCGATGTTTGTGCATCCGGAATCACTCGCAGTGGCTGATGAAAATGAATAGTATCTTGTAGTTAGTAGATAGATAACTGATATCGTACATGGTTAGTCCTGTGGTCATACTATTTGGGCTATTTCACTCTGACTTTGCCAACCAATGGCGGTATAACCGACCGATAAAATCGTTTGCTTACGTGAGGGTTCACTCGATAGTGAGATGGGGTAAATGAGGTCGCTTTTGCAATAAATAGGTTTTTTAAATGACATTTTAAACTCAAATACATTAAATTTAAAAATAATCTCCTGCTCATATAATAATAAAATACATCAATAAAAGCCCAATCCTATAGAGATTTTGCCAAAGCGGCTCAAATCGTGTTTAGCATATAACCTCGAGAACAATATTTTTCCTTGTAGGAAAAAGCAAATGTTGTGCCGTTGTATTCTAAAAAACTCACCAAACGCCAGCATTGAAAACACAATTGAGGCATACATTATTTAAGAATTAAAGTCTGAAATAGGGAAGATTAATTTATATAAGACAAAAATAATTTGTTGGCAAGATAACTAATAAGCTTTCTTAGTTTGTATTCTGTACTACCAAAACGCGAGGGGTAAAAATAAACTCAATTTAGCTCAACGAAAGATCGAATTTAAACTTGCGGTTTACTTGCATACTCATTATACTAAACCTGTTTACTACGATTGTCTAATCTAAAATACAAGCTAAATCGTAACTGTGCGTACACCAAGCTGTAAAGTCAGACTGAACAAAACAATATTTTTTACGGTTGAACTGGCCTAAAGCTATTGAACCGGGAGACTTCAAGTTTCAGCGGGTTTTTAACATAAACACGACACAGACCTTATGCTACAGCCAGGGGGGCGTACGCTTCACACACGCAATATTTTGCGCACATTATATACATACATGCGTAAGCGCACTGTGGCCATTAAGTCCAGCTAGAACTGGCAATGGTTGACCAGTTAACCGATTTTGGATGGTTAACGGTTACGATTTATATTGTTTGTTTACTGACATCTCAGGTGCGAATCATCTTTATACTGTACTATTTCAAAAATGATTAGTTCGTCGCAAATTCATCTCCCGTGACGTTTAATTCAAAAAAAGTATCACTGGTTTTGGTGATCACACACCAAAATAAGTAATTGAAGTACTGGTATTGCTGATTATGAAATTTGCCAATTATAAGTTCAGAATCTTTTTCCATTCAGAATATATTGTTAACGATTTTATTGCAAAAGCGTTTATTTGGTACTCCCGTAGTGTGTGTACCAGGTTAGGGTTAGACCATAAATTTATCGCGATTTTCCTAAATTTCCTGCTGATAGGCTTCCGTCCCTCTACACGTCTTGATGTAAAGTAGGCGAACAAAATTAGTTGGTACGCACACTTCTGGAGCGCCGTTTATTCAGTGTCATCGAACAAATGTGCATTCTGTTACAGGAATATATAAGCATATCGACATTTTCGGGAAGTTGTGACGAACGTTTTGAATTAAAAATATTTCCGGTCGTGTTTTCCTCGTGATGTCTCGAAGTAAAACTTGCACACCGAGCACTGAAAGTTTTCTCGCGTGAATTGGCGCTTCAGAAGTGTGTATACCAATATGGAGGTAACTAATTTTGTTCGTCTATTTTATATCAAGTTGTGTAAAGGGACTGAAACCCAGGAATGTAAATGAATTTAATTACACAATCAGGTTTTCTAAAACACTTTCATTGTTCGAGGTAGGCCTACGCATATATCTCTTGCAGTAAGGAGACCATGAAACTATTTCGATCGTGAAATAATTTCGTGGGATACAAGTTTAATTTTACATGAAATTTCTTGTGAACCTTTAAAACTCAAATTGTAACTTATTACGTCAAACGTTATGCTGCTGTTAACCGATTAGCCGTTAGAGTGTTTTTCTGAAATTCCCAGCCACAACTTTTCATACACTCAGATTCCAACGCTTGCTTTTATCCAACTTTATAACTCTATAAAGTTAAAAAAAATTAATTTAAATCATTTGTAATAGTTTTAGTAATTAATCTCATCTCTCGCCTATGATGACTCCTCTAAAAAGATTGTTTTTGCTTAACGTTTCACGACTATCCGCTTTCGATTTCACCAACCTTATCACTTGCCGTGGAATGTCAAAATGAATAAATAAATCAGTATATAATCATCCTCTACAAAATTGAGTCACTTATGACACTGCTCTCCACAGAATAACGATGTCCGTATATTTGTTTTTACAATCACTCGCCTCTTTTTATTCTGTAGAATCAATCACATATCGTCATCACGTTATATATTGCCATCTTCAAAATAATGAGCTTTTCATTCTATTCTATGCATTGATTCTATAGAATAATAGTAATGATCCGCACGACCAATGACATAATATAACACACGAAACGTATGATTAACAGTTTTGTTAAGTTATCCTTCATGCTGTTATTGTTTTTTGTTGACACCTTGGCCAATAGATATGAAATAACCGATAGATTAAAATGAATGGGCCCCATAAAAGCTATTTATTTTATAGTTTCTGCACTCAATGGGGTCCGTTGGCTGATCCCGAATTCCGTAATTAAATTTGCGCCATCACGTTGATTTTCTGTATTCGATTCTGGCGAGTTCGTAATCAATCAACAGCTTTTAGATAAAAGTATTTCGTGTCCATACAACTCTCATTGTTCCTGCATTGATCTCTCGTTACATAATAAAAAGAGTAACTCTGAATATTATCCTCTCCGCGATATTATGAATTCATGCCCACGTCACTGGCTGACGTAATTTTAGTACTGATGCTTTTAAAATTTATTTCATGACACCGCTCACCGGAAAATACCGGTGTCCTCCAATTTAGAATCTTTCATCTCTTTTTATTCCGTACAATCAATCACATATCATCATCACTTTATATATTGCAAATTAAAAAAAAATAATGAGCTTTTCATTCTGATCTATCCATTGATTATATCAAATAATAGTAATGATTACTGCATGACCAATGACATAATATAAGACTCAAAACGTGTTATTCAGAGTTTAAATATAATAATGAAGCATTTCATAACTCTAGTTACTTCGCATATGGCTCTGATTGGAGATTTTGACTTCTGATGTTAAAAAAATACAAATTATTATGTACAATGAAAGACGTTCCAATTTACTACAGTATTTCGTAATCTTCATAAATATCTCAAATAATTATTATATATGTTGATGTAAAATTCTACATCCTATTTTCTATTTCAAGTCAAACTTGCAGTCACATTGTAAATCCAATACAAAGAAATTGGACGGCTATAATAGGCTTAAATAAAAATGAAATTCTTGAAGTTCTATAAACCAATGGTTCTCAACCGCTGGTCCACGGACCGGTGCCGGTCCGCGACAACCTTGATAACGGTCCGCCAAATATTTTCCAATATAAATTTATTATAAGCAAATTGACGGCATGTCCATTAATTCTATGATTTTTTAACTCTTATTGATTCGTAGTACCGGTATTCGCCTAACAACCAAAGTTGGTGAGAGGTCCTCTGCCCATTTAAGCTCTGAACGGCGGGTGTTTGTTAAGTCTATGTTCTATGACCTCACAACGGAGGAATTTGATAGCACGTAGTACTAGGGTTGGTATTTCGGAGCCAGTTTTTGAAATCCCGGTATTGAGCCGTATAATCCCGGGATTAAGTAAAAGATTGAAACAACTTGCATGACAATAAAATCACGTATTTATTTCATGTAATATCGACACATAAATATTATAGCATCCAGGGCAGTGGTTTCCAATCTTTCATATCGCGGAACACTATTTAGCTATTTAAATATTCGCGGCACACCTATCGCAAAACACGAACATTTTCTGCTCATAAAGAGTGCGATAGTCGAACGCAAACAAATGGTTAATAGTTGAAACTGTTTTCTTACAATAATGTAAACGAGAGCGTCTTCGGAGCACCTCGCATTATTGTAAACGTTGCGCGGCCACACGGGTAATACGTGGCCTTCAAACGCGCCATCGATCACGCGCTTAGGTTTTGCTCGCGGTTCTACTTTACGCCCTTATTATTATCACATGTATTGTCACTTTTTCCCAACTTAATTCATTTTTGTTACAATTCAATATGTTTCTCGTCAATTCCACCACGCTTTCGTGAAATAGTGCAACTTACTAAATTTATGAAGGTTTTATTAAGTTTCATTGCATCAGTGTGTTGACAACCACGCGTTTCGCCAGATTGCTGGCGTGATTACAGATCAGGTGGGCAAATTAGTATATTTTCATCGAATCGAGTAATTTGTACGAATTGTCGAATATTGGGTTGAATTCGGAATTTTATTCCGATTTTTTATCTTTTGGGTCGGCTTCGATCTTTTTGTCACAGTTTGTAAATTAACTGTCTTAATTTTAAGCTAAAAATATTATTTTTTGACGCCGGAATGCGTATATTTATGAGGACGATAGTTGACATTCTTGATTTTACTTTCTATTGTGGCTGTTTTATTTTCGTATTGAATAGTGAATAAAAAGCCTGCAAAGTCATTGTGTGAATCCTGAATACTATTTTGAGTTCAAATTATGATTAAATAAGTCGGCAATAATGGCAAATCTACTAATAAAATAATAATTCCTTGGTAAAATTTTGCATAATAATTCCACTTAGTCTGACAGACTCAAACCCTAAGCGTAGACGGCTTAAATAATATGGTATAACCTACAATTTTTGAGAATAAATCCCAGGATTTTTAGGAAATAATTGCTTGATCGAGATTGAAAAAACAGTCCCAACCCTACATAGCACGGTACCTGATTGAAAAAATTCTCAGTTCGCACTTTCCGTAATTTGACAGTAGGCTTATAATTTAGTGAGGTTTGATAGTAAAATGGAGGCAAACAAACAGCAAAATATTAATTTTGAAGGTCCGCCGGTCCGCAAAAATTATTTTGAAAGTTTACCGGTCCGCGAACTGAAAAAGTTAAGAACCACTGCTATAAACATATTAATATGTATAGTGAAAGACATTTGAATTTCGATTTAATTATTATTTACAAATTTTATATAAGTCAAGGGATTGTAAATGTTGTTACCGAATGCTACGTCCATTTTTTACATTAATTCAGACTTGCATTTAGTCACTATGTAAAACCAATGGCTCTTTACTGATTAACTTTGATCTTATTCGTATTGCTTATTCCTTGTTCCAGTCAGCCGTGTCGCTGCTGAATTATAGCTACAGATATACCGAAGAAACAATCTTATTGAAAAACAATCAACTTGAAAATGCATACAATGAACAGATTCGAAATAAACTATTGAAATGATGGGGAGAGTCATTATGTGATATATGTAGTATTATTTAGATTTAGATAGTTCATTAGTCCAATGCATTTTTTTGTTTGTTCGTTTTTTTTTCGATGAAAACTTCACATATTTGTACAATACATGACATACGTATATATATATTGATATTCGAAAATAGTTTCGAAGGAACTTTTCCATATTCACGCGTATACACGTGGTTCTCCTCTTCTACCACGATTTCATACAATTCAAAAAATATGAGGTTTTCTTGACAAAGTTTGGATTTGTAAAGGAAAAAACTTGATGATAAAAGTAGGCTCGTGGGTGTGACGCGTCGTTTCAAATCGTTAGGAATGCGCCTTTTGGTACGCGAATGTTTTTTCTTTTTATTATTGTATTGAATCCCTTTTCTTTTTCAATGTAAAATATATTCCCATTCACTAAACATTTTTCATGATATATCGATTATTGCTTTTAATTTATAAGTAATCCACGAAAATCTTCCACACTTTTATTTTCATTTATATTGTAGGATTCTCCCTCGCCCTTGTCCTTGGTTCGTGAATAGTTCGTCTCCTATTTGTATTAATTCTCTTCTCTTCCGTAAACGTAGAATATATATCTCTTCGCCAGGCATTTCTCGTGATATATCGTGTAATGCAGGGGTCTCCAACACACGGCCCAGAAGGACCCCAGCATTCAACACATTCAGATTTCTTTTTGTATTTTTCGTAAATCAATTTTATACCGAGGTTATGACCCGCGTCGTCAATGAGGTTCAAAAAGTGACCCATGACATTTTTTAAGTTGGAGTTGAGTAGTATGCATGTGAAGTAGATTATACGTAAAATTTTATAATCCCTCACACAAATTTGAATATGAAAGAAATTCGAAAAACCAAATACAAATAGATTTTTGTTGGTGTTGCAGGGCTCCCTTTGTCCTCGTGGTTTCTTGGGGATCTTTCTTCTTAATCTATGCAGTCTCTCTTCTTTTTCAGTGCAAAATATATTTTCTTACACCAAGCCTTTCTCATGAAATATAGTGTACCGAGACCGTTGGCATGCGAGGTGGATTGTACGTACATTTACTTTATTTCACTACACAAAATGAATGAATGAAAATAAAATCTTGATTCTCTCGTGTCCTCTTGCTATATGAATAGTTTTTTATCCTTAATTGTTGGAGTATCAATTGCTTGTCAATGTAAATGTGTTTCTATCGACAGAGCATTTTTCATTTTATATCTATAATCAATGAGATAGAGCTAGATTGAAAAAGTGTTTACTTTATATTCAGTACAAAGATGAAAGAAATAACATTACTTGATAGCAGACCAGTAACTATCGTACATTTGTGTTGATTTCTAACAAAGCTTTTACATGAACTATGAATGAACATCGCTCGTATTGGAAAATATTCGTTAGTTTATTATTTTCGATGCAGACGGGACAACTTTGGTCAGAAATCCGGTCAGATTTCAAATATTTAATTCCAGTCTTCACCCGTTTGCGATATCTTCACGCACGGATGTTGGACATATAGGCCGTATTAGCGACTCGTTGTGCCGTGTTCCCATTAGTTTTCAAATCAAATTTTCCTTATTTCTGATAATGATGGGCCGTCAAATTATTTATTTTATTACTATTTCTTCGTCATTTGAACGATGACATGAGAGAACAGTAATCAACAAAATACCAAACGAAAGTACAAAGCATTTACATGAATACCAGTTTTTATTTTCAATCTGCCAGTTTTTATTTCAAAACTTTCACAAAAATACACTTCAAGCAATAAGTGAGTGATACAACCAGGTGGTGCTATGAAGGTATGGTTTATTGGGACCAAGGACGCTATTCATACGATCCAATGATCTTACTACTTCTGCAAAATCAACATATGCGAATAACTGAAGTCTGTCAAATAATTAACAAGTGAAACCGGAATGCATTCATCTGCACGTTCACCGACACGGTGATGAAAAAACAGCATTGTTCAAAATAGGAGATTCCCGTGTCTTCAGTGATGTGACTTTGAGTTTCCCAGTTGCCGAACAATATCAGATTGTGAAAAAGAAATCAAGGCCTATTCGTGTATCTCAGAGGTAAACTAAAATGATCGCAATAAAAATGTACAAAAAATCACAGCGAGTCGTGTAAAATATTGTACAAGAATAGTGTTTTATCTAGGGCTATCGTATTGTTTGATCGTCTTGATCAAAAAATTTTCGATAATCGTCTTAGTGATCAACAAACAATTACTACACCAGTTTCTGTAATCAGAATTTCATACTACTGAACATGTTCAAATATTCCTAAAATGTTGATGAATCGCAATATAAATTTGTATATCGATAGACGACAAAATGATTTTGTAACAACCTTTGTTAAAAGTTCATCCTCACCATCTAAACTGCAGCAAACATGAGGTTGAGCGAGATGTTTTGAGTTGACACAACTATCGAGAAACTTTACAACTCCGGGGAATTTTTTGCCATGACGATTGATGAAGTACACCTCAATTGACTGTTTTATATTATAACAATTGTGAACACGCACCTTGAATCAAATACCATATAGTATTAAAATCGACAACTTTCCTCCGAATATTTAGTCTGAAAATAGCACTGTGTACAATCGAAAATATTTGGTTTCCATTAACAAACTTAAAGCGCATTTTATGTATTGAACAAGGTTCATGTCTAAGACGTGAATACTTGACACCTATGAAAAGTTTCTACAAAAAGCAGTAAATGTTTTTCAATGCGCAAAGCTAAAACCTCCTGGATTTTTGACTAACGAAAAAGTTGTATCCATCTTGTGACTTCTGATACCATGATACCCTCTCCGGCGCAAATAAAATTTGATTACACAAAGCAAACTATCATTATCTCGATTCATACTTTCATTTCTCCATACGCCTAATAAGTCCTTTTTTCAACTTGTCTTATTACATTAGCATTTTCATCTTGTTGTTTTCAGTAGTTGCTGAATTTGTGCTTTTGTCAGCGTTTAAAGTACCTGCACTTTTCGGTTTCGCATTGCTAAGGGCGCTCAACATTGCAGCAACTTTCGATGCTGCAGACGTCGATGCGGAGAGTCCTTGAACTAAAACACATTGAAGGCGGTAAAACAACGAATGCGTTTTGTTTTGAGAACGAGAATTATCGTTTGAGAATTGTTTCTTCTGGTACGAAAAGCATATTCTACGGCCCAGCTTTTGGTCGGTTAGGAAATTAAATTAATTAACTTTATTAGAAGATGGTTGCGCGTGTTTTGAAGCCTGCTTTCTGACTACGATAATCCTACCTGTTTGAAGCTTGGCCCTTTGTGTCGTTTTAGTGACTGGTCTCGCGACCAATGTCCGCTGTATTTTTCGTCGCGACTTCTTTTCCCGGTTCTTTAGCATTGCTAATAATCCGTTGATGACATAATTGTTCGGAAGAGCTTCGACCTCGTGTTGCGGTAAAACAGTATTCTTGCGACAAAGAGCACATTCCACCTCGGTCACACCTTTAGTCTTCTTGCTTCTAGTTTGGAGCCATCCTGAAATGGAGTTCACTTTTATTGTAATGAAAGACAAAAACGTCGGTTTCTTACTTATTGGTTGCCGCTTGTACAGAGATTCACTCGGAAGTGAAGTGTGGGAAAGCCTCATAAAAAAACATTTCATTTAAAATACCTCATTTGTTTGTATATATATGTGAAACGCCGTGGTGTCATCACATACCTTCCAAGCACTTTGCGCTGCAAGAATGTTGACAGGACAGCACTTTCGGGCTTGAATAGGCTGAAAGGCAGATTGAACACGTCAACAGGCTTTCTTTTTTTATAGATAAAATAATAATATAAATCATTACATACAGATGAGGCAGTATAAATTCCATAATAAATATTGAGAATTTGTATTCATATTGTAGCATATCCGTTATAATTCCCATTTGTTGTCATCATCAATTATATGTTCCATGATGCCATTTACCATTATTTTAATTAATACATGAAAAAGAAAAATTTAAGAATTAGTTCCACTTCATTACGATAAACACTTCTAGTCATATTTATATATATTTGCATAATAAATCAAGTTCTTCACAATAATTAGGTAAATTTCTCAGTCGTTCTATATTTCTCCTACACTTTATTGAATTTCTTATAGTATTGACTACATTATTCACTCTTGGCATTACATTTTCAAAAATCACTGCATTTCTTTGCAACCAAATTTTATATCTTACAGTACATATCAATAAAATAATAGCATTTTTTTCTATATTGGTCAAATGTACATAATTATTGTGTCTTAAATCTAATAATATATATACATGTTTGATAATTTATTAAGTTGCCACTGTTAGTTATTTTCATGATAATAGAAAAAACATAATCATACAATTGTTTCACAAATGAGCAATTCCAGAATAAATGTGTTATAAATTCAACTTCTTTGTCACAAAATACACATAGGTCATCCCCAGCAATATATCTAATTCTTGACATTGTTTTAAGCGGTAAAATATTCCACTATAATTTGTAGTTAAAAGTTTGTACATAATTAGCTAGAATTTTATTATGAATATTCAAACATACTGTTCGAATATCCCAGGCTTCCTGATACAGAACGATCACCGCCAAACGAAAGCTAAAAGTGGTGCGCTGCTCCAGACCGAAATAACCACACAGAAACAACTATGTTGTAAAAAGCGTGGTGTAATTATTATTCTTAAATTGGATTGCCTTCAATCTTTTATTATTGCCGCGTTCAGTCGCGGACTAACTGTCAAGCCAGTAATATTTTTCTGGTTGATCATCCAAATTCCCTGAAATACTGATGTTACGCTGCTACAATTAATCAAGATTACATAACTAGTTTTCTATATGAAAAATTGAGGCATACGGGGATTTTCCATACGCAGCGGATGTGTTAGATTCTTGGAAGCTGCAACACGTGGTCCCTTGAAGGTTGGTGAAAATTGGTAAATTTTCAAGAAAATTATTTACTTCCATATACTCAAATCTTTGTAGGAAGGAAGGTTAAACAAATTTGGAGTGCAAATGAACATTGAATTACTATTGCTCAATTGCATTTAAAGTATATATAAATCAAAATAGTACGCAACTGATGATACAGCTATATGGATATCTATGGAACGCTAATCTGACTCTGCTGTTATCCTCTCTCGCTTCAACAATGCCAAGTGCGAGATGATGCGATAAGTCTATTTGATTGCAGCGATTAATTCGTCTGGAATGCTTCATCTACAGAGTAAGTGTAGACAAAAGTTTATTAAAATATCTACAATATAAATCTAAACGAAAAAAAAGTTATTTTGCAGAAAACGAAATTATAGTAGAATTTATAGTTATTTTTCGATATACATATATCCTCCCTCCCATTGTCTCCACTACACGCCTTAATCTGGAGTTTGACTGCACGAGGCATGTGTGTTTTTTCCCCCGAATTTCATCCCAATCTGCGCTTTAAAAGCTTGACTGGCACACTGATATGTCCAAACTCGATAGACGATATTTCATTGAGCAAGCCTATGTTTACCCTCTTTTTACAAGAATCATTGCTATCTTCTTTACAGTGTATTATGCATACATATACCCTTATATAACTTTCTAAATAGTCTTTGTTGCAAGTGTTTTCATTGTTGCAAGCTCATTAATTTCTCTCTATCTAATTATCATTTACCTGATTTTTCAAAATTGCCTGTGCCGTCAATTCCTCTCTATTTGTCTCTTTTACTAATTTTATTGGACACGTAAGTGGACCTATGGATCGTTTTATTATTTTGTTGTTGTTCTTGTTAGGATTCGTCTCCATCATTATAAAATCGCTTTTCTTTTCGAATACTGGACCAATTGCTTTGGAATTTCATTGTTTTTCTGCTTCCTCGATCGCTTTATCGAAACCGAAGTTAATTGGTTTATTATGCAATTTTTCTTCCATCGTGTAGGTGCGGCAGTAATGGTTCGGCGGCGAGTAATCACCCTCTTCGCTTTTTCGGTTTCAATTCATCCAGTGATGAGCTGGAAATATCGTAATAACCGGAACGCACCAAATTCGCAAAATCAACGACTAACATACGGTACGCAAAAATGTAATATATATATTTACAACCTGACGCGGACGTTTACAGAAAGTTTTGTCTAGCCTAAGATAGAACCGAAGAACTACAATGAAATATGAAGAATTTATCTGAACTACCGTGTTTCTACCGTGTCTTAGGATGTCTTATATTTTCATTTATCAAAAACAAAATTGTAAAGTAGAATATTACGAAATTTCCAAATATATATATATATATATACAAAATATGGAAATCGATATCCATTTATTTATACATAACAGTTTTTATTAAAAAATAACTGCAAAACATGGATTATTGATCATTTAAAACGTGTAGGAGAGGTTTCTTGCTGTCGACTGGGTAGAAAAAAATTCGCGTTATCGACTAGGTCCCATTTTAAGGGGAGGGCTTATATTAAGATCACTTTCAAAATTCAGGCTAGGTCTTATTTTCGGGGAAATACGGTATGTCTGTGTAAAATTACAAAAATATTCATATCGATTCGATACAAATGTTATTATTAGAACGGTATGGGATTAATTTCCATGGGGTCAAAGGCCGGGGAAATATCTATTACGCGTTACTGATGTACTGATTATTTGCGTGATGCGATGTAAAAAGAATTACGAACTATGATGTAACAAAACATAAATTGATAACTAGGTTTACCAGAGAAATTAGACTTTTTGTACCATAATTTTATTTTAACAACAGGAATGCAAATGCAAAAAAATGTCCAACAAACGGAACACCGTTCCGTTGCGTTCCGGCTACAGCTCACCATTGAATTCATCGCGGAAGCGCTCTGTCAAATCTCACAAGATTTAGAAACCAAGGGATCACACGTGTGTTTTCTTTTCTGCTAGCTTTTCCTGCTTGATTAAGACCATCCAAATAGAAGGTTAGGAATATTAATTTGTTCAAACCAGAAAACAGCCAAGAACAGTATAATATTCCAGGGCTTCGCCTTGACATCCAGTAACATATGAACTTGTTGCGGCCCTACAGGTAGGTGGCCACGAGGAGCGCGACAAAAGCTTGGGCCGCGGAGATCTTTCCCAAGTGATACACAGTCGGATTTTGAGCCTGGTGCCGAATTACTAACGACTTTGTTAATATGTATATATTATTATTTTTGTTCCACTCATTTCAATGTTCGCGAGTACATTTTATTTAATTTTCCCGGTCCGCCAGGATAGGAAGGTTGGGACCACTGCCGTAGACCACCGTAACCCTACTGCTTTCTCTGGTTTTCGTGTCCGCATATTTGACCATAGATATCTTGTTTTTTGAATTTGTTATAAATAATCGAAATAAAATAGTTTTGGTGTATATTAGAATTTACATTCAACGAATGAAAGGTGTTCTATCGTGACCGTTCCTCGATGTGAAATTAAAAGTATATATACCTGCAAGCGTTTGAAAGTCGTGATGGGGGTGTCGTATACGAGGTTGCAATTTGAGTGACATACGAAATGCACGTATTGGGAACGAAATTCACGACTTCTTACAGCGAAGATACGCGATGATATCAATAAAACTACCATTACGCACAGATTATCATGTTCTATTTATAAAATAAGAGTCGGTTCACGCATCCATGCGTAAATGCCTCCGGTGGTTACGAAAGTCATTTGCTAAGTTTTCATTGCAATTTGTATCTTTTGTGGCATTTTTTAGTTAAAGCCATTCGAAAAAAAATTCTAGACAAGAACAATACAAAAATATGAATGGGAGCCAATTTTACTTATTGCCGCTGCAAGATTTATGGATTGGAATTCTCCACACAGTTTCTCGCTTTGAAAATGGCTTCGCACCCTGTTCTACCGTCTGACCGTTAAGTCATTCGTTATGCGTTACCGCCATTTTTTATGCACTTCTTTGGTACACTACAAATTAGGTAATGATTGATTAAATTGTTGAAAAGTTGGTCTAGACACCGTACAATATCGAACGAATTTCAGCAATGACCAATGGTACCGGTACCGTACCGTACGATAAGAAAATTTTATTTCGACTCATCTTATATCTGCATATAGCCATAGTCCAGTAACCGTCTGCCGGCAAACAGGTACTTACTACGGTCAGACGGTAGATAATGCCATGACCAAGTTACAGACAACGACGTTGTAGGTACCTTAATCAGGCAATACTGCAATAACTTAGGGCAGTCTGGCAGTAGAGTCTAAATGAGGTTCGGTACTCGCCTTAAGTAACGCCAAATTAAAATATGTGCTAAAATACCTGAATACAGGGCAAATTTTATTATTTGTTTAGCACTGAATGCTAATTACTGAATTATATCTTATTTCAGTTTTGGCATGGAGTGTATACCTGTTTAATTAAAAATTGAGTGGATTAATTTTAACTAGTATTTTAGTAGTAGTATTTTAACTAAGTGTTTTATTCCGCGTTAGACAGACCTTTTTTAAAAACGTTCTGTATGCTAGCCTGCTGCTGTACTGTCAGACTACTATTTTCTAGAAACCTGTTTGAAACTGTTTCCAATCTAAAAAATATTTTCTGGATTTGTATGGTAACTACTGCCTGACTGCAGTACTATACTAATACAGTAATACATAATAGAGCTGCATGTATATGTATATTTCGTATCTCTGTATCTTTTATCATTTATTATTGTTGATGGTCGTCTCATTTTCAAAGACTTAAATGTTTTTCTAGCTTTCGTTAGTGCAATAAAACTAAAATGAGACAAAAGTATATTCAAGGAAATAATGCAAGATTCGTATGATAATTTGAAAAAAAATTAGGAAGAAAAAGAAGTTTAAGAATTACCTAATATTGAGTTATTTTTTTCTCTGCTCAAAAGAAATAGATGAATGATTTTTTTAGTTCAACTCGCCAATATGATTATCCCATTTTGTTTTTTCATATATGGAGTACAGTTCTAGTGACTTTGTAATAATTTGAAAATTTTGGCTTTCTTATTGTTCAACAAAAAAAATTATAGAAAGTGATATGGAATACATATTTTGACATTGCGTGTTGATCCATATTTCTTGCTCTGCCACAAAGTTTTTTTTTCGATGCAATATTTTTGTATTTACTAATTAGGAAGTACTTTCTTGTTTTCTACTTGCTCTGAGCTATGTAGTGGTTTGTATAAGTCAAGTACCCTCTCAGAAACCAAGAGACTCAAACCAAAATTAAGAGGGAAGGGGGTGCCAAGTTTTATAGAAAAGTATTTATATAACTACTGAACTAAATCGGTGCCAATTTTTTCCAGACCAGCTTGTAAAAGACATTATCCGCAACCTAAAATGCTCGTCTGCTTCAACCGAATTTGAGAGGGACGGAGCGCAATGTTTTATGCAGGAATATTGTATATAATTGAAGCCATGCCAATTTTCAAATCAACTTGTTATAGACGATATAAATAACCTAGAATGCCAGCGTAAATTAACAACAATATATTAAGTTGGAAGTTTGTAATGGTACCATGTTTGTTATTCAATTTGGAATCAAATTCTCAGAACTGGGGATTTAAGTTTATTTACTTTGATCAAAGATGATTTGGCATTAGGGTAGATTGAATGTTTGGCCATGTGCATTAGACATAATTCTGTTTTTGGTGTCCTAGATTTTCTGTTTATAAGATAAGTACTTCAGTATGCCTCTGTGTAAACAATCTGCAAATGTTAAAAGTGCTTGAACGTTCTAAATCCAGGTTGAAAGCAAAACAACATTTGCAGACGATTTGTCATGCTTCCAACACTTGTTTTGATCTAGCTTTGATCTCTAAATTTTGAGCCAAATGCTTTATTACCGGTATATAATATTATATATTTCGGTTCCATTACATTTGAACCCACGTACATTTGAACCCATGACAATTGCACCTGTATGCTATTGCACCTATGGAATTTTTTTTGTTTTACGGATAGTTGAACCCATACTAACCCCAACCCATGGGTTTTGGCACCCGCCCATATTTCTTATAAAGCATCTATAAGCGTAAATAAATTCACTGTCACACCTTTTGCCAGGAACAAAGCAGGCACCCAGTGGCATCTGACAATATTTTAGGATTCACTTTTGCTGGAAAGGTTGAAGTCTTTCCAGTTCGGCACTGCCTACTCAATCCTGGGTGAGGTGGAGGGCATGGGGTTTAAACCAGAAACCATGAGTTTCCAAACGAAAAATAGCATATTATCTTACGGTATCTAGATAGGCCTACTGCATTTTTATAACTGTTTTTTACTAACATCCCCCATTTGATGTATTCCCCATGTTTATTGGGTTGTATCTTATGTATTAACAAACTTTCGTTTGAATCCAGATTTCTTTATTATTGATAATGAAATGTTTATGATAGTCATTGATTATGAAGACTGAAATCACAGAATTGAAGCTTGAATTAAAACAATGGGAGCTAAATTTTTTAAAAACGAACGGCCGGAAACCGACAAAAAATGATGCAGCTGAAATTCCAGAAATTAAAGACAAATATGCCAAATTTGTCAACTTGAAAAGAGATTTTCAAGAGCTTCATCGTACAAAGCATAATGTGGAATCGAAAGGGACTAATGAGAATTTAGAGAAGCCGTTAAAACCTGTTCAAAATGATAGCAGTAGAAAAATATTGTCTCCCAAAAATAGTCAAGTGGAGAATTCTTCTGTCAAGTTTAAATCACCGTCCAAAAGTAGTAAAACTAGTTCCGTTTGGGGTGAAAATTTATTGAAGAAGAATTTTGTTGCGTCAAAAACTAGTGATTTTCATGACAGTTCACCTAAAAAGGAAATCAATCACAAAGCTACAAACGCTTCCCCAGAAAACAAGGGTAATAATTGGAGAGACAAAATGAGGAAAAATATTGGTTTGGGATCGGCAAAACATTTAGCAACCAACTTAAAAAGAAGATCTAGAATAACAAGTGCACTAAATAGTACTCTTGGTTTGGATGACTCTGTGGTATCGACAGATGAAACTGCCTCTGATGGTATAACTTCTGACATATCATTTGGGAGCCAACTTAAGATTGTATCAAAAAGTGGTAATTCAAATTTTAATTCACCGAATACTTCATTTAGAAATAGTTCCCCGTTTGTTCCCAAGCCTCCGAAAAGTTTGTTATCAAAGTCTATCAATATGGATTTCCTGCAAGACGAGGATCTTTCTGATTTGAAAAATCTTCAGCAAGAAACTAAGGCTGACTCAAACAAGGATACAGAATTTAAACAAGCATCTGAAACGAATTTTAGTCACGAAAATGAGGTTAGTGGTACTGAGGAAAATTTTGATAACGCGAATGAAGAAAATGTAGAACCATTAAAGGATGAAACAGAAAGTTTTATAGAAGCCAACTTCAGAGAAAAGCCGAAGAAAACAAATTTTTCTTTTTCATCTGATAACCATTTTCCTACAATTAATTACGATTCTGTTTGTTTGAACGCAGAAAAAATAATAGACGAAGTTAAATTAACAGAAAAAGAAACTTCGGTTAGCGATGATGCGGAATTGCCAGCGACAGACAAAGAAAATGTCACAAAGGGAAGCACGAAAGTAAAATCACAGTCTACTACTCGTGCAATTCCGCAAACTAACTTTGTACTTTTGAATATGAAGAAGAAATGTTACAGCAAAAGGGGAGGAGCTGGAAATTTTTTGCGGAAACAAGTCCTGCGACAAAAACTTGCCAAAAAAGGATATTCATATAAGAGTGGATGGAAGGGGCGCAGTGGTGGTTCTAGCTTTCGAAGTGGGGGATCTAAATGGAAAGGTGGGGGTGACGTGGGGTATCGAGATAGAACTGCTGATAAGTGTTTCAAATGTGGTGAGACCGGACATTGGGCAAGTAAATGCAGAGGTTTTAAATCGCAACAAAAGAAAATAGACCCAGAAGAAGAACAACAAAATAAAGAAAGTTTAGAAGAAATTATTGAAAATATTGATATGTTAACATCAGCTTTGAAAGGTGAATCGAACAATGAAATGCTACAAAAAGCTACTGTGGGTTTGTGTGACCCTGTATTATTGAATGATGAGCCTATCACTGAAAACAATGAAGTAATGGAAGCATTATTAAAAATGTTCAAGTATAATTCTTTTCGCCCAGGACAAGATGTTGCAATTAGTAGAATTTTAAGAGGTCTCCCGACTCTACTCGTTCTTTCTACGGGTTCGGGAAAGTCACTTTGTTATCAACTACCTGCATATTTGTATGCTAAGCAACGTAATGCTATTACTCTAGTTATTTCCCCTTTAGTATCTCTCATGGATGACCAAGTACGCGGTTTGCCTAAAATGATGAAAGCGACTCGAATTCATTCAGGGATGAGCAAAGAACAAAGAAATAAAGCAATGCTAGAAGTTGAAAATGGAAATGTTCATGTTCTTCTCGTCTCACCTGAAGCAATCACCACATGGGCTGGAATGTCACCAAAATATAGCCCGCTGTCCAAGCTACCACCTGTTGCATTTGCTTGTGTTGATGAATGTCATTGCTTGTCTGAATGGTCTCATGCATTCAGGCCGTCGTATTTAAGAGTTTGTCAAGTTTTGCGTGAGCAACTGAAAGTAAAATGTCTCGTTGGGTTGACTGCAACTGCTACTATGGATACATGTGCATCTGTGGCAAGACAGCTTGGAATTACGGATATTGATAAAGGTGTGATAGCAAAAATTGATATTCCTGATAATTTAGTTTTGTCGGTATCACGTGACAGGTATAAGGATGAAGCATTATCGCAACTTCTACTTGGCGGACGCTTTTCGAAATTGGATTCTGTTATTGTGTATTGTACTAGACGGGATGAAGCGTCAAGAATAGCTGGCCTGTTGAGAGTTAAAATGCAAGACATGCCAGCTCTCGCTGTGGAGGAGCCTGAATCTGATCAAGAAGAAAGCGTAGAACAAGGAAGTAATTCTAAGAAACGAAAAAGGACAAGTAAACCAAAGAAAAGTGCTAAAAGAAAAGCTGTAACTCTTGATGCAGAATGTTACCATGCTGGTATGTCCGCTAGCGAAAGACGTCGTATACAAAATAAATTTATGAGTGGTACTTTGCGTGTCGTTGTTGCGACTGTCGCATTTGGAATGGGGATTGATAAACAAGATGTTCGAGCTGTAATTCATTACAATATGCCAATGTCCTTTGAACGATACGTACAAGAAGTGGGAAGAGCCGGCAGAGATGGAAAACCAGCCCACTGTCATCTTTTTCTTGATGCGGATGGCGGAGACTTGAGAGAACTCAGCAGGCATTCCTATGGGAAGACAATTGATCGGTACACAATTAAAAAGTTTGTTAAAAAAGTGTTCCCATTATGTGACTGCGAAGATGAAATCGATGATGATATGGACAGCGACATAGCCGAAGAAAAGCCGAATACTTGCCAAGGACATTTTTCTGCCATTGAAATTGATTCTACTATCGAAGACTTGGATGTCAAAAAAGAAGGATTAGAAACATTAATCTGTTATTTAGAAATTGAAAATTTAATTCATGTCAATCTACCTACTGAAACAAGATGTACAATGGAATTTTATGGAGGGCCAGGTCAAATGATAAGAACAGCAAAAAAATGCGATGCAGTCGCTGTAGCTTTGAAAATTGCCAAGACGAAAGAAGATGAAACCAAGGTTACGTTTAATGCTATGCGAGTTGCTGATGAACTTAATATGGATTTACCTTCTTTAAAAAGACTTCTTCGTTATTTGACTTACGATACTTCTCTTTCTTCAGTCGAAAGCGAAGTTGGAAAAAGCGGAGTTGAAGTCCAATTCTCACAACTTTCTTTTTGTGTTCGAACAAAGCAAAAAACGACTTCTGAATTTTTAGACGCAGTTACTGATCTCTTGCTGAGAAGAATTATCTCACAAGAGAATAAAGAACTCGTACAGCTAAGAATGTGTTTCAAAACTATGCAGAAATTTTCACATTCTAATGTTGGTACCTGTCGAGACTTTGTTGATCTATCTAAAAGCACAGAGTTAAAATCATTGATTTCTGAATATTTTAAAGAACAGCGACCAGTGAGACATACTGAGGAAGAATTACCACAAATTGATCCCAGAGATGAGAATGAATTGCGTTGCCATGTACGCCAGTTTCTACATGTACATGCAAACGACTTTGAACATAGAGTCACAGGTCGTGCAATTGCTCGTATATTTCATGGTATCGATAGTCCGAGGTATCCTGCTAAAAATTGGGGGCCTGCTCGTAGATTTTGGAGATCAAAACTTCAGATTAATTTCAATTTGATTAGAAAGATTGCAACAGAGGAGATTGTTGGAACAGTTCGATGATAAGGTCATTTTTTGTGTATTAATAAAAGAACTAAAATAATCCAAAAGTGTAAATTATACTTGGATAAGCTAACAACTAACTTATTGCTGTTTTTTCAAAAATCGACTTGCAGTCATTGTTAGAAATGTAATATTACTATTTCCTATGTTATTACTATTCAATCATTGAAATACTGAACTTTTTGCTTGATATAAGTGAAAATAAGTTTCCACCATTTTTTTCTATTCATTACTCATACTGCCGAAATAAAAATTTAAAAAAAATTTTGTACTTCACTGCCTTGTTATTTCAATATGTTTCCATTCACATACAGATTATCACTGTTTTTCAATTTCCTATTTAATTTTTATCTACTTAAAAAGTTGCAAAAACATGTTTTTGTCAAAAAAAATTTTGTGCATTTTCCAATTTCTTGATGGCCCTACTTCACTATCAAGAGGTTGTCAAGTTTGTTATTTAGTTTTTTTTTCTTGAAAAAAATTTTTTCTTGAAAAAAAAAAATGTTTCAAATTTGCATCTACTAGTTAGTTGCTCAGTGGTCTTATAATAACAATGTGATATCTCGCATCACGTTCACAATATGGTTTCGTTTACTCTTTATCAAATTAATATATCGCTCGACCATTTGGGAATTATATAATATCTGAAATTTAATACTTGTACTGGTTGGTATCACATAAAACTGGTAATAATAGTCTTTATTACATCACAATTAAGTTATTCATTCATGCGTTGTTCTAATGATCTTCAATTTGTATGATTGTCATTAATATTCAATGTTAATTTTATTGCTTCATACTTCCTACTGCCTTAATAGGAGATGTGCTATTTTTGTTCTGCCAACTTTCACACTATTTACTTTTCCTATTCTCTCATTGTGTGCGGCTTTCCTCTATCATGAACAGCTGTAGCTTTGTTAGTCATTTATCGATTCTATTCATGTCAATCTAATTACTTGTGACAAGCGTTGCTCAAAAGCTAGTTCTAGTTTGGTAGTTAGGTCTGTAGCATTAACTGTTCTCGAATATATTATTATAGACCAAATTATGTTATGAGCCAGCTGATCAGGATTTTTCAATCTATATATATATGTGGCCAGGTTATGAACATCTTTGGACCATACATTTGCATGTCTAACTGTTAATTAACTGGGTGGGTATTAAAATTATTTTTGGTGTAATGCCAATAAGGAGGTCTAAGAGAATCTTTTACGTTTCAAACTAGTTTGATTTTGTCATGGATCAATATACTATATATGACATTGGTATTACAATAAATTTATATGAAAATGTATATCTGGTATCATAAGGATCCAGGTCTACTTTGATACAATAATCCATTCTATTTTTATAGACCTATAGTTGTTTCATGTGGTTATTTCGGCTATGTATCTCGACTTTTTTTTCTCTATCGAATTTGTCTCTAATTGTTAATATTATGACTTTTCAAACTTTTCTTATTCTGTTTACTGATGTACTCGATTTTTTTCACTGCCTTTTTCTTAGCTAGGCGTAAGAATTACATCTAAAAAAATTATTTGGCACACTTTTTTAAAAGTGTGAAGGTGGATATTCAAAATGTAGAACAAAAGTTTACTACTTTTACAAGATCGTCATCAAATTTTGCCAAGTAAACTTCCGCCCCTAGTAGAAGGAAAATGTTAACGTTCGGTAACAAGATCGGGATATACGAGTGGTTTCAACAAATTCAAGGATGGAATCGAATGGATTTTTTATGTAATTTAATTCACCTTTGCAATCCTTTTGAATTGAGATTTATCGGATCATGCATAGAAGATATAGCACAAATGGATTACAATTGCTTGAGAGATCAGGAAGGTAAAGCTAACAGTGCAGAGGTAAGTTGTATGGAAAGTTTTTTATCGAAAAACAAATTTGTTTTAATTACAAAGTGTGGGAAGTTTTGGCTGGTGTTCTGTGAAATTGCCTTAAGATACGTTTAATCTGTTTATGTCAGAGGTTCCAATATAACTTGGGAAGAAATATTTTATGTTGAGGTAAATTTGATATAATACTCTACATATAGATACTCTATATTAGGATATATAAAGTATATCCAGTGCTAGCAAACATTGCAATTTGTAGACGTTTCGAGTTTCTACATAGAAACCCTGATAAAGTTTTTCTGTACGTTAATTCGAATTGTCGGCAAATTACATCGTTTTGTTAACAACATTTGTGCCTTTCATATCCTGAACTCATATGTACCTGGTGGAAAATCATAATCTATTCAAGTGAAAGATGTCTCTATTAGGATGGTTTAACAACTAATATTCTACCCATTAATGTCAATTTCTAAATTGTGTAATGGGAAAATGTAGCAGTAAAATCGGAATTTGTATCTACCGTAACTTTAAATTTTGTTCTATAGCCAAATAATACCGAAGTCTTCTAATCCAAATAAATACCAACTTTTTATGGAGTCATGGTGACATTTTTAGCAATTTTTTGGCTGGCTATGGTTTGTGTCGAGTCATCTTTTTAAATTTAGAATAGCATTCAATTGCCATATCTTTAAAGTAAAGTTTTTAATCGGGATGTATGTATATTTTCATTTTATTAATTTCTCGCTTTGAAGATTATAAGTGCCAGGTTTCAGCATAATGATTTCTAAGCTGCTTATACCATCAACATACGCTGTAGTTGTATTATATAAAGCCCGTGGACCATAATTAATTTTGATATTAAAATGAATGATCTAACTTTAAAAACTTGAGCACAAATTTTCAAATACAAGGGTTTCAAAACAAAAAAATAAATGTTGAAATTTAAAAATATTAATTTAAAATATGGCAAAAAAGGAGGTGTTCTCGGAGATGGTATCTGATTATAGTTTGAAACAATATTCACCGAGTTACTGGGGTTTAAAGGTCAACGTTATATATTTCCATCATTTTTCCAAAGCAACTTTTTAAGTTTTGTTTTCTTCAGTCAAATATGCTATGATCCAAACATTTCATGGATAATTTCAAGATATTTCTGCCTATTATTTTAATGATAAATAATATACTTCACTATAATGACATAATTAATTTCTTTTCAGCATCTCGAACATTTTATCAACAAATGTTCATCTGTTGATGAATTCAGAAGTCATATTTCTGTTTGTATTTCTCTGCTGCGATCTTCAAACTATAAAGTTGCCAGCAAACTTGCAGAACTTCTTGATGTAAGTGAAATTGTATTTTGTAATAAACTTATCTTTCTTGATAATCACCGGTGTATATTTGTGGGCAGCGTTTCCTAGGAAACTTGTGTAAATGAATATGAAAACTCGTTTGTTCATGCGTAATGTACGGAGATATAATCAGTAGGACTCTTATATTTCTAGTAAGTTATTCGAGTTCGCCATACTCATATTGTAAAATAAATATTTATCTTTTTATTAATAATATTTTTCTATATTCAATGCAAATGATGTAGCCCAAACAGGACGAATATTGGGAATATATTTGAAGTTTAAAAAAATATGCTAGTTAACTACAAACGGAGTGTATTTATTGCAGTAAAAAGAAACCCAAATAAACACTGGATAAATTATAATAAACTTGGTCGAGATATATTGAGACTGATTTCACAACAAGATTGAAGTTGTAATGGGACTTTATGAACACCCTGGATATAATATATACCGGTATTATGCGCATATTTTATTTTTGCGTTTATGGGTTTGAAACAATTAACTGCCTTCTTGGTTACAATGTTTGTAATGTCAACCAAACAGTGGTATTTGTTCTCTTTATGTTTACTGTGAGGTATTTCTATTATATTTCTGCTGCTTGTGTTATTTTTATTGTAATAAAGACCTTTTTAATTTATTCCTTCGCAAAGTTTCAAAAAAATCCATACCAATAATCCAACTAACTTGTCTGATTGTGTTTAAGGGTTTCTGCACTATTGATCAACGTATACCGTAAAATAGTTACTAGATCCATGTTTCCTTGAATGATCAATTTGGCTTCAATTCAATCATTGAATTAAATATTGCGCATTAGGCAACCATGACCTGAAGTGATAACGTCAATGCCTTGATAGAAATTCTGATAGACGTTTTGTTCGTATTTGTATATTACACATCCCAACGGAATTAACGTAATGTTACGTCAAAGGATAGTGTGAGGGTCGTTTAACATAAAACTATATATAGAATTTTGAAGTACTAACTTGTACCTCGTTGAATGTGCTTGGTTCGTATGCAAATTTTATAATTCTATTTCAAAATTGAGAAGGCCTATTTATTTTGGCTAAAATTTCCTTCAGTTGTTGTGGTCATGCCTGGTCACAAATTTTAAAGTATGAAGCATGGCTTTTATCAAAATTGATGTACTTAATCCGACACTGTTTTCTATTAGGTTGCGTATTTACTTCTGAAATGCTGCATGTAGTGTCGGGATAATCACATAATTACATTGTTCCTTGCTCACGTCATACCATCTATTTATAACTTTCTCATACAATAGAAGACTTATGCCCAAGTCTCCATAATTTGACATATTTAGCCTACTGTTGACTAACACAATGTGGGATGTTTTGAATTTTGGATAAACTTATTTATAGTTTGAATTTTAGTTTCGATCTTATTAGTATAAAGGTGAATGAACCACTAATTTTCCTGAGTTATTTCAATAGCATTTTGGAGCATTGAACAAATGCTTCACTTTATTACAATTTGATGAAATATCTATTTACTTTTGATCATAGCCCGCTTTTTACATTTTGATTTTTATGAATACAATGTGGGAAATGGTACAATATAATATGTACTCTGTCAGAATCATTTTCTTGAATGCATAATAAGCTAGCTAGCTACTCAAGAATAGACAGTTTCAAACGTCCCACTGAACTGATTAGTAGCAACCTGAATGATCTCGGAATGAAATAACCCTTTTGGTTCACATGAATAACTTCTTGAGTTACCTTGTAGCCTCGTTTATAAAGTTGCCCTTGATTTGTTGTCATTTGAAGCCAATTTGATGTAGACCTATCATTTTTTTTCACCTAATGCATACAAATATAACTTGAAAACTGTCTGCGAATCCCTGGCGGTCCATGACCCCTCTTTAGAAACCACTGTCCCAAGACAAGACAAGCACAATGTGAAATGATTCTCTGACAAAACATAATATCAATCTTTTCATCTTCTAGGACAAACTGGACGGTTTGAACCTCGAGCATCTGATGCAAGCTGGCTTAGATGCTGAAGTTGAACAATGGTTATTGATGCTAACTCTCGCATCTTATCATCCTGCTTTCAGTTTTGAAAAGAAACTCAACTTCAAACGCAAACTGTCAGAATATGAGAGATTAAACAAGAGAGAAAGAAAGGTATCAGAGTTGATACATACTTCCAAAGAAATCAAATGAAATTTGAGGAAATGCATATTTTTATGGGAAATGCATATTTTTATGTGTGATTAATGATAAAATTTTTAATAATATCTTCAACTGACTTAAGAATGGTTTTCTTTCGACTGAATTCACATTTGTACATTGAAATCGTGAGTTATGCTTCTTATTCTGTGAAGTTTCCTACATAATAATTTGGTCTATCTTTTTGTATTTATCAATATTTATAGAACACTGAGAATGTCTACTCATAAAACTCATCCTAATTTTTTTGACAGGGTTCTAGATTGTATAGAGGCCATCGATATCCTCAATCTCAGCATTCTGCATCAAAGTACAATGACTGTGAAGAATCTAATTGGAGGACAGATTTTAATCCTTCCGCTATCCAGCCTTTCCATCAACATTATCCTAATATGCATCATCATAGAAGCTACGGCCACGGTGGTTACTCAAACTTTCAGCCAGAGGCTTTCGGCCCTGGTAACGGACCACAAGGGGTATTTCAAGAAGGCTTTTCGAGGTCGTCAAACTTTATGCAACGGCCGACAAACTTTCCAAATAATTTGATGCAACCGTCCGGGATGGGGGATACAAACTTTTACGAAAAACAAATGGATTATAAAATGCCGCCCCCGCCACAACATTTAGTAAACTTTCCTCCAAAGCCGGACTTTATGTCTACGGGATTTACTAGACCTCCCAGGCAAGAAAGGAGGCTGCCTCATGCCGGTAGACCTACTCAAGTTTCTCCAACTTTATGGAATGAACCCACTAATAACATACGGAATTCTATACCTGCGCAATCATCTATATTTCCGTTGAGTACGGTGTGCAATATTGCCGAACAAAACACCACTGTTTCAACTGTACAATGTTCAAATGCTGCTTCTGCCAATTCTCTGCAAGTATCAACAAATGGTGAGTGGTGTTTAAGTATTTATTTAGTGATAGTATAAGTGGATTTTAGTATAAGAGAATTCAACTGAATGAGGTCACACTAAAATGGAATGTTAACGGGAATACTGTTGGGTTAATGAAATATTCAGTAGATTTGTATAATCGAATGGATCATTTCAATTTCCAGAATTTTACTAAAACTGACTAATCAAACAATTTAGTTCAAAGTCATTATTATCTAACTGAAGGCTCGAGTCTAATTTCACTTGCAAAAGCAGGGTATGGCTTCCCCACCATCAAGTTCATGCATCTGAAAGAAATATCTGGTTAACCATTCCCATACCGACATGGACTGATAATTGGACGAGATATCGTATGTCAACATATGATGATGTTGCCTTATTGATACCATCTCTCCTAAGATAAATGTGAAAATCCTACTTACATGAGACTGATGAATTGTTACTCCCGTAGTGTGTGTACCAGTTACCAGGTTAGGGTTAGGCCATGATTTTATTCAGATTTTCCTTATTTTGTTTTTTTTTACGATTTGGGGTACTGTTTCATAGGTTTCAGTTTTTTTACACAACTTGATGTAAAGTAGGCAAACAAAATTAGTCAGCACCATTATCTAATTTTTCAACAGTCTAATGTATAGTTTTTATTCCAATCTAGTTGTTTACCAAGCTCAACCACGATCCACTGCTCAAACAACAAACTCCAGTGACATTTCAACAAGCTCAGCAAAACGACATTTTATCACAATTCCAATCTCCGAGAAACCAGACAATCAGTCTGAAACTGTTTCAAATAGAACTCGATATGAGACACAAAAATCCTCACTACATAATAAAAACAATTTTATGCCAAACCATCCAACTCAGAGGCATACGGAATATATCAAATTACCACCTAAGAAAAGCTACAGTGGGAACATCGATTTTTCACGCAAAATCCAATCTTCTGTTACTGCACCAGCGCTGTCCATCAATGAACAAGAGAAAGATGTGCCACCAGAATCTTTTCCAAACTCAAATGAAGCAAGTTTTGTTGGTTCAAAAACTGAAAGTGTCGGAAGCCTTTTTCAACTTGAGTCTGAAGAGGAACTAAGGCCAGTAAAAGGTAGGACAATTTGTTTGTTTCACGACTCAGGTACTTCTCATTTAATCGAAAGTAGCTCGATTATGAAGCTCTGCGGCATATGCGGTGTACTTAAAGAATTGAATACAACGATTGAAGGCCGAAACGAATAATCTATCATAATAAATACTGGTATCATTTTTTTAACATGGATAATTGAATGAATTCAGAATTCAATCATTTTTAACAGTGAAAATTCAAGAATTTAATAAGTTTAGATATGGAAATGTCAAATGTTGCAAAAAACTTATCAAGTAATCAAATTATATTAATTGATTCTGTTTTTTTTTTATATTTTTCAAAAATTTAAAGTCTTTTTGATACTGCATACTGTAAAGTTCAAACTGTTAAAAGAATAGTTTTTGAGAGAAAATTAATTCTAAAATCAAACTTGGAAAGTTTACAACACTCTGAGATAGAATATTATATTCCATAAAACAACGAAGAAGAAAAGAAACAGAATGGTTAATTCCATTATATTTGAAAGAAGTTTGGAACTCATTTTCATTTAGTATAGGATTTTGTATGTTTTATTTTTCTTGAATTGCAATTTTCATTGAAATATCCAGTGTCTGTAAAAATACCTCAAAAGAGCAAGAAAGAAGATGCAAGGATGAGAAATGCAGCTTGCTTCAATTTAAAAGTAGGAGCATTTTTATCAATTTATGTTCTTATATCATTCTGATTTACTAATGTGTAAATATTTTATGTAGGCCTATTTGATTTGTGGATGGTTGAGTATATTGCAGGTTGCTGTTGAAAAATGAAATTTTAAAGAATTAATGTTCAAAAACTTAGGTATATTTATATAATTCACTGCCTTTTTTTAAACATAATGATTTTGAGGCAGATATCTATAATCAAAATTTCGTAGCTAAATTCTATCAAATCTGGCAAGAAAGAGACTGGGCAAATCATCGTCATATATTGGCATCTGTATTCAGATATCCCTTGAACTTATTACTTCTCATAACATTATAATTACACCATAATGATACACATATGTTCAAATATCCATCTACTTCACACTCCTTCAGAATAGCAAATTTTTTTGTCTCTTGAAATTTAGTTATCATGCCACACACGGCCATACATAAATTTTTTATTGTTCAACTCTTTGCTATGTGTTGTGTAAACATACAAACACTGTTTGGCGTCATAAGTTAAACATTGGTAGGTTTGGCAAACTGATATATTTGTATCGTATTTGTACAAGCAAAATAAACATTCGAATTCAAAGGAATTGTTATTATTAGATTTGTTAGAAGGTCAATTTAATTAAAATTTTGTTTGATTGAATGAAAATCTTCTATTGCTAATGTAAAGTAATTTGTCTACACCACAGACGCAGCATTAGTTTCATATGCGTATCACACATGATCTGTTATCGTTGCATAACTTCATTAATGACAAAACAAAATCAGAATTTTGAAAGCGATTTTTTTTTCATATGTTTCTTTTATTTACTCCAAATATGATGATGATTTGGCACATATTCTCCAACACCATGTCAAGCATGATTGAGTGATATTAAGTTACCGCTACCAAATTCACATGTCCAAAATCTATAAAAATTGAAAACCAATCGGGTTCAAGGAATATAAGACATAATCCCATTGGAGCAGCAGTTGTTTTGATTCATAATTAACAAGTTATTCATTGACTTTGCCCTGAGCAAATCATGCTAATTTACTCCGGAGTAAAGGAAACTCGTCTCTGAGCAAAGTTACTTGCAATCACTGAAATTCTTAGGGCTATTGAAACCATATAGAAGAATGCATTACATTTTTATCTCAGATCTTATTTGCATACATGTCAGAGCAAAAATAGGCACGTCCAATTTTGAAGTCAATGTTATGAATTGGCATGAACAACTAGATTTACTCGTAATCAACAATCAATTATTGGAATCATTTTAAAAATTTACTTGCACTGCCTGCAATACTTAAGATTTCTTTGCACTATTTTATAAAAATTTTGGCTGATATCATTTTGATTTGATTTAAAGCAACTGTCAAATTGCGGACAATTATGCTTCATATGGCGGATGCCATTTGATAAGGGAAGGTTGAATTCCTCTGGCTTTTTGTTTTGTTCATTGTGAGTCAAATCTCAATCTGTAACTGGAAATAAAGTTGTTGAAAGTCTTTATATATGGTTTTTATGTTTTAGGTTGATTGGAGCGATGGAACAACCACTGATTGTGAAAAAAATGTTGATGAAATGATCAGCTTCTATAAACAGGTATAGAAAAGCACTGCGGCTTTGATTTTTTATTAGATTGTTGTGTGATTACATAGTGGGTAAAGAGTACATAGTACTCTTAGTGGTTAGACCTAACTATGATGGCATCGTATGTTGAAATCTTGGATTCAATTTCCATACCTACCACCTCACCGGGGTATCATAAATTGGACAGGCAATGCCGAACCGAAAGATCCGGGTCTTTTCATATCATAGTTCCTAACAGCATATCGCCAGGTAACAGTGGCAGCTTGTAAGCGGCCTTGTTTGGAGAAAACAACATGAAGAGGTGTCATATTGAAATGTACCTCCACCACTCAATAGGACTCAATCAGCTATTTATGATAATGAATATAAAGTCAAGCACAAACAAATTCGATTTGTTTCTTACTAAAATGTTTTAGTGATATAAATGGTTATTTTTTAAGTTTTTATCAATATTTATTGCTTCTTATTTTTTCATAGATGGTTGGAAAACTTGGCAAATCCAGTTCAAATACTGAATTTTTAATGAAACACAACAACAAAATAGTTGAAAGAAGGAAAGAATTGGAAGCAGTTTTCAGGTTTTTATTCATTCTTTCTCTTATCTGTCATTTTATCTGCGATATTTAATAATAGGCCTACAGTTTGTTTCTACAATGACTAAAAGAACTAAGCAGAGTATTCTAGGAAAACTGATTATTTATTACTAAAGTTTTTTTTTTTCTATATTCGACTGTCATTGCAATATGTATGCAGGCATTTGGCATGCCCTTTTCCAGAAATACATAAACTTACAAGATAGGTATCTAAGGAAATTAATAGTGTAATGCTTAACTTTGTGTGGAGTATGTATAGAAGTAGAACTCATGATTTTGAAATTTTTATTAGGCAGTGATGAAACTAAACGATGATTTTTAAACAATAGTTGAGTTGCTGTTGCTGGTCGCATTAACATTGAATTGCTGATGTGAACATAACAATGTTACATTTTGCAAATTTCGTCCTTTGTTGCATTGCAGTGAGATTTTAACATCTTCGTCCTCGAATATTGCCGATGTCGTTTCGTTCTTCAAAATGCCAAGTAATAATTTTATACAAGCAACATCAACTCTACCATTGAAAAAAAGAAAAATGAAATCAGGTAAATTGTAGACTAAATTTTGAATTCCTTGTAATCGCTATTTCATACTTTCAATGGTGATAATATAAGTATTAATTAAAAGCATTAAGTTTACATACTGAGCATTTTCAACAGTCTATTGAAGCAGGCAGGCACATGCTGAGTATTTATTTTCAAAATTTGATTTTGAAAGAGTGCGGTAGCCGGTAGGCAATGGCTTAGTAAAACGTTGTTCATTGGACATCTTGGGTTAAAGATTGGGTTCATGCTCCACTTCTTTACCCAGCTTATCGGGTAGACAGTGTGGAATCAAGAACATTCTGATCCTCCTAACTAGTAGCTCCTTTCATATCAGTGTATGCTTGACGTGAAAAAAAGTCCGATGGTTCCCAAATATTTATTATACATGACCTCCTTTCAAAGACTGGCAACAGTTGTGGTCCCTGCTTGTAAAAATGCCTAATTTGGCACTTGACAAGTTTCAATTAGTGTCACTTTCCAGAATAAAAAAGGCAATAAGTGGAACTAAAGAATAAATGCAATCAAATCAATAGTCTTTGCAATTCTGCCTTCAAAACACACTGTGATATTTTTAGGGCCAAAATATGTGGGAGGGATTGCAGAAGGCAGCAGTAGTGCCAGTAGTTCATCGTCTTCCACAGCATCTCCTCCTCTGTCTCACAATTCAAGATCTCAACTACTTCCTGCACCAACAGCAAGTAAGTGCTTATTATTTTTTCGACTTTTCTATTTTGAATAAGATAAAATTGTGTAAGATTTGATATATTTTTTTTTGCCATTGTTTTTTGTAGTTAAATTCTTTTTTATGTATCTCCATTCTCCATTGCATTATTCTCAAATGTTCTCAATATGTGGTCTTTCCCAACACTTGTGTCATCAAGCTGTTCTATAAAAATAACTAGATTTTCTTTCAAATATATTTCCTTCAACAATTATTTTATGTGTCATGTTTAGCGACGAAAAAGCCAACAAACTAAAGAAAAAGGAATGAAGTCATAGATTTGAACAACTCAGACAAGTTATTTTATTTGAATGAAGTCATTGCAAATGGCAGTGAAGGCATTTCATGCCCCTTAGGGGACTTCCCATTGGTCTATTCAATGGTCCTATTACCCCTAAAAACCAGTCATTTGAAACATGTCCTGAAAAGAACCCAACTTTTGATCAAAGTGACCTGGGTCGTGGGTTACTGAAACTTTGGGGTACTATCATACACAAACCGAAGTTCGAGTGTAGAATGAATTTTTTTAATTTGAATAAGTAGTAAGTAACGCATGGATTCTGTTTTTTTTTGGTACATAAATTTTACATTGTCCAGTATTATGAGTTACTTTTTCTTTCCAGATCGTCCTGAAATGTCAATTTCACCGCTTTCAAATAATGGAGGGAAATCTGCCAGGTGAGTCCCTGTGTGTTTATGAGACATTTTGCCTTTTCTTATGTTTTTTTTTATCATAAACAGTTATGTTGTCTGTATTCACTGATATGTTTAAGAAATAGAGAATTTTTAATTTATCAAAAAGCAGTTTACGAATTGAGTCGTTTATGGTAAATCTAATTCTTTAATTTTCTCATTTTAAGCTCTGTATTATCATCTCCCGCATCACTGGCTACATCAACAACAACAACATCATATATTGACGATGATGATGACGATGAATATGCAACCAGTGGAGACAGCAGTGATCCAAGGAATGATCCTTATTTAAAGGTAAAACTAATGGCATGGAAACATAATTTGTTTAATACCATATACAGATATCTATAACAGTTGTTCTCAAACTTTCGTGATTCGTCTTCCACTTTGAAAATATTAGTCGCCCAAAAATTTGTTTCCTTACAAATTTTTATCATTCACTTATTTTTTACAGTTATACTACTGGCTTCATGACCGAAGTCTATCGCATCTCTATACTCATTTAAAGAAACATACTTTTCAACAGGTATTTACTGTTTTTAACAATGTTTCAATATACAATGAAAGTGATCTTTAATTGTAAATCATACAGTATTCTCTTAACCGTTCCGTGTTATGAGAGATTTCCAACAATCCATAATTGGGCAGCAGAGGTACAATGTTTGCCGTTAGTGACGCTTTATATTTCAAAGGGACTAGGCACATTTTACTGGCTCCTGCTCTTAATCATCTAATTATTTTTTCTCGTTTATAATTTTCTGATACAAAATATAAAACCTATCCATTTTGCCCTATATTTTTTGAAGTAATTAAATAATGATATGAAAAGGTTCAAGTTAAATTTGTGTGATTAAAGTTTATTACCATTTTTTTTTTGCAAGTTCTGTAAACTGAGGAAATCTCAAATTGAATCTATAACCAGTATTGGAACAGAGGAAAAAGCAATTCTCAACCAACATCTTGCTAATATGTAAGTCTAGTTTGTATAGTCTAGCCCAGGGTTTTCCAAACTTTTTGGTTCGTGGACACGTGGACATCAATTTCTGTGCCTAACCAGCGAGGAAGCATAATGTTTCATTACCAACACACAAACGACATTAATGTAATATATGATGTTGCTTTTCACTGCACAATTTATCAATTCTCGGCGTAATTTGTGACAAGCAAACTATTAGGACCGACCCTACGACAAGTCTCGAACTGTAATTTGTCATCATATTGGTAAGACCTGAAAATGCTGCCTCACACTTTAAGTTGTTGCAAAAGGCAATAAAATTTTAATTGGTCAACTATTTGTGGGCCGGTAATTGCTAGAAGTGTTGTTGACAATTAAGCATTCGTTCTTTATAAAAAATATTAGGAAAAGTCATTTTTCAAACTGAAATATTTCTATCATGTGAATTTATAGAAAAATAATTTGGTAATGCAGATTAGTTAAGATGAATGTTGTTTTGATCGTTTTTTTCATTTTTTCCAGTACAAATACTTTGCCGTTGCCAGGATAGTTGAGGTTTCAACCTGAAGTATGCGCACCAAGATGTCGCATAACCTGAACCCTAACCTGGTACACAACCTGAGTTCAGGCTATGCGCCATCTTGGTGCGCATACCTTGGGAGGTCCCTATTTTATTTATATACTTATTTGAATGTTTTGTAGTGAAAACAAAACAAGATAAGATACCTTATCATTTATATTAATAATTCTTGCAGGACTGGCAATAAGAGCGATACTCTGCCACTCGAAATAGATATGGGAATGTTGAGCTTAGCCACAGCATCCTCATCAAATAGTGAGATGAATTTATCTTCTGCCAATACTCTCATCAAATCTGACTATCAAAAGAAGTCTCTTGATATCAAGTCAATATTAGGTCAGTATGGTTACTCTTGTTGAAATTTGGAAATTTAGGATCGGAGAACAATTTTATAAAGAGAAATTTGGTTGAAAATTTCTATTTGATAGTTGCTTTTCTGCTCCTCAAATATATAAACCTACTATATATCCACACATATAAGCCAATATCGCATATAAGCCGATCTCATGAAATCAGCCCTAAAACGACGAATTTATAGAAATCCACCCTCAGCTTGGCAAGTTTTTTTTTGAAGTATTAAACTTGGCTTATATGCGAGAATACACAGTAAATCTGACATGCACTGGACTTGTTCAAATTGATGGGGTGAATTTAGTTTTTTGGGGAGAAATACAGCAATGTTACTTCAGCGTATAATACTTCACTATATTCAGTCTAGTTTCACTGATCTTGTTAAGTCATTTACTATTATTGCAATACATATTTGAGCTTGCACTAATTTTTCAAACCATGCAAAAGCCAAAATACTTGTAGGGCCTGACATCGGCAAAAGATTCTTCAAAAATTTCTTTTTATGCATAGTTAGAGAGGAATAAAGAGATCCAAAGAGAGGGATGTATTTTTGGGATCACTGGCTTAACAGTCGTCACTTTTTTGATCTACCATGATGTGCTAATGGTCTTTTACTCTTTCTTGTCTATTTTTCTCTCTATTTGAATTTCTTTCTAGATGAAATATCGAGAAACAGGTCAGAGGATGAAAAATCCGGATCAACAAGTCATTCTGTTCCTTTTGAAATTCCGAGCTCGAGTAACGACGGAGATCAAGTGGCTGCCAGTAATTCATGTTTCTCTTTCGAATTCGACTCAACCGCTGCAACCGTAGAAACGACACCTCGTTCGTCAAAACCAGCATCTGAAAATGAAGCAGATATCATCACAAAGGATGCTCCGTTTCAATCTCATTTAGGAAATAACCGTCCTATTGAACCAGGAAGGGCGTGGAGTCAAACTGATATTTCTCCAAATGATTGTCCGCAAACATCCAATGCGCAACTGTATTTTACATCAAAGTCCGCTCCTCCTTTTCCACAAATGACCTATTATGCCAAAATCGTCCGTCCGGAAACTTTTCCAATCAACCCAGTTGTGCCAATATTGGGGTGTTATCATCAACCACAGACTGTTACCAGCAGACCATTGCATATACCCCACACTGGTACCACTCCTGTTCCAACACCTGTCCCAGATCCAATTCAAAGTGGCGCAATAACACTACCCCCGTCCACAATGGGAGTAAGACCTCCACAATATGCATATACAGTTTCCACAGGCGTCCCACCTATGACAAGTGAGCCAGCGATAATGTACACAGTGCCTTATTATTCTGTGTATACCATGACATCACCGAACTCTGCAGCACAAAACACATTACAGCCACGAGAGAATGAATCAAATAAACACTTGACATCGTCATCCTCTAGTGATCAGGATTCTGCCCCAAAAGACTTACCACTTATCTCTGCTGAAACTGTGGTGGCAAATCGTCCTGGTGTCGGCCACACTAGTTTTTACTATAATCCCGCCCCGCCTGCTTATATTTCAGGCTCGTTTTCATCTGTACCACCTCAACAGAACCAATTTGATTTTGTTCAAACCAACAATAACATTTTGCAGCAGAATAATAATTATAGTTTGCCAAATGGATATGCAGAACCCAGTCCTAGTGTTCCTCTTAGCCCACCTAGCACATTAAGTGGAAATAGAGGAACACTGCCTGCAGAGTCTAGCACGGATGTACATAAGAAAATTCCGTCGACATCATGTTACAATTGTGGGAGACATGGACATGAAGCTGCTGCATGTACCAAACCTATTGCTGCAGAAGTACTTGGTGAGTTTGTTGGTGTTCAATAATATTGTATTGTTCTGTTTATTACTAAGGATGCAAGGTTTGTTAAATTAGTTAGAATCATATTCGAAACTTGGATATTTCAGAAAACAGAATTCAATAAAACTGCTATTCCCGAAGCATCTTTCCTCGAGTTCTGTACATGAATCATCACAAAAATGTGTAAAGTATCACTATATTTCAGCTCATACTGCTACAAATGTAGGAATATACAGTAGCTTATGTGGCTTATACATCTCTCTATAGTGTTCATATTTTATAGTCAGATAGTATGACAAGACAGTGGTCTGCTATATTTAATGATGGTTGTATCTTGTATGACCTGTCGATAGAGACATGATAATGTCGAGTACCCACTCTCACTCCAGTAAATTTGTACATGATTGCTGTATGACTAGAAAATACAGACTATAGATGAGACTCAATTACCTGCTACCTGCTTTAAATTGTGGGTTTAAATCAGGGTTGTGCAACTTGCGGCGGCGGGCCAAATGGGGGCACACAAGGGAAAAGTGTGCCGCCTTCGGAGACGTGCCAATGCTGAATTGTGTGCAACCCGCGTAACGAGTTTTAATTCAGTTTATTCTGTTACGTGCAAGTGATCCCAATACGTTACAACAGGGGTGCACAACTCAAATGAGGATACGTGCCAAATTTTTCAAAATAATCTTGTCGCGTGCCACGCAAAATTGTGTTATTGTAAATTAACTCCCGTAAAACAAACAAATTTCAATAATAATACATGATAACGAAAAACTGCTGATTTTGATATAAACGCGATATTTTCATGTATATCATAAATATATTTTTTTTTTACCAAACCGTTTGCGTGCCACGTTTGAGCGTATGCCGTGCCAAATTTGGCATGCGTGGCCCGTGTTGAGCACCCCTGCGTTACAATGTCCCAACAGGTATCTTGTGCGAATCGCACAACTCATGTCATAAGATCACTAACCAAAACTTTTGTTCTTGCAACTGCTTTAAAGCCTCTGATAAATTAAGGTGCGGCCCACAGTTTCTCCCACTCATTTGAATGTGGCCCTTTTGTATTAAGGTTGCACACCCCTGGTTAAATTGATTACCCCTACTCTAGTCCATTTGGGTGATAGCTTAGGGCTCCAGCAAACCCATGGGTTTCGGGTAGCAATACATGTTATATATGAACTAGGTAGTTGATAAGGAAAACTCATTCCAATCTCTTGTTTCAGATTTTCAGCTAAAGATGTCACAGCCTTGATAAACGACCTCAAGACGTTTACTAGAACAATTATAAAAAAAAATTAAGATCAAAACTATGTGCCGATGAAAGATTTTACCATTTTAAGTGCCAAAATGTGTAAATATGATCACACTGGTCAGCCTGAAAGTGTTTCTGATAATACACACCATGATACCAGTATATGAATTATATCAACAATAACATAAGCAGGTCATCAAATAAAGAAGCATTTTGTTTTTTCTGCCTCTGACAGAATTTTAGTCCAATTTTATTGTTATGTTCCTATGGTCGTGAGAGTTTCGAACCCGTATTTTTCAGCTTCGTAATGACCAATTTTATTATAACATAATGGACACAAGCCACTGTGCCTTCTTTGCCGCAATGATGCGAATGCCGTTTAATGCTGACTCATTTTACCTGGTTGTCAGCTTTTTAAATTTGAAGAACACTTATTTCCACTATTTGTTTCATGGCGTTCTATTATTTAATGGTTTACTGTTTAGAGAATACAAGGCAGTTTTTTTACTGATATATACAATGTAATTGCCCTGTTGGGTACATAGACGTACAACATTGATACATAGAACCGACTCTCTAGTTCATACTTCCACATTCGGATGGTTGCTAAAACATTTGCCAAACAATTATGATAATTTTGGTGCTGCGAAATGATTTAAAAATTTAGAAACATAATTTTTAAATTTTCAAAAGAAATATTTGGTTATTAGCCAAATGCCAAATGTATACCATTACTCAAACTGTTTTCCTGTTTGTCTGTTTTCATTCTCACAATAACAAATATTGCTGCATACTTTGTTTCGTTAATACTCGTTGCAAGATTACTTAAGGTGTCTTTTTTTTCTTGAGATTTGAATAAAATGCTGAATTGTAATAAAGTATTCAGACTAAATGAAAGCTGAAAGCTATTTACTGAAAAAAAGTGAAAATTTTGTGTTATTTTCCAATCTATTCCTATGCACGAGGAATAAAAGCCATTATTGGGGCTTTGTGCAACAGTTTTATTTTCAGTGATAAAATTTCAGCCTGCTCAGGTATTTGAAAGCTTGGTTAACTATTTCCAACACCTAATAGGATAGACATTCTATGTAAAGACTATGTTTTGTCATTGGAATAAGCTTCCTTTCCATTTCTTATTCCTCAATGCAATTATCTTATTCTCCATATCATTGAATTGAAATTGAAAAAATGCTCTTGGAATTAGTCACATTTTTTAGGAAGGGAAAATATATAACGAATTTTTTTCGTATTTCAAGTTTTAATTTTTTTGAAACAATGGTATTTTGAAGCATCCATGGATTCTAACAAATAGAACTTGATATTTTCTCCATCTCCACTTTTCATGACTTACAAAGCATAATAACAATTAGTTGGATTAAACAAAGTGTTTGAACTGAAACTGTACCTCGATTGTACCACTTGGTGTATTAATAACTAAAGAGTTTCAATTACTATATATAAAATGATTTGACACGTACCACCTAGCTCTCTATCTGCAGCATTCATACATTGTTAGTGCCATAGGTCTGAATATTTTATTTGCTGCTATACCTCTGCAGTCACCTCAGATGCAATTTTGGAATTTGAAAAAGACGAATTTATTTCATCATAACACAATTGATCATTAAGGACAAATGAACAAACATTTCAATAGTATTTACATTGTAGTTTTTCTAATAAATAATTCTAGTGAGTAAAATTTAATTTGTAACAAGCACTGCCTTGCTATTCTTTTGCATGATTACTATTTAGAAGGTGTGTTTCAGAGTCACCACTCACCACTAACAAACTCCTAGAAGCTGATTCAATATTATGTTCCAAAATTGCTTTATCAAACTTTTCATTGAAATTGTGATTTTTTGTATATGGAAATTTGGAAAAGATATTATGGTTGAAATATAGAAAAATTATCCCTGAGCATTTCAATTTTATTATAATTATAGAATTAGAAAAATATTTGTGAAAATGACCTTCGATTTATGGCTCTTATGGTAATAGCTAGCGTAAATACATAAATCAACGTAACGGATTACCATGCAATAGAATCAATATTAATCACCCATTTGGGTAGTAAACAGGTATTGCTGAACTCTTTTCTGTATTATTTTTAGTTTGTTTTTAATATTTTATCTGTATTGACATTTTATTTCACGACAGTAAACGCTGTGTGAAATAAGATTGCTGTCCATGACAATCATCTTTTATGTAATTTCCCCACATTCATGTTAGAGATATTGAGCATTTTTATGATATAAATTTGCAATTATTATCGATTTCCATCATCCATTGTTTGAAAATTCTATTTTGAAATTTTGCTAGTTTCATCAAATTGCGTTATTGGGTGTATGTCTATTTTCTGGTGAACTTGTTTGGTTTTCAATTTCAATGAATATTTAATATACCTTGGTGTTTTTTGTGAAATTATATTTTTTTGAACTTAACATATATTTTTGTTCATTTTTGAAAAACAATAAAAAAAATCTGACTGAACAATTTTGTGACAAAATTCCTCAGGAACGTTTAGGATCATAATATTTTGAGCAATTTTTGACGAAATAAATATTTTTTCGAAATGTTTTAAATTCATTGTTCATTTTTTGTTTACAAATTTTTCTATATTTATTTTATTTGCTATTTTTGTTAGCATGGTGCCACAACATTGACTTAGGTAATATTTTCTGTGTCAATAACGTATCCAATAGCGAAAAATAAGTATTTGTGCCATATCTTGTAATCTTTTCTAATACCACCGCTGCTAATTTGCTTAATTGCAATATAAGTCGAGCATGGAAAAAATTATATTTTGCTACCGATAAAGAAGATAAAAATAATAGTTCTAAATTGTATGTGGATTATGCCTAGGAAAGTGCCTTTTTTCTGCTCGAACCACGCTTAGTACTTTCTATCCAATAAACTGCCGAACTAATATTATAAAGCCCTGGCTCAAAACAATTGAGTTACTCTCAATTTACTTTTTTCTCACTGTGTTTTTGCCATTGAAATGTTCCAAAGTTCCTGTTTTTTACCTACAGTTTTGTTGTATTGATTGACATTACCGTGATTTCTGAGAGTATACAAAGTAGGAGATAACACGCCCATTATAATACAATAATAATTGCCTTTTAATGCAATGCTTGGTATATGGCTTATGCTCTCTATTACACAATGGGCCAATATTACCTGCAGGAGAACAGTATTTATATATCTTTGTCATTTTCCATCAACATTTAAATCAAATTAATTTCGTTAGTGATATTCAGACATAATTAACTTGTGTCTATTGCAGTGGTTTTCAACTGGGCCAGTACAGTCAAGGGTTTGCGTGTTTTCATTAAAATTTATGTTTATTGTTCAAATATAATCAAATACCTATTACTATTAAACATGCTACATATCGAAGATAATTTTTTTCAATATTATCAATCGTTTATACAATTCAACAATAAAAGACAATTAAACTATTGTATTTTAAAAACCACTCGTGCATAGTATGCGATAGACTTGTCTGCAAAAGTTATTTGTTACGTATGTTTCCATATTCTGTAATGAACTTATTTCCCTCCTTCATACGTTTGTAAGATCAGTTGAATTTTGAGAAATCCGTTTTCAATGGTGAACCATTTTTGCTTGGTTCCCACTCTTGATTTTTGCTGAAGGTGCTTTTTATTAGGTGGAGGTAGATTGTATTTATGTGAATTGATATTACAGCAATTATAATACTTGCTACTTGCACCTGACTGCTTTTTTCTTTCTACCTATAGTTAGACGTTTGATTTAACATTTTATTTTTGTTTCTGTTATCTACTTGGAAATATTTGACTTGTTAGCATATTTCTTTTTTTTTCCTGCTTTTGAAACAAACCATTATTTGTTAACAACTGTGATTTTATGACATCACAATACTTCACACTACCTGCTGTACCTGACAAACATTTTCAAATTCACCAAATGGGTGGAGAGCAGGAATCGCCACATGAAACTATGTAAATAATCCTATAATGCCTCTTCTTTCTATTTGATTTTTGCAAAGCTAGTTTAAAACATTCAAATTTGTCATTGTAAGGAGTTAATAAAGCTGAATGTAAAAGGTAACTATGCCCAATTTGAAAAAATTAGTCCAACTCAATGAACAATAATTTCAGAATTACGGAATCTTAAAAGTTCGATATAAGTCCAAAACCATGCAGTCTGTTTAATTTAAGGTTTTGATTTTCGACATATTATAATAATATTACATGTTGAAAGTTTGGAATAAACCGCTGTGCGTTTGCATATTTCATTGGTCTGATATTTTAATATTATCCTTATAAACGCTTTTACTGTTTCATCCATTATAATCCTGTATTAATTTCGTCTTCGGTTTGGCACTGGTACCACATGTTCAACCTGGAGCAATAATTTGTTGTTTTACATAAATTCGGACAAGTGTTTACTATTTTAAAATGGCCACATTTAATTTTCTTCATAATATGCCTTCGCCCAGCTAGTCCGTGAGCCTCACTTGTAAACAAACATTATCGGTTTCGCTGATTCTTGTATTTTCGTTTAGATCTGTTATCATTTTCCCTGTTTGTGGCCACTGCTTTTCAAATAATGTTTTATTTATTGTTTCACTGCTACAAAAGTTGCAAATAAAAAAAAATAAAATGTTTTTAAGAAAGCCGCTTTGGTGGTTGAGTGGAAGCATTGGAAAGTTTTGACAGAGGGGGATTTGACATGGTTCATCCGTGAAAAAACTTGCTCGTATATGTAAGTGCTGTCGAATATTGCGATCATGAAAACTGCCTCTTCTAGCTTTACAGAAAAAAGGCAGTAAAACAGATTGAAATACATAGCAGACGATAAAAATGAAATTTAAATATCTCTCTCAGGCGCCCGCAAAGAGACTTTAGAAAGATTCCGATAGCTCGGTGGTGCTTATCGCGCGTTTAAACGACGAGGAATAATTAATTTTTGTTATTAGAAGTTTCAATAGTGGCTCAGATTTGTGAAAGACATCAGGCTTCGATTAATACCGCACGGGCCACTCAAAAACCTTCGGCGAGCCACGGGTTGGACGACCCTGATTTAAATCATTATTTTTTATTAAAATACCCCTTGCAACGACGTGAAACTACGCCAAAATGTTGCGTTCTGGCAGCTGCATACGCTTCGGGAATCATAATTTCAAAAAAAAATTCTTGCTTCGACTTTCACATTTATCGCCAATTTTGTACATAGTTCTTCTTCATGTACCTAGTCTGTTACAGACTTTGTTAGTTCCCTTGATGAGGTCATTGTTGGAGGATTCTTTCTTCGTTGCGTAATTGTTCAGACTGTCAGTGTATTTTGTAGTTGTCTTGCTCTACTTTTGGTACCGCAAATCTTTCCGCACAATATTTGCTTTTCTATCCCATCGGCTCTGTTTATGTGCCCCAAAAAATGTAGTTGTCTATTCCTGATGGTTTTAATTATGGATCTTTTGTACGCGACCTTTTCCATTATCTCCTTGTTTGGCTTTTTTTCTGTCGTCCAATATAATATTCTCATAATTCTTTTGATATATTACATTTCTTCTGCTTAATCTTCTTTCGAGGTATTTTGTCAGCGTCCAGCATTCACATCCGTACAGGAGGATGAACCACATGCAGGCGTTTAGTGTCTTGGTTTTGGTACTGAGTTTTATATTTCTGTTGATAAATATGGATTTCATCTTGTCAAATGTGTCTTTGGAGATAGCGATTCTCTTTTGGATTTCAGTCTTGCATAGGGCATCCGGAAGAATCCCAAATATTGGAAAGTGCTAACTTGTTTAATTCTTTCTTTGCATAATATGTTACATACTAGAGATGTACCGATGTATCGGTATCGGCAATAACGGCCAATTTTTCGGTATCGGTAGTGTATCGGTATCGGCTAAGTTTAGACTGATATTTCGGATATATTTAGCTTCTCAATATGATTCAGAATGTTTTAAAAAAATAGGTTGGAATACTAATCTTAAAATTATTTTTTGCTTGGATAGATCGTCATCTATGAGCCATGCACGTTCCCACACTCGCTGACCTGTTTTAAGCCATTTACCAGTCAAACTGGTTCAATCAATTTAAATATTTTCGTTGCCGAATTTTTATATTGAAATTTTTAATATTACATGGTAATTATAAAGAAATATATCACTTCTTAATATGTGTTATTTCTCTTTTTTGATCCGAAATAATGTGCACTGTTAATAACGCTCATGTTTTAAACCGTCTGCCCTGCACAATTGAGGTAATACTTACATAGTATCGGAATATCGGTCGCTTTCGAATATCGGCGTATCGGTATCGGCTTTTTTAGCTGATATCGGATCGGTATCGGCGACAAAAGTGGTATCGGTACATCTCTATTACATACAGGCATGTCTGGTTGTTTTGAGATCACCATGCACTCAATCGTCTTTGCATTCAGTTGGAGTCCTTTGTTTTCACTCTCGATTGTGACTGTTGTATGAATATTTTGTAGTTTTTTTTTTCGAGTCGGCAATTAGCACTGTGTCATCCGCGTATCTGAGGTTTATGTTGTGACCACCTACTTTAACACCTTCAAGCTGCTCGATGTTCCGTAGAATCGTTTCGCTGTAGATATTAAAGAGGTCTGGAAAACGAACATAGCCTTGTCTCACACAGCATTTTGTTCATTGATTATTATTTATTTATGTATTCATAGATTGTGTTTTATTGGTTTGAAAAATAAGATATAAACTCCCTCTCACCATCTTCCACTAAGCACATGCTGTTATTTGAACACTTAGGTATATTTGTAGAAAATATTATTAGACGATTAAACTCTGTGAAGATGATCGACGGTCCTTTTGATTCTATATTGTACATTCTATATCGCCATTTATTGATTCCAAATGTATTACTTCCTTTGAGTTCACTTAATGTATTGTTCAGTCATTTTAATTTATGTTGAATTGATATATAACAGAAACTATTTCACAGTCAAAACGCAAAATTTTTGTAACTGTCAGACTGTCCAAACGCAAATACTCTCAACAGAAGATGATTAATAATGTATAAATCCATGTATCTTTCATCATAAAATTCAATTTCATATCATTTTAATGTTGACTGCCGACTTGAACCTCGTCAGTTGATACTAAATTAATATTAAAATATTGATGAAGCATTTATTATTGTGTGTGACAACTTAGAGAACTCACTAAGTGATGGATTCTACGTTTTCAGTAGTTTATGGGTATGGAGGACTTACAATAAAAAAGTAACATGCGATTACATAACCCAACTGTTCGAGATTCAATTCGAAAAAATATTCAATTCGATTGTGAAATCGTCAGCTATTTGAAAATGCCCAGCCCGACTTGTGGTTAATGTTCAACACATTACACAAAAGCTGTAAAAATTTATAGACACTTTTTTATAGACTTCTTCTACTTCGCCGTATATATATGAGATTTTTCCGTAGTATATATCTAATTTAGATTAAATTTTCGTAATTGCTGTCATATCTTATTATGCCTGATTGAGGTATCACTTCATTAAAAAATAACTGATGATGATATTTTTGTATTTATTTCATATTATATTTATTAACCATAAAACGAGAATATCGGTCAGAGACCGAAGACTTATCGATGGAAAGTTAGGGATCCCCAAAACAGCGCTCTTACTCCATAGTGACACCTTGTGTCCCATCACTAATTAGTTGATAACTCGCTAATTATACGACATAATTCGCCCAAAATCAGCAGGCTCCTGGTACGAGATATGATGAATGCACATGCAAAATCTGCAGCAGATCCAATCTCGCTTTCGTGAGATATCGCGTGCATCTAACAGACAGACAAACAGACAAATAGCTATCAACATACTTACCGATTAACCCTGCTAAAACGCTTAAAATCGATAAGTAATAAATTTGTCTTGTCTTGCAAGGTATTCTTTCAGTTCTCTGCATGGCGTTGATATTGTAGATTCTAGTAAAAAGAAAGGATTTATCTTGAATGACTTTAATCGAGAGATGAAAATATATGGAGCTTGGAATAAATCATTGCCCTTCTGCTGCGCCGCCATGAAAATCGAGAGATGAAAATATATGGAGCTTGGAATAAATCATTGCCCTTCTACTGCGCCGCCATGAAAATATGTGAGATCAAATATTGTCATTTATGAATGAGCCTTGATGTTTTCGATTTGACTACTACTAAATAACAAGCCTAAGTGATTCAAGAGTCTTGCTGACACAACTACACAACTATATCTATGATGAACTATGATTTCATGACATCCCTCGATAGTTTTTTTTTTTTGAGCACGAAATGCCAGCATAGGTTCACACATATTCATCTAGAAACAATTTGTTCGTTTGTTTGTTTACATGCTGCCTCACACATCGCACACACACACGCTATTCAGTTCACTATTTTGTTTGTAAATAATTGCCCATAATTTGATTAGACGCCTGAATAATGTCCAACCGTTTATATTCATGTTTATTTGTTTATGTTTGTTGTAATTTGTTTACTTCTTACTTCGGTGAGTGAGCACGTTTAATACGTTATAAACTTATTTTTAGGTTCTGTTCACTTTTCAGATGCTTCGCCATTCTCTTTTTTGTGTATTGTTCTATTTTTTGCGAATGAATCGAAATAAAATCTATCTATTTTTATATTGACACAACAGAACATCGCGACAAGCTTACCCGAATGAAAGCGCGGTTGGTGAGAGGACGGCCATGAGGGTAAGCGAGAGAGTCTCTAGAGCGAGATAAAAGAAGAAATTTAATTTTGCGCGCGTTGATTGATTTTTCGTGTTTCGCACCACAACGATTAGCATAAACGCTCGCTCCATGATCTACGAACTCGCTTGACAAATCATACTTACCTGACGAGGCGGTTAACCGCGATCACGCAGGCGGTTCTGCCTAGGCGAGGCTTGGCCATTGCACTTGGGCCAGGTTGACCCTAGCGATTATCCCAAATGTGGATAACTCGGTCGTGTAATTTCTGTTAGTGGGGACTGCGTTCGCGCTATCCCCTTCCAATTTTAAATATAATTAAACTGTTGCTAGTGCTTCCATAGCTGTAGTCTATTACCAAGAAGTTTTGGAATTTTAAACGAATAGTGATTTAATTAATTAGAATATTGAAGTAGTTTTTCAATCATAAAGTGAAAGTTGCACTTCACACAACACCCTTGGCCTGAAAATGAAGTTTCACGTCGCTTTGATTACGCCACAAAATATCATATTACAAACAAATACGCGAAATTTAGAAAAAAGATGGAAGGCAAACCAATAATAGATATATTTGAATACACACATTACAAACTACGCAGTTTCAAAACATCAACGGATTTTTTGAAATGTCTCCAGAATGCAGACTAACCACCAGATCCAAAACAGCAACGCGGTGTCATTATCAGGGTTTGGTTTGCAATGAAGCAGCAGTAGCTATTAAAAGTTCGATGCCACTTCGATATGCGTTTTATCTCATAAAGACATTCTATTCTCATAGAATTCAGTTTCTAACACTCTGTCACATACTAAATTCACTGAGATCACACAATCGATGAGATTGCTTACCAAATTATCGCCGATGTTTTTTTATTTATTGTGACTTTGTTGACAAATTTTCATTAGGTGACACCCCCCAGTCATATACCGAAAACTATTTTTTTTGATATTTGTTTATGTGTACATAAATTGTTTTCTTGGTTTGACAAAATGAAATAAACTCTCTCTCCCACTGGTATTTTTATTCCCGCAATAGGCTTCATAATGAATAAATCGATCCGAGAGCTGCAGTTCGTGAACCTTTTTTTTTCTACGATACACTTCCATTTTTGAAATGATCATTCGCCGTGCGCATTTAACCATTTATAATATGTTGCGAGCTGTTATAACTCATAAGTCAGTAGCTGCAAACTTACCGGTAATAATCGTTGCGATAATTCGTGACACATTTAGTGATGACGCGTTCGTAATGTAAAGGTCGTTATTATAATTCTATCTTTACCGGTATTTTTCCACAACAGGTTTCAATCGAAATTGTAGATATCGGGAAGTACTATTGCAGTACTGTGGTTGCTATAAGTTTATTTCGACTCCATAATCAGCAATAGACGATAAAAAAATAGATAAAAACAAAAGTAAAAGTAACTGATTATAGAATCGGGAAAGCGAACAAAACCTAGAGTAAGGTTTGAAACGTACAGATTTTAGATGGAAAGGTATTGATAAAAGAAGTAGTACGTGTTCGCTCACCCACCCTTGTTTGGGTCTAGTATAGTACCAAAAGTACTTCCGGTGGTCGTAGCATAACGAATTTTGCATATGTCATTACTAACTCCCACCTGACTATGTCATCCAAAAATTACGCCACTACGACGTCACAGAGCCTGCCAATCTACCATCGTCCGAAATGGCATATGCGCCGACGATACCGTACTCACTAACGCCAGCGGCCTCTCTCATATGGGGATCGATGCGACGAGAAAACGAGAGAATAGCTTGCTCGATTTCGGGTGATCGTCTGTGCGTTTTGGACGACCATCCGTACACTTTGGAGCTGGAGGTATTTATTATGCCACTGTGGCGTCGTAGTGACGTATTTTTTTGGTGACATAGTCAGGTGGGGGTTAGTAATGACGTATGCAAAAATTGTTGAGCCAGGCCAACTAGAAGTGCATGCGGTAATAAACTTTACCAGACCCAATTCACCTTACCTTTGCGCATTATTAACATATAAGATCACAGATGATTTCATGATTTAATCTGAGCCTATGCCAAACGTGCTAATTACAGTCGAGTATTTGTATTTGGTAAAATCATTTTACATAATAGTAATAGTAACCTAATACAGAAAAGCTTCGTTCAATTAAAACAGACATCTGAGATGTCTGTTGAATAACAGTGGAATAACAATAAGGATTTTTTTTTGAAATTGGCGTTAATTTAACAATTTCATATTTCTGTAACTTTACAGCTTTAATCCAAATAAATGTCATAGAAATAAGTGAGTTTTTTGACCTTCCAAGATTTTTCAGAACCCAAATTACCAGACGATAAAATTGCCAGCTCTGTATTGACAGATTGATGTTATCTATTCTACATAGACTACTTTATAATCATGTGCAAATTAATATGTTCCATCTGCAGATTCATAGAGTCAGGCTAATTACTGAATTATTAGATTACTAGTATAGAGTAATTAAATAGTCTACTGTACTAATTGTTTCTATAATCTGTCTTAAAATTCATCATAAATATGGCTAAAGGAATACTTAAAAAAGTGGCTCAAAGACTCATTACAAGTCATTATCGCAAATATCCTAAATCTCGATTAAACTCATCTTTGTCATCAACTGGTCAACAAGGATTTCCTGACCAGAGTGGGTTTCAAACAGCTGCTGTCAGCACAAGTAAGAACTTGGTTTAATTTTAGGAACCTTATGTATTTCATGCATATGTTTTGCAATGATTCTATAACAATTGTTTATATTCTATCTCCACGATCACATATTATTGAGAGTTATTTTACATGAATTTATTATTTCAAATCTTTTCGGTTATTTGATAGAAAAACCAAGAATGAATCTTGAAAACAAAAATAAATTTTTAATTTCCATTTTATTGAAATACTTTGATGAGAAAATCTGCGTAAATACCATTTATTACTTCGTAATTTGTTTTAAATTTTAACATTCACCCTTTTGTCTTGAAATTCTCGATTTGTAATGACAATGGTAATTTAAAATAAGAATTAGATTTGTGATTTTTTTATTCTTTCTCTTCAAAACGGATGTACAATAACCAACTAACTTTTTTTTATTGAAGATCAGGTGGCCAAATTGGAAACCACTGTCTTAGTTGAGCAGCTTTTCATAATAAGGTTGAAACTAAAAGCTATCAATATTTATAAATCGTTTCAGATCAATCATTATGGATGAAACCATCAGAATTAAATTTACTCAAAGACCCAGTAGTGATTGATGAATTGAAAGATGCCGAAGATATTGAGAAGGAATTGTTGTCTGATAATATCGACAGTCAATTACCACGAGTTAATCTAAAGATTGATACTCATGCTTTAATTAAAGCATTAATGGAAAGTGGTAAGAATTTATAACAATCATAAGGACTATGAAAATTATATATCGATGTTCTTATAGCACAGTGGTTTGATTGGCCCGGTGACCGTACATTTGAACCCATGCGTATATCCACGGGTTCAATCTATATGCGGGTGCCAAAACCCATGGGTTAGGGTTAGTATGGGTTTAACTATCCGTGAAACAAAAAAAATTCCATAGGTGCAATAGCATACAGGTGCAATTGTCATGGGTTTAAATGTACGTGGGTTCAAATGTAATGGAACCGATTGGCCCACATAATGATTTAATATGGCCATCGAAAGGAAGTGTGTTTATTTTCTGTTTGCGTTTTAAGACACCATCAATTGTTATGTCATTATCACAGCTTTAAGTATGTGTATATTCGTAACAATTCAATTATGCCTGTCCCGTGAATATCCGCCCGCTCCTAATTTGCCCCCCCCCCCGGTCAATCAACTTCGGGAAACACTTGGTCATCATAATCGTAACATTATCATTGTGTAGGTATATGCCCTGCTAATCAGGATAAATTGATGCTTTTACAACCACTTGGCCACCACACACAAAGTTAAGTTCAATTATCTCATTCACAATTTATTCATAACAATGGAAAAGTATAAAAGTTCATTTTTAAAATATACGGTAACTGAATGGCATGGCATCAATTCAATAAATTTCAAACAAGTCAGGTTCAAAATACCATTAGTAATTTCATAATCTATGTTTAGGTTTCACTATGCAACAAGCTGAAGCATTAACTATGTCTATGGTACAAATTGTTGGAGGGAATTCTGATACTCTGCAATCTTCAATGGTGTCAAAATCACAAGCGGTATGTTCAATCATCCTGTCGGTCCAATGGGTATATAAAGGGTAATGACAGGGATATTCAAAATTCACCCATTATCTGACGTTCCAATGATGATTGATGTGCTTTGACATCATAATTAATATTGTACTAATAGTCATCCCCTCTATCATATCGCTAAGAAACGTTTCAAAGTTTTTGGGCATAACACTGTATAGTAGTTAATTGGGGTGAACTTGTAATATCATCAAGCATTGATTTATTTCTAGTCGAATAAATGACCGAAGTTAAATTTTAGACAATGTGCCAGAAGCCATATCATATAATTACATCTTACATGCTTCTATTTCAGCAACTCACGATACAAAAATTTGCCAGTCAACTTGCAATACTTAGACGAGATATGATGATTATGGAGAAAACTGATTTCACAGAATTGGTCACCAAAATTGAGAGAATAACTTCTGAACTAGAGCAATTGCGACGAACAACTAAGGTTAGTTTGTGAAATTTTTCTTCAAACCTAGCTTTATTATTTCGTCCATCTCCAGATACTCTTTGTCAGATATAATACATCCGTTTGCTTTATTTACAGGATGAGATAACGAAGATTAGCAGTGATCTCACGCTTGACTTCAATCTTGAGAAAGGAAAAGTGAAGGACATGCATCTTGATCATCTTAGGGCGGTTGAAGATAAACATGCGAAGATATTTGAAAAGGTGAGAAAGTAACCCTTGTCCACCATTTTGCTCAGGCGTAATAAATAAAATTGGGTAGGCCGTAGTCCATACTGAACCAGATTATGTCCGATATCAGTGGCTGTCATACCTGGCTGACTTAGTTGTATAAAATAAGCAAAAAAGGCATGACAATTAGTTCACCCATGATTCATTTATTGTGCTCACGAAACACCGCTGTATGGCTTAACAATGTCTAAATTTAAATTGATTATCCATCTCTATTTCAGATCAACAACATTGAAAAAGAGTTACAAAACGTAAGAAGTTATATAAACACAGAGAACGCATCACTGCAGACATTATTTGAACGATACAAATCAGATTCAGTCAAAGTTGCGTTCGGTAAGTCATTGGCGCTTCCGATGTAAAGTATTGTTACCACTACACTTATATAACTAATTTCTCTCATTGCAGGAGCCATTGCAACTTGTATGACAATAGTTCTTGGATTCTACAGAATTTGGTCATGATGTCTTCTTCATTCACCTTCATCTTCTATGGAATTATGATTATATTTGTTTGGTTTTTGGTAGGGCAATCTGTCTCCTGCAACTGAATTTTTCACGATTCGTCTGATGTCACTAGATTATAATGGTGGTGTGTAATAATAAAAATTCAAACAAATATTACGTGAATGAATATACAATACCAAGAATGTACCTGCCATATTTATCCTTTTTCAAATATAAATGTTCGATTTGGCCTTCATGAGTACAAAGATGGCACCACATCTTCTTCAAACTACCTTGAGGATTAGTTATAACCCTCGGCCATTCTGGATTCTCTGTGAAACAGATTACTTAATGACGAAGGTCTGGCGCACTTAGTTTTTCTCTATTAATTATATACTGGGTCTAGCTGATTGATAAGGGCATTAAAGAGACTTTGATAATATAAACAACTTACGTGGTTTCTTTTTCGATAAAACTATGTAGGTGAATGTTTCTTGAACTGCACCTTCTTTACCGTGGAATTTCTGTTTTAAATTGAAAATTTTGAAATCATGTTATTAATTTTGTTTATAATCCCTGATGGTTGAATACAATGTATTATTATTTCTGTGCAAACTATCCCAATGCAAACCACATAACTTGGACTGCGTTAGTTAGAAATGTAGTAAATCTTAGATTTCTTACCTTTGCATACAGTGGCGGAATATATGATTGTGTGAAATTGCATGGATTGCCTTGAAACTTAGGACATGGTTTGCTGTGTGGACACTGTGAAACACAAAACTCGTTCTTATTTTGTTTGTATTGCATGAAAGCGCTTATGATGATTCCTATATTTACCTTTGTAGGCTATTTAATCAAATATTGTGATCAATAATGCTGGCTTCAAACTTAATTTAGACTACCTGTTTAACACAATTTACTATGAAGAATGCTTTATTATAGGAAGAAGTATACTGATACCAAATTCAATATTTGAGCAATTTTTCTATACTTGTGTGAGTACCTTTTTAAGAAATATATCATATCAATGTCTTCAATAATAAATACCAACCGGAGCAAAAATGTGTCCTTTGTTAATTTTACTGTTTGATCTTCGTTTTTTACTCAAATCGGCGCCTTCTATACCCTGCAAGAGAAACCTTGTTAAGATTTTCTTTCGAAGAACCGGAGACTTGAAATTTATTAAAAGTCACTTACATGAGCTATTAAGTTTCTTGCCTCCATAATCATATGATATCCCGGCCTATTACCTTGTTCAATGATTACCTGAAAGAATGTCATGTTTTAGTTTGTTCAATGAAAGACTTGCCCCCTCAATAATACAGAACAGTTTATTTCTGCAAGTAAACATTTGTAAGACGAAGTTACCTCTGATTTGGTTTAGCCTACTCAAAATATTTCCAGGAAAGTGAAGAATAAAGATGTATATTTCAGAATTATCTAATCTAGCAAGGGCCAACAAAAGGTTCATGAGCTGTACATGGATCCACAAATCGACTCGACAAATCAAGGTCATTATATAAACAAAAGGGATTACTTCAATTGTGAGTTTGGTTCTAAAGTGACATATCCATTTTAATAAACATTTTTTACAGAGCGAACCATATCACAGTGATTTTTGGAAAGGATTGTTCAGTAGAGGCCACATAGCACTAAAAAGATATGGAACCAGTAAATAATCAACTTGAGCACTCATAAAAATTTGTCAAAATCTAGAACAAAGATGGGTAGATTTTCATATGTCGTGCTTATTACCAAATACTTGTTGGTCTTCTCCCACAGGATTTTTAAAGTTGTCAGTCTTTCTTTTTCTGAAGGTAATTCACTCAATGTGTATGCGGCTACTACTATGTCATAGGTATGCTGAAGAAGAATAAAAATCATTTGACGATTTTAGTTCATTACCATTCAAATACTTTTGTATAGCACTATGAACAGAGTCGAATTCGATAGGAAAAAGAAAATAGAATATACATTGTCTTTTGAAACAATCCAAGGATAACAAATATTTCTATAAAGAGTGAACAAACAAAAACGGGCACTCCCTACTATGTTTACCAGGTTAAGGTTAGGCCATACTTTAATTCCGATTTTCCTTATTTTAGTTCTGTTACGAGTTTGGGGACTGTTTGTTAGTAAAGTAGACGAACAAAATTAGTCACCTCCATATTGGTACACATACTTCTGGAGCGCCCAAAAATGTATTCAACTATAACAATATAAAATACAAAAAGATTGAGCATTATCACCTTATACGATAGAGGCAACATTGGTCTGATATAAATGCCTGATAGTTCAGCATCATCTCCACCACCAGAGAGTAGAAACTGTGAAGTTTGGTTCATACATTGAGACCAGTCAACGCACATGAAATCTTCAATATCTTTACCGAACACAGAGTTGGCTGCCCTGCAAAATACAATGATATGGTGACTCATTCAGGGTATATTTACTTTGGTAATCCGTGGCAAACTGGAAACTCCAAACATTTATCCTAGAAGAGTGGAAAGCCTATAAGATGATTTAATCATATGAAGAACCATGGGAGCTCTTCCAGTTCCATTGAATGCAAAGTATAGAAATAGTTCACCAGTTGTATGGACTTTTGATATTAGAGGAAGGAGTCTCGCATATAATTCTCCCCATGAGATGTGAACCCCCACATTGTCATCATCTCTAGTCCTAGCACAATCACTGAGCCTCTATCACAGCCATAGAGGTTTGTTTAGAAAATACCTGCTATACAAGTGAATTATTCTGTCCGTTTTGGCATGGTATAGCAACACATCTGTCTGTGTGTGTCTAGAAATCCCTTCCAGAGAAAGTACCTGTCCCTATATGTAAAAGTGATGGAAAAAAGTTGCCTAGACTTACCAGACAGCAGTTCCAGTGCCAGAACCATAATCTAACATGGATTTTGGACGAAAAATTCTATCCCTTCTTTTAATCTAAAATATAGAAAAATTATATTCGTATTATGTATAGATTTTAAGACAATTTAAAAGTTCAATTTTTAAAAATAATAATCTAAACCTACGGTAATTCCTAAAAATACCATATGCTGTGACTAGTATACTTTCTGAATCAATTTAAAAGCAATTTGTTTGTAACTTCAAATCTTTTGTTCTGAGTGCAGTGAAGGAGCAATAGTACATAGAAGCTTGTGAACCACTGGTCTAAATGATAAGACAATCATATCTTAATCCAGAAAACTACAGGTATTCATTATTTTTTTATTAGCTATAATCAGAAAAATATGAACTCAATATTGTTAATCATGTTAAATCTTGAATGCTTTGATTAGATCACAACTGGCATGGCTATGTAGAAATTCCTCCATTAATGCAAATGGAATGTTCTTACTAGTAAAAAGTATAACAATTTTGTGTTCACCTCAATAAGTACTCTTACAGTGGCCGCATATGCAGCTGGTGCTCGTCCTATAAGATATGCAACACAATTCAGTCTGTCATATCTGAAATATAAATTTTACTGTCAGTCTGTTGCAAAGTAAACAACATTTTTAATAGGATGCCCTGTTAAAAGATCATTAATAGAAACAGACAGATACATAGACACAATGTGTTACTTGAAGCTCTCCTACGGCATGTATTGAATCTTTTTATTTAACATCTTTATAAGTATTTTTCCAGAATAAGCCTCTGCGTAGGATAGTTTGAGAGTACCTGGATCTTTTTGGTTCGGCATTACCTCACTTTGGGTGAGATTCTCTTTAAATGAGGTTTTGTATATATATGTAAGCAAAGATTTGGGATGAACGAACTGTATTCTTGTCATTTGGCCTAGACAACACAATTTATTTCACACTGCTCCATTGTAGGCATGAGGTAATTGGGATGTGCCCCATATTCAGGCAAGAGATCGATTCGAATTAGAAAGAAGAATCATAATCTTAACCATTATTGTGATATTATAAATACCAATTATCTTTATTTTTTTGGAATGATGATACATACACAATTTGTCTCCATAGACTCATCCTGAATCTTTTCTTCTCTATATCTATTTTTTCTTCTGCTGTCATTTCATAATTTAGATTTAATATATCTGCAAACAATTGAATAATATACGAGCATCAAGCTTTTATTATTTGTTTTACATATCAGTGTTAATATGAAGAAGCTACTAATGATGTTGGTGTTTTGAAAGATCAGATGTAGCGAATGCTTGAACAATAATAGCTGTGATGATACCTTGATATCATTAGAGATAATCTAAATTACAAAACTATGGATGAAAATATTCAGAACTTTGGACCAGACATTACAAACACCCCATAATGCAATTAAAATTTCCTTCCATGGAACATAAAATCGGATATTTGCTCGTCATTTTTATACGATGGCTTTCGCTTCACACAAGGCCCTGTATAGTCATTCACTGATATTAAGAATATGTATGGAACTTTTTTTGCATTGCCTGCACAATTTGTGACACCCTGGCGAGGGATTTAAACCCAACGATGCCAACAGAGGTAATTCAAGCTGCTTCTACTTCTAGGCCCTTGCAACTGTCTATGATCAGAATCTATTTTATTGGGATGCCACTTTTTGGGCCAAAGTAGGTTTTAAAGAAAGAATTCATATCCGACTAATTTGCTAATTTCTTTCACCCATCATGCAATAATATTACTAAAAATGCCATAAAAAGGAACTGAACAAAAATAATCTTCAGGTATCAAAATAGATATGTAGAAAATATACCTTGCTTTGTTAGTGTCCAATTCTTGTTGGATTTTTTATTTGAATGTTTATCCAATCCTACAGGTAATGGTCGATATTGAAGAACATCGCATAACTTTTTGCAAAGTTCAAATACTTTCTTTTGCGGTTCCAAGTTGTAAAATTCTACAAAAAAAATGAGCTCGAAACAATTAGACAAGTTTAGATAATTTGAATTCACAGAGATGGACAAACTCTTAAATGTTGGAGTGTTAAATATTTGCTCGGTAATAACTGTGTGCACTGTAAAATCAGCCAAGATTATGAGTCCTTACACTCCAAACAAGGCACTGTACAAGAACCCCTGTTGTCTAACAATATGTTACAAGCTTTCATTTCATAACGACCCGAATTTTTCCGTTGGGCATTATCTACACAATTTTGGGTACTCCCGTAGTATATAAACAAGGTAAGGGTTAGGATATTATTTCAGATACAAATACTACGGGAATCACCTAGCTAGTCCCCAAACTCGTAAAAAAATAAAATAGGGAAAATTGAAATAAAATTATGTCCTAACCCTAACTTGGTACACATACTACGTTCCAGTGTCTGCCATCTCGGTTCACATACCTACTTCGGGAGTACCTAATTTTAATCCCCCCCAGGTCGTAAAAATCGGATTTGAACCAAAGATGTGCAACCTGTGATGTCGACATCGTTAAGTCTAATGCTTTGACCACTATCTAGCACTGTAGAATCATGAACGAGGTCATTAACTGAAATCCTCTGATTTGGAATTTTGGACTTTTAATGATGATAATTGAAGACAAAATTTTTGAGTCAGAAACTCACAAGTTGACTTGATATTCTTAATAGGCAATTAATGTAGGCTTGCGTACACAAAGGATTTTGTTACCAAAATGTGATTTTCCAATAGTTTCAGAATTGGCGTCAAATTTTTTGGGGGTTTTGTGTAAATTTTTTTACATACCTGAGGGGCTGGGGCAGATACAAAAGTAACCAATCTAATACAATGTTTGACAAATACTTCTTTTACCTTTCAAATATGCATTAGCAGACTCAACAAAATTATTCGGAAGTCGGACTATCCCCACTCTACATCTCCCAGGATGATAACGCATTCCGCCTTTCCACCACGGAGTCCAGTTCGAATCAAGTACGAATTCTTTAGAAGGGGAAAAAGAAACATCAGATTCGGTATTATTAAAAGTACTCGAATCAGCGTCTACATAGGGTTCATTCTCAGGATTGCACTCGGGAGTAAACTGAGGATTGAGAGAGGACTCAGACTGAGGATAACTTTGTGAGTAATATTTTGAAGCACTCAGCATCTTGCTATGTAAAAAACATCTTGCTCTTATCACAGAACTCAGTGCCATTGGATTTATTATTTACCTAGTGTATCTTCACTGTATATAGCACAAAAAATAGAAGTCAACATGTTGTTAAGTTTTCAATTTTATTTCAAAAATAATATGTACAATTAAATTTCTAGACGCATCAAAGAGAAAAGCACCAAATACGATTAACACATATAAATAAGCAGTATATAGAAGTATATATATATACATATAAAGATTTTTTCAACCAGATTTAATTCAAGTAAATTTTAAAAGGAAGGAAATCATGTAATCAAATAGTACATACATTTAGAAACAAGCTATCTTTTACTGCGATTGTGGGCACGATGGCCCAGCAGCTCAAGCCTTAGACTCTGCTGTGTTGGCATGGCAAATTCAAATCCCATATGAACCCTGCCAACCCAGGGCGTAATTTATTGAGTAGGCAAGGCCGAACTGAAAGAATCAAGTCATTCATAGTAGCTCCCTATATACTATTAAATATCAGGGGATATTTGGGCGCTCCGGAAATATGTGTACCAAGTTGACGCAAACTGAACCCTGACCTGGTACACATACTATGTTCAGGTTGTGCGCCGTCTTGGTACGAATACTTCGGGAGCACCGATATTTGTACAGGACCTTGTTCAATGAAAGAGAGTCGTGCATAAGCATTGAATAGAAAAAAATGACCCTTAACTGAAAAAATGTTTTTGGTCCATTCTATTATAAAGATATAGAGTTATATTTTATCATGTAACTGGATGAAAGTTTAACATTCATAACATACCTACGTTTGAGAAAATATTGATTAAAAATACAGATTTTGGTCAAAATTAGAAATAGCTGTTGTGAATTCGCTTTGTGTTCTCCTGTTAAAATTATATAACCTGTCATAGAAAACCATTTGTTGAATAGAAAAATGGCCAATTATTACATTTCACTCAATCTTTGCTGCTTTCTAAAGCTGCTGATTAAGTCGCATGTTAAGAATGAAAAGAATAAACCTTAAATTGTTATATCTGTATATCATATTATATAGCCGGTTCCAACTTTGATTTACACGAGAAAGCTTAAACAAAAAAAGAAACAAATAGTACTTTAGGTAGCCCATAACAAACAAAGGGTTCAATGGAATCAGTAAAAGAGCATTTTTTCATGTGCCATGTGCTGCACAAAGATTATACAAGTGAAACAGTTTTTTCTTGCAGTCGATGTGAAATAGAGGAAAAAACAAACGAGAATTTCGGTCTTAGACCGAAGACTTATCGATCGAAAGTTAGGGGATCCCCCAAATGAGCACTCTTACTCCATAGTGACACCTTGTGTCCCATCACTAATTAATAACTCGCTAATTATACGACATAATTCGCCCAAAATCAATAGACTTCTGGTCCGAAATAAGATGAATGCACATGCAAAACCTGGAGCAGATTCAATCTCGCTTTCGTGAGATATCGCGTGCATCTAACAGACAGACAGACAAATACCTATCAACATACTTACCGATTAAAATCGATAAGTAACAATGTATCACTTGTAAAGAATACATAGAGATATTTTAAAAAAAAAGGTCAACCAAAAATTCCCTATAGTTGATAATTCTACAAAAAATCACCCAACTAACAGTTAGTTAGAGAGAACATTGAAGTTGAAAAATAAATAATGTTGGAAAAACCAAGGAGAATGTGATCTCATTCCGTTTTCTGTCCATATCTTTATCCTGATGTATTGTAAGTTAATTGATAGTGACAACTGACAATATTTATAATAACACGACACCAGGGTTGAGAGACACAAATCCAATACATTTAAAATTAGTTACTGGGCACGGTGCAGACCTATCTTGTTGTTGAGAAAAAAAGACTTTTCGCTAATGGATTTCAAATTTTCAGTTCTTGAAGATGGGAAGACCCACTATTTATTCAAAAAAATTGCTGTTTTATTTCAACACTTTTTATTCAATCGTGCTTGGCCGCCTCTATCAGGCTTGTCTGCCATTTATTTCAGCGAACTCAGTTCTTTCAGCCTTACAGTACCTATACCTATGGATATAGCAAATCTGTGATTAGATAATTATTCAAAATGATTTCATTTCAAAACTCAGTATTTCCAGCAACAAACTTGGTATATTTATAAAAAAAAATAGGTTTCACTCAATCATTAACAAATTTTGGAAATTGATCAAACTGATGAATTTTTCAGATTTGTTCGATTTCAAAGTTGATATAATAAAGTATATTGTAGTATTCCTTGTAAAACAGCTAAATTTTTTCAGAAAGTAAGCCCAGTATAAATATAAACCAAATGACATCCAAAGATAAATTTCAACAAATGCATTCAAAAATTGATATCCAATGTCTCAAGGTGTAATGGAGTTGGTAAGCAATGCTTAAAATGAGATTTAGGTTCTTTCAAACCTAGTAAATGTAACCCAACATAATATAAATGTGCTAATCATGCTCAGCTTGCCTTGCATTGAGAAAAAGTAATACAAACCATATCAACTCAAAAAAATGAATATTTCAGTATGCACTATAATATATATATAAGAATCGAATATCAAAAATTTCACCGGGATACAAGCGTATCAAGTTTTTAGTGAGTTTGGCTATCAAAAATTAAGTAGCCTATATATACACATATATATCATTTACGGTAATTAATATTGCACGACCCAGACTTTGTGGGATGGCATCAATCGTTCTCCTTGTGAATAAGCGTTATCCACCAACAGATAAAAAAAAATTAAGCAAAATATTTCCAAATGAGAAACATGAAAATTGTTGTAAGTATCATTCCACCGAAAAGAACAAATTTATCCTGAGTCGTTCGTTTTTCAATCAAACGCATGACAGTGTTCGACATTCCAAGAGTGTTGGCGATATTTAGCATTTTGGTTTTGATTCCTTTTAAAGATCCACGCTGGTTTCGTAAATTTTCTATCACGCTACTGCCATGACTTATGAGATCATCCATTCCCTTATGAGCACCCTGTAATTTATGATGGTGATTTAAGCTGGCATCCATCTGTATCGAAGTATCAGCGTCGTTTGTAGTAAATTTAGTTTCCATTAATAATTCTCTTTCTCTTTGCTGCTGATTTCTCACATATCTTCTATGTTGGAAATTACGCAATGCAGATTGTAAATGTTGACAATCATATTTGACTTGATCGACCTTTAACCTCGCATTTTGCCGCCTCGTCGGATGTTCTTTGTTTACCAAAATATCCAGCCTGTCACAATTACCAACAATTTGATCAATTCGAGCTTGTAATTCATTTTCAATGACGTGGATGTCTTCATCTCGTGCCGTTTCTAATCGTCCCATATTTTGTTGGATCTCATGAACCATTTTATTGGTTTGATGATATAGATTCTCCATCTCAAACAAATATAAAATAAATATAGGAGCTAAAATACTGAAAACAGAACAAGATTTCATATATAAGCAAAGAAAGTCAATAAGGCAAATAAACATTTGTCCATTTCTCAAATTTCTGAATTTACTGATTGCAGGATTGCGGTGATGTCTTTTGGGTCTGATACAAAAATAATTCAGCAATTCAACATGTTGATTCAGCTCAGTGAAAACTAGAGCAACTCCTTATTATATCGTAAAGCAAAAAAATGTAATATGAAATTTTCATGTTTTTGAAAAAAAGGGTGATCTGGCGGAATGAAATTCAACGTTTAGTTAAATCATACCCATTCAATTTTAAACTAAGCAGGCCGTGCAAAATAGGGTATCAATAGCCTTCCGTACAAGACAAACTTATCTTTAAAAACTCAAAATTTGGGCTGTATATTTTACATTACATTTTTGTTTTGCGTTATTTACGCTGTCACAGAATTTATTTTCACAATTCATTTTGTTTGCTGTCATCTAAGTACTTACGGCCTGTACTTCGCTAGACCCCATTAATTCGCTACACATTAATTTAAACTCGTGACATAGAATATTAGTGAAAAAATATCAAGCTACTCTCTAAATGGCTTTATAAAGTTCTAAATGGCTTTATAAAGTTAAAGAAAAAATTATGTCCCCAAGCTTTGCAGAGATGAGTTTATTGAAAACTAAACCGAACATGTTTTTGTTATGACTTCAGAACTTAGGTTATAAAACAATGAGCGCTCGGAAAATACGGTTAGTAATAAAGATAAAATATCATCACGCCTATTTGTATATATATAGACGAAAATAATATATATACAATGTAAGTTTAGCATCTAATATAGCAATATCAAACTGTGACTGCCCCCTACGCTAACCAGTAAAAGACAGGCTAGCCGTAAGCGAAGCCCCAGGCTTGACGTGTCCAATATTAATAAATTTAATCTCATTTTACCTCTGCACTCAGAAACTATTCGAGCGTATTGAAATAGGAAAGCACATGTGAGAATATAAAAGAAACATAAAGAAAAACAAAGACGAGAGAGACAAGAATAAAGAGAGAAACGCCATTTTTTTAAAGGGCTAACGAAAGTAAACACCCGTTGAAATTCAAGAACCGACGGGGTCGTTCGGAATATGTTCTTGTGGATTTCTTTTAGCGAACGGTATCTCTGTTCAGTGAGACGATAGGTATTCGTCTATAATTAATGAAAGATGGATCGATTGAGCAAAAAAATATTACAGAAAAATAGGCTTTTATTGGCACGATCACTGGACATCAGCGAACTCTTGCAATATCTGATTCAGGAAGAAATTTTAAGCGATAGAATGGTTGAAAAAATCGAATCGAAATGCACGACTTTTGGTAAAAATGTCGCCTTTTTAAATATATTACCCACGAGAGGACCCCTGGCATTTGAAAAATTAGTAAATGGTTTAAAAGAGACGCAACAGGACTATTTAGCGGAAACTCTGCAGTTTGACGAAGGTCCCCGAGATGAAAACTCGAACCTGCTCGAAGGACGCGACAGGACAGATACGAAATTCCACGCAAAAGAAAATATTTTGACCTCAATGGCAAATCCCATAGACTCTCATGATGGTCCTAGCAATTTGTTGGTCGAAAAGTCCACACTAGAATTCTATCGGGGAAACTACAACCGGGGATATAAGATGACGTCACGACCGAGAGGATATGCGCTTATCATAAATGTGACTGAATTCGACAACGGAGTTGATCTCCCGCAAAGACAAGGAGGAAATTTAGATAAAGAAAATCTTGGATCCGTTTTACATCATTTAGGATTCGAAACACTTCTTGTGGAAAATCGTACTGCCTCAGAGATAAGCAGCTCTCTGGAGACGTTTGCGCGCAATGAAAATCATAAATCACGCGACGCTTGCGTCGTCGCCCTCCTTACCCACGGACAAGAGGGAGTTGTCTATGGCCGCGATGGGAAAACACTAGTGATTGAAGATATAATATCCCTTTTCGACAATGCTAATTGTCCGAATTTACGGAACAAACCTAAAATATTCTTTGTACAAGCGTGCCGAGGGGATCTCTATGACAGGGGAATCGATGAGATCGACGGAGGAGCAAAGATCAGAAAATCTCGGTGCACAACGTCGACGTTTGATTACAGCTTTGACGAACCTCGTCTTCCTACACGATCGGACATGATATTTGGATATGCAACTCAGCGAGGGCAAGCGGCAATGCGCAACACTCATCATGGAAGTTGGTACATCGAAGCACTTGTAAAAGTATTAGCGAAAAACGCCAAGAACCACGATCTTGCAGAAATGCTGACATCGGTAAATAGCGTCATCAAAGGAATGCAGTGTCACTCGCCTGGATCGGACCTTCACAATTGCAAGGAAATGCCCATATTCCACAGCACCTTATGCAAGAAATTGTATTTATTCCCTGGAATATTTCAGAATAAAAAATGAAGATGACGGGTTTTCTGCCACCAATCTATTCCAAAGCTCTGTTCGTAGAAGTGCTCGAACATAAAAGGCAGCACAATGGTTGAACAGATAAAGCCTCTTCGACAAATCCATGAATCAAACTTTTCCTACCTTTTATTCCTCTTGAAGAAACCTTTCTTTCATTTTAACTCATTGTAGAAGATATTGTTCAAACCCCCACTCTAGTATTTAATATATAGCAATGCTTAATTTTAACAAAAATTTTATTTAAAAAAAAAAGTCTATTTTACGAATACAAAACATGTAATCATGAAAAATTCTGTTTTTAATAGCTTACAAAAAGCAGCACTGGAAAAGGTATCTGGTAGGGACACTTATTGAACGATAAATAATTGGGAGGAAATTGGTGGTCACCAAATACCTTGATAACCCAAAATCACTTTGGTAATTTAAGAGCCAAAGTGGCAATCGGCCTCTTGAAAGCAAAAAACGCATCATGCGAACAAGGTGTTTCCCAATGACACCTCAACCTGAATGCAGTTTTTTACTATTATCTATAAATCTTTTGCAATGGTCACATTTTTATTGCTATATCGCTGCTGTATAGAGCTAAATTGATCCTTGTAGCACAAGTATTTCAAACCTCTCTAACAATAATATAATTGTTGAACCCAAAGGCAGATAATTCTCTCCATTGGGCCACACTTAGGACAGAGACATAATCTTCTTCATTCTCAGTTGTATATCATTTTCATCATACTGAAACGTGTCTCTTAAATTTTCAAGAAGTTGATTCTACTTGAGACATATCCACTCCAATTGCTTTCCTTATTCCATCAACATTGCTGACTTGTTCAGGTTGAGTTCGCTCGATCAAATCTGTCAATTCACCTTGTAATTCGGAAGCTGAAAATCAAGTCACTTGATTAGAATATAATATCTTTCCCTATTCCAAATTATTCTATACATCAAAAATATTGGATGCTCCAGAAGTGTGCGTACCAATGTGGAGGTACCGTACCTAATTTTGTTGGCCTATTATACATCATGTTGTGAAAATGAACTGAAACCTATGGGCAAAAGGTATATTCACTTGGCTAACACAGACAGTCCCCAAACTAGAACTAAAAAAAAAATTGAAATAAAATTATGGCCTAACCCTAACCTGGTACACACACTACAAGAGTACCTAATGTGAATCAATCATATTTGGTCTATTTTCGATCGCTGTGGACACATCATGAGACAAGAATACTTAGTATAGTTCTGACTATAAATTTCCTAATCCTTAGCCCACTTAAAGAGAATCATCGATAAAAAAAAACCTAGTTTTTTTTCAAAAGGTTTTAATGAGTTTTTTTTATTTATCACGCTTAATACTAAAAAGTTGGCAAACCTAAGTAAGAGAATGAATGCGTTCAAGAACTAGATGAATCAGTCAATTTGCTAATTAATGTTGTTATTGCAAATATTACATGGTGAAGGTTTTTACTCATGGCCCTCAGAGGTTTCCTAAGTGGGCCAAGTTTGAGAGACCCTAGTGGCAACTTACCTATGGCAGTCTCTTCAACAGTAGGTCCTTTCAAATTGGATTGACCAAGTGGTGGCTTTTCACTCAATCTCTCGTTCTGTTTTTGTTCTAACTTAACAACAAGTTCGCCTGCTTTGTCCAATTTTTCTTGAATGGTGCTGAGCAAATAAAAAACAATCAGATGATTCTAAGGAGTGGAACATTAGTAGTGGCATCTTCAGCTGTTCATATTCAAATGTTTTTCTTGAAATTCATCACAAATTTTGATTTTCACTATTAATCAGAAATTCTAATTAAATATTCACAAATTTGAATCTGGATTTTGGGTTAGTTGTTTAACAGTATTCATTTGTTTAATACTGTTGAACGGTTTAGAAATTTTTGACATTAATAGGATAGTATTTTCATATTTATCCCAGGAAAGAGAAACTCTATAGCAAACCATGGTCTCATGTTTGTTTACCCGTTCACATCAGAGGTGAGAATAATTAACCAATAATTTCAGATGCATGTATAAATATCATAAGGCATAATTCAAACAAACCACAGGCAAAGAGAGACAACTCACAACAACATTATAATTTTCCATTATTCTATTGAGCACTAGTTTTTTATTGCAGAAGATTTAGATAAAAATCTCACCAAGTAGAAGGTTCTTCATTGCCTGCTTCTTTTTTCACTTCTTGAGAAACTGGAAAATATACACAAGTTTTATTGATGCAAATGAACAACCAAAGTAATTTGGACTATCTCTAAGTTTATATTTATATAATTTTTACAAATAGTTTGAAAATGAGTTTAAGCAGGTTATTTTCCCAATGGTTTATCTTATGCAAACCAGACAGCAAAGAAACAAGCAGCATTCTAATCTCACTGACGATGATTGAATCAGAATACCTTACATCAAATTAGTGAATGCAGGATGTCTGTCAGCATGTCACAGTCGGGAACAATGGATTAAACGATCGAGGGTCGTGGATCATGAAAGTTTAAGAACCACGGAGTTAGATAAAACGAGTGCTGGCAGGCAAGGTCGGAAGCACTCACTGTAGATCTCTAATAACGAATTTATAAATACGACAAGAGTATGAAAATGCCATCTCTGAATTCAATGAGAGAATATTATTATAGTGACTCATACTCACACTGTCCTATCTCAACTGCAGCTTGTTTTGCTTTTTCTGCTTCTTCCTAAATTTAGAATACAATTAACAATTTTACTTCAAAAGGTCAAAAAAATTTAGAAATTTTTAAAATTCAAAACATATGCCGAAAATAAACCATAAATCAATATAAACCATGATTTTGCTGGATAATAAATTCAGTCAAAAGATTTGAAAACCGAACGTGCAAAGCAGATTACAAAACTACGAGAATATGGATATCCTTGCCACAATTATACACAAAAAACAACAATTACCGATTTTCGTTTATTATCAATACTTTCAATTGCTCTCTTGTGAGCTCCATGAGTTAAAGTATCTAAAAGATCATCCACCATATTTATCAAGTCACTGTTGGAATCTTTCACAAAATGATGCAAGCTGGAAATATAATTCATTATTCGGTTAAATTCTCCTACCAACTCTACCATCACCCCTAAAAAAACAGGTGAGGTAATTCACAGCAATTTTATTCTGTTTTCTGTTCTGTATTCATCCATACATACAAACAATAGTTTACAATATAAGTGATTTTGGAGTTACCAAACACCTAAAATACTGTTCATATATAATTTTTTACAGAGGCATCCCAAGTCGTCACTCCAAATAAGATGCTACACCCTACACAAGCAAATGCAAATGAATAAACAAAAAAATAGTGGGTGAATAACAATGTTTAAAATACCACAGTTTAAAATGTCTTCAAGCCTTTTTGCACCACAACTGGTCTGAACAACACCCTAGACAGGCTGTCACCAATTCCAAAATTAATTTAAAAATTCAGAAAAGTAAAATAAAACTTATGTATATGTTGAGATATCATTCTTTCTACTGACATATGTGGACAATTCTAGAGCGACGCTTCAGAAGTATGTGTACCAATATGGAGGTAGATAATTTGTTCGCCAACTTTACATCAAGTTGGATAAAGGGACTGAGACCTATGAGTAGGGGGGTATATTCTCTTGGATAACACAGACAGTCCCTGAACTCGTAATAGAACTAAAATAAAGAAAATCGAAACAAAATTATGGCCTACGGGGAGTATCCCCAGAACAACCTCAGGATGTTTAAATAAAATACAAAATAAATAACCAGATCACCTAGAAAATTTGTGATTAAGAATTGAGAATAATATGAAAAAAAGTCAACGAACCTCTTGGCAAATAAATATTCAGTGTCTCCTCCATAAGCAGACAATAATAAATCACTTTCCTCCTGTGTTATATTTGCAACTCTTGAATCGTATGTCGGTGAAAATGATCCAAATGGTCCATAGCTTAAATATGTTACTGAGAATAAAACAAAATTGATTTTTGTTTGAAATTTGGAATAATGTTGTAGAAAGAGAAAAAATAAATAGGATCGAAATGAGGTTTCACTGTCTTATTTCAGTAATAAGCACAGTAATAATAAGAATCCATATTTTAAGTCATTTTGGAATCTAGTTAATATTTAATTTTGTTTTTTCAGTTTGTTTTTTATGTTTTTGGCCTTTGGCATCCTATTGATTTTACTTTTTATTAAGTTCCTTCATGTATCATCAAAACTAACACTTACAAGGAGTTACTCTATTCCTTTTATCTTCTTTAGCTTCAGGTAAGGCATCAAGTCCATTTGCTAATCGTCCAGTCAGTGTACCAAGATCAACAACATTACTTTCTGGGTCTAAAAATAGAAAATTTGTTGTAAATCATGAACTCAGAGGCAATCAGTTATGATCAATTTGAATTGACGACAGAAATCAAACAAAAAATTGGCGTTGAAAAAAATTTTAGAAATAAAATTTCGATTGGATTCTGATATGGTCTAGTTGCCCTTGCCACTTTAAGATATTTGAAATGATATTCTCAAATTGTGACCCTAAGAAACAAAACCCATGATTCTCTTAATTACTTTTACGAAAATGAAGAAAATTTATTCAACATTTGAATATCTGTTTGTGAGGTTATTCCTGATTTTCTGAGTTATTCCTATTCCTGAGCTAGGATAGGATTCACATATTTATCCCGGGGGATGGAAAAACCGATAAGACTGCTTAACCATATGGCGAACCACGGCCTTCGTCCGGTTACCGGTCCATGTCGGGTATGGGATTAGTTATTTGTTTTCGGAAGCATGGACTTGATGGTGGAGGAAGCCGTAACCGATCGTTCACATTTCTACCAACAAATAAAGTATTTACCTGGTAAATCAGGATTTAGAAAATTAAATGTTGTTTTGCCAACTTCATCGATTCTGAGAAATCCCATCTGAAATATTAGAAACCAATAACAGAATTTTACTGTTTCCTAGAAATTGAGTTACGAACTTTGCACAAATAAATAAACACAATTGTACATGGATATATTTATATCAAGATTCCAAATGTTGTCTGATAACCATATGCCAAAAAATCTGCTTCCAGAAAATGAGAGAAACATAGGAAACATATAGGCTATTCTTAATTTTTAAACCTCTGCAACTTTTCATTGGAAATATTTTGGTGAACTTTGCTTCAAACTATAACCAGCTTCAAGAACACTTACATCTTCAGAAAAATTTAAAATAAAAATTTTCACCCTTTTGCTTTAAATCCCTAGCTAATACTCGCCACTGAAGCCATGCCCAAAGGTCAGACTCATCTTGAAAAAATCTTCTAGTAATTTTGAGTAAATCAAATGGGTAAACATATACGCCAAACCATAAATAACAGAAAACTGAATAGACAAGTTCTACCTTAGTTTTTGGACACATTTTATCCAATCTTTCTTTTGCTTCTTTAGCAGCTTTGAGTACATCAGGAGCAACAGTTTCTTCATTATCAGCATCCGTGAAACTTATCGCATCAGGATGTGCTCGGAGATCAAAACTAAAGAAAACAACAAATAATTGAGATCAAGGTCAGGTTATCATTTTATCCTAGGGAATGAAAGCGATAATCTTAATCAGATGGCACACTACAGCCTTCTGTCTGGTTAGCACAAAGTCCTTGTCATGTATGAAAATAGGTAACCAGTTACCGGTGATCATTCTGGATGCGGAGACTTGATGAATAGAAGTTCAGCAATCCTCCCGAACATATTTCCCCGAGGCATATGAACCCAACAACCACCACAAAGCAATAAGTAATGGCTAGCGCATCAATGACTCTTAGTATGATTAGCTGTCCAGTCAATTGACAATTTGGGGGGATGTCAAATCTTCCTTCAAAACAAGGCGTAACTGATATGCATGGCTGCTTTATTCTAGTGTGGAAAGTAAGTATTAGTGCCGTGCAGCATAACCAACGTATTCCACTCTGGGAGTCTGAACCTAAGATCATTATCTGACAATGTTAATATAGACACGCATTGCTTAACAGAAATTACAACAAGGGTGCTTTTCATGGCGCTCCAGAAGTGTGTGTACCAATGTGACGGTAACTAATTTTGTTCGCCTACTTTACAACAAGTTGTGTAAAGGGATGGAAGCCTATGGGCAGGGGTATATTCATTTGGCTAACACAGACAGTCCCCGAACTCGTAATAGAACTAAAATAAGGAATATCGGTATAAAATTATGGCCTAACCCTTACCTGGTACACACACTACAGGAGTGCCTTTGTGAATTAGTTTTGAACTATAAGAATAAACAATGTAAAAAAAATGTTCTCATACTCTGATTCATCCGTGGAATTATCAGCTTTTGCTTGTTTTGTTGATATTTCACCAGGAATTGCTAATTCTGTACCAACTTCAACATCCATATCTGTTACATCAACCACGTTGTCCTCCTGGAAAAGAATTGCAGATATTAATAAGAGATCGCTCAAATTGCTAGGAAAGTAGCACTCTACCAGTCTTTTCTGAACAATACTACAAAAACTTTTTATCCATATATATGTATGAAAATCTACTTTTTAAATAATAATCCGTTTTCGAATATTCATATTCATGCCCCTTAGTTCATACAACTGACACATTCAAGAATAGAATAGGATTTTAATATTTTATGCCAGGGAAGAAAGTGGAAAACCGATAAGACGGCTTAATTCATATGGTAAGCCACTATCCCTCAGTTACCAGTCCATGTGGGGTTTGGGTATAGTCAACCTGTTATTCATTTTAAATGCATGGACTTGATGGTGGAGGAAGTCGTACATGGCCAGTGGTTACATTCACAACCCTATTACAGTCAGGAGTCCAGCAATCCTCTCGCATATATTAATAGCGCACAGGATTTAGAGTAATGGACAGCGTATTCCTAACGCTTAGCACAATGCACTAACCACCGTGACTCCAGAGATGAGTTGGTCAATTTGTATTCCAAAGCAAGAGTATATAATTTATGGTCTCACCTGAGGTATGGGTAACCCCATGATCAATGCACATTCAGCTTTACTTAAATCATGAAGAAAACTGAGACTTCTTTTCATATTGAGTAGTCTTTCCTGAAATCAGAAAATTGGTTTAAATTTTTGTATATAGTTAAATGAAGTGATAATCAGATTATATAGAGCTAGAGTCGACTTAGAGCTCAATCAACACTTTTTTGAAGAGATTTTTCTCAGTACAAGTAATGTTACCTTGCTCATGATTTTTAAACCAGCCGCCAATAATTTCTTTGCACTTTCATAAAATATGGTTTCAGGACGATTGTACGTGCAGCAGTTCTCTATCATCAGTTTGAAGTCATCCTAAATTATAAGTAAAGTGGAAAAGTCAGAGTGGAAGAATTAGCTCAATATACAGATTTGAAGTATTTGAAAAGGCGTCAGAAAATCACCATCGTATTTGCGGATTTGAAGTATTTGAAAAACTCAAAACATATCCTAATTCTGAACACAAGAATAGAGAAAGTAAGTAGATATTCACTGAGTATGAACTTAATCAGCCGAACCATCGGAGCAAATTAACACATACAGTAAGGCGGATGCAGTTGCTCAACGTTAATCAGTGCTCACAACACGAAGAATAATAATGTAATATGATGAGATCTAACAAAGTAGTCCAAAGTGTAACTAACCCTAAAATCATTGACATCATTATATTTATGTTGAATAATTTTCTTCCTAATTGTACTGAAGTCCATAGGTTGTTGAATAAAGTCAGAATATCCTGGTGCTATCATGTCGTTTACTGGCCATGCAAATATTTCATGTGGATCCTTCCTGCAGAATGTTACAATGGTATGTTACAACTTAAAATAAATAAAAAAGGGATGAATTATCCACTATCCGAAATTTCTTTTTTAAAGCGAAACATTACAAGTCCCAAAGTTGATTGATATAATACAGTCATTACAGTGGTTCCCAAAGTTGATTGACCAGGGGCCAAAATGAGAAGAGATATTCACGTGCCAAGAGAGGCAAGCGCCCACATGGGGCCGATTCCGGTATGTGTAATTAAGATATAGCATATGGGTATATTTGAATTGTTGCGAATATACACATGCTTAAACTATGATGATGACGTAACAATTGGGGGTATCTAGAACGCAAAAGAAAAAAAACAAAGTGTTAAACTATTTCACTCAAGTTCGGCGGGCCATATTAAATTGTTTCGCAGGCCGTAATTAGCACTGATATAATAGGATAAAACAAGCAATAAGCATATGAGATCAATCATAAGAAAATTAAAGATTAAATTTAATTGCTCGATAAAATTGATCAAGTTGAATCATTTGCCATTCATTTCAAGTTATTTGACATGAGCAAGAATTTCCTATAAAGCTGATATGTGAATGCATTACCTTTCTAATTGCCTTAGCAAATGTTCCAATAATTTGTCTAAAGATTTTCTCATCAAATCTGAAAAGTAATTTTTACTGGATTTAGAACATATTTGGTAGGTCTACTCGGATTTTGGGATTTAGGAATTTACATATATTTATCCTGAGGGAGAGAAAATCCGATACGACGGCTTAATCATATGGTGAACCACGGCCTCTAATCCAGTTACCAGTCCATGTCTAGATGGGATTAATCAGCCAGTTCTTTTGTTTTCCGAAGCATGAACTTTAATAAGGTGGAGTAAATGATTACATGAACCCAGGGTAACCAGAGGTGCGATGGCAAGAGTATTCCTAACGCTTAGCACGATGCGCCACACTGCCGAGACAATACTATTTAGTTCTTAAACTGCTGAAACTGCTGAGTGCTTACAAAAACTTTTTGTTTCAGAAAAATATATGGTGAATAGATCGATGTGGGCCTACTAAACACCAATTTCACAACTGTTCTGCCAGAGGTAGCAACAATTATTGCCAGTTAAAAGAGAATGAAGAGTGTTCCAGAGCTTCCAAGGAAAATATATGTGTACTGTTATGAAGATACCAAAATATGGAAAATAGATTAAGTTCATGTAGCCTATTTATGTTTTCTAAAGCTTAAGACAAGTTCAAGTTTAATTTATGTGAAAAGTAAACAATCTGGCAAAGCACAAACTTGACAATGAGAAATGAAGTTATACCAGATAATCGCGAGACTCCTTGCTGTTGTAAGGTGGTTCATGTAACATCTTGTCAGTTATGGCATTCTCCACTATCAAGTCAATGCATCCAAAACAAATGACTGGTTAACTATTCTTAATAATGACATGAACTAGTAGCTGGCCAAGAGGCCGTGGTTTTTCATATGAATAATAAGCTATCTATCTCACTTCCCTCTGTGCAAACATGCAAATTCTATCTGTGATAGAACCACCAGGCAACAACACAACAACCAATCATCTATCACACCTATTTAACCAGATACATCAACTTCATGTATAATACTATAATATTTGTATATAATACCTGTAAAAGCCATTGTTTTCTTGATAATAATTTTTGTTGTAGTAGGAGCAGGAGAGAATGAGGTATTGTGAGAAGATTGACTGGTGTTATCAGGAGAGATAGGAGCTGCAGGTGGAACACTTCCTGGAGGTTCGGATCTTGTTTCTGCCTCTGCCAGTAATGACTCTTCATACTCCTTCTTGAATCTCTGCATTCGATAAGGTTGTGATTAGGTAGTGAATGGCTACAAACTTATTCTACACCAGTAATGATTAGCTGTAATCGTTCATGTTGATAAAATTATTTGTGTAAATGTGCTTCATAACACAGCCGGATGGCATATATACAGTATTATTTGGCCTAGTCCAACTCTAAAAGGTATGAATGGTGTTTTACAGTTAATGTTCATGGTAGAGTCATATATTTCATGAAAAAAGAGACTCCAGCCGTGACGCAAAGTGCGAATCGTATAAAGAGCGTGGATTTCAAAATCGTCAGTCACATGTGTGAAATTGTTGACGCGACTCAGACAGGAAATCAATCATTATCAATCCTTTATAATGCCTTATTATTGGTTTAGCCTGTATTTTCAGTCATACATATCATCCCTGGCACTGTGATGTTTTGATAAATATGATTTCGACTGCACCATACTTGGCAGAGGTATCGAGATTTTTTAAACCTGAAAAAAACGTAAAATTAATGGTAATTTTCTTGCGTAGCAGCGCACATTAGAATGTTTATGTCTTTCTACACGCATTTCCGTCGAAAAAAGTAACATTTTTCGCATTGAGGGGAGCGTGTGCACTAATAATTTTGGAATTTTGGCGTAAAATTTTTTTTTTTTAGATGAGTGCGTTTTACATATATTGCTGAATAGAGCTCTATCACACGCTAATAAAAAGCCATGAGTGAAGCTTTAGGGCCTAATGGTTGACAAAAAAATAACCAAAGTAAAATGGCACCAGAACGACCGACTGGGGAAAATGATGATTTACACAAATACGTATTGGGAAATTGGCACAGAAATTTTAATGCTTCCTTTGCAATTGCTGTAATCTCTTTGTGGAGCGAAATCTAAAAATATTCCTTTCCATATTTTTGAAGGTAGTAAAAAGTCGGGTTTTACACTATTTTCACTATATTCCAACAAAAGCTGAACAACATGTAACGATGGTGCGACAATGGCGTTCTTTTCTTGTTAGTTGCATAACAATGACTAAAGTGACGCAACAACCGAAAATAGTTCCGTTTTGTCTATTTATTGCACTGTGACTAAACCTATTTAACGAACTAGCCTACTTGTAGTTTTTTGAAGGAGACACGGTGGTCCAAGAATATTTATAATGACGCATCAACATGCTGAAGCAAGAAATGATTTCCCCTGAAAAAAACAAAACACAGAACCCCTAAGGAACCCTATAAACTCACGGAACCCCACTGCATGTGTTGCGGAACCCTAGGGTTCCGCAGAACCTCTGTTGAAGAGCACTGTTCTAGATATTCATACCAAGATGTCACACAACCTGAAACCTAACCTTGTACATGACCTGAGTTCAGGTTGTGCGCCATCTTGGTGTGCATACTTCAGGAGGTCCCTTGTTTCAAATTAATGGGCTTGATGGTGGAGGAAGTAGTAATCTACCAGCAGATGCATGAACCGCACTGCGGCAGTGAGGAATCCAGCAATCCTATCGCTCATAATGCACAATGCTCGAAACACTAAACTTTCATTTGCCACAAAATAATGAAAGACTTACAAAAAATTAAAGATAAATGATATTCTAATGAACCATGAAATTATGTGTTATATCAAATAACATATAACCTTATATCACAGCTGAAAAAATATTCTTAAGATAAAGTTGACAATCACCTTTTTAATTTTTAAAGTTGTATGTTCATGTTCGTCTGAATTATGTCTTCGTTTTTTCTTTTTCTTTTTGTGAGATTTCTCGTTATCAATTGTATATTCTCCAGTAAATGATGCGGGAGATCCGGCAGCGTAATCAGAATCATAAACACCTTCTCCGCCAAGTTTCAAAACGATCTTTAAATGAGGCTTCTCCTCATCTGAAAAACAAGAAGAGGAGTTTTAGATAATATTGTGATATACATATCTCCAATTTTAATTTTTTTATTCAGATATTTTTTTCCACTGTGCAACAAACATCGTACATATGAACAAAAAAATATTTAAATAAATCTATGGAAAAAAAATTTGTACAATGTTTCAACAGCAATGGAAGAAGGGTTGTGAATAGACTATCAAAGTTATCAGATCAGAGACACCATTTTCCAGCAGAAGATGACGTCAAGCAATTACAAAGGTGGGAGAAAGCATAAGAGGTACTGCGGTTATAAAAAATAGAATCTCGCTGGTTCAACTGAGCTTACTTACAATATGAGAGAAGTCATATCAAAGACACTGAGCAGTGTTTACTGTAGAAACATTCCCCGAAACTATTGCCATTAAATATTCCTGACATATTTAAGCCAGTACAACAAAAACAATTATATGAAGACTAACAAATGAAATAATATGATGAAATAATATGATTAATTTATTTTACTTTCGTCATCATGTCTTCTTTCGGACTTATGCTTCTTGTGTTTCTTTCCCATTGTACGATACGAAGTACTAATTCAACACTAGAGATAATTTTAACTAAAAATCATATTTACGGTAAGTTCGAAATAGGAAATAAAATATAAATAAGTTAATAAAATTCATTGAATAACCAGGTGAATACACAGTATCCAGAATCCACTGATGCAGATATTCACCCCAACAAAAGAAGACAGGATTTTAATGAATGTCTACAATGAATGGAAAGAGACTACAGAAAGCTGATGTGAATTCAGTCTCTAATTCGGTTGCAAGCATGGCTGTGGAGTTGCACATATTCATTGATATTAGTTAGATACAAAGCCACAAGTATAATTTCAGATTTCTAATGGTGATAATCGAAGTGAAAACTTGTAATACAAAGTAATAAAGCATTAGGTTCACTAAGGTAAGTTCTCAAAAGACAATGAAAGAAACCGCTGCCAACAACTCTCGCCAATATTTTCGAAATAACACCTGGAGTTCAAGACCTATGAAATAATCATTACGAAGCAATATTCCAATGATCAGATAGTCTGTAATTTACTGGTAAATGCAAATCGAGTGTCAATCAATCTTTGGTCTTTTTTTTATCTACCAGCCAAAGTATAACAGCAATACTACAGGTAAGGATGTATTAGTGGTTTGTACAAATGAATTATGCACTCACACAACACAATCACTAATATATGCCGTTGTTTATATCAACACAATATGCACTGTATTTTATTTTTCAATAATAATTCTGGCAACAGGGTGAGATTTCCTTTTAAGTCATGCTCAATCTCTATTTAAGATTTCCATAAATGTTTGTATTCATCAACATCAAATTCTTCAGTTTTGGTTTTTGTCTCCACTTCTTCAACAATATTTTGTCGAGCCAGCCAAAGTTTTCTACGTTCCACATCACTAAGTGGAGCAATGTCTATTGGCATTTTTATCATTCGCATTGGTTCAGGATACCGAATTGTGTACGTAGATCCATCCTGTTTTACAACCGTTGTTTTGTACATCCGAGGATATGTTGATCGTTTTTGTTTACTGGCGATACATTTGTTCGAGTTTTGCCTAATGTTGACACAACTGCATTTTATTAATTTATTTTGAAGAGGAAATAATTTTTGAATTAAATTACTCATTTTAATTCTGAAAAAAATATCAAGAAAACCTGAATAACAAACACACATATACAGAAACATCAAAACCGAATAAAACCTAGAAAAATACATCAAGCGACAAAAAAGTACAGCTCTTAATAAATCCTCACAGTGGATCCAAATGTTCAGTCATCCAAGAATTTTGTATAATAATAGGCAGGGTTAGAAATGAACTGAAAATGTAAAAGACAATGGGAGATCTTGTTGATGACACCTGAATGGGGATCATCTTAGATTAGTTGATGAAATGATTTATTAATTTTACAAATAGTTCAAATTCAAGAAGTTCAAGTGTCATGCCAACTACCTCACCAACACGCTCAGAGGCCCAATGATGACTATCTGAGATATTAGAGGCTGATTTTCCATATCCATGTTTGTAACAAAGATGTAAAACGCCTATCTGCATATGCATCTGTCTCATTGATAAAAGCACATAAATATATATAAATGAGTAACGACTTTCTAATCTTTTCCCTTCACAAGCCTATAAAATGTAAAAATCTTGTGTATACATGATTCTACAATAAAACGATATTGAACACAATACGTGATCTAATCCAATTTACAATCCCAAAACAAGAGAAATAAAAATCCATGCTGACATAAATATCTAAGCTTTCATATCACAAAAATGAGTTCCGGTAAAATTAAAATGAAACGAAACCAAACTGCATTAAATGAAATAATCGTTATAAAACAACAACAGTATATGGCTATATGTTTTCCAGTCAAAAATAAACCTTTACTAAAATTCAGGCAAATTTTACCTTCTAATATAAATACATTAGTAAACACTAAACAGTGATATGAATATTAGTACAGACTTTGAATGAACATAGGATGAAAGAGAATAATATGTGTAATAAGAGTATAATAATATTTTATTCGGTAATGAATTTCGAACTCATTCAAAATAATTGTGATAATTTTTGTGAAATTTACCAATTCACTGGTAATTACTAATATTTTTTCACCCAATAACATTCACCAACATTTATGCAAATCTTTTCGAACTGGCAATTTTCCTGACAGAGTTCACTTGAATTGATTATTATGTCAGTCAGTATCTCTATTGACACCTCTGTCACAACTCACAAGGTTAGTTACTAGTAATTCTTCTATCAATACTCTCTGTTTGAGACCCATACTCTGATCAAATTTGCGAGTTCAAACCAAACTTAAAAACTCAAAATATACTTTTCAAGAATTCAGATGATCTTAATAATTTTGTTCAAAAATTTTCTGTTTCACAGTGCTACAAAATAGATCCTTGTGGATTTTTAGAAATCGAAAAATCACATTCTAGAATTCAAAAACTTTGACATGGACATGGCTATTGAAAAGTGAATATTTGGCAATATTTACAGCAATAATGCATAGATTAAATAATGTTTTATTAAATTAATTACATCATAATTCTAATCTTTCAAATTCGAAAAAAAAAATCACATTTTCAACTTTCTTTCTCTATATAAGTAAGAATCATAGTAAAAAACTGCAATAGACAATGAACCAAGAAATATAGAAAAAGCATTTGGAGCTGAGAAAGATAATTCTTGTAGAATGCCATTAGCCAGAGGCGCTCCAAACCTGGCCACAGATAACACTGATGATCCAAGGCCTTGTATGTGTCCAATATCACAACTTTCTGAATATTTCACAGTCAAAACCACACCACAAACTCGAAGTACTGAGGTACCCATAGTAAGGGTTGTCATGGCTACTAGAATCACAGATATTTTCGAAGAAATTAAAAATAGAATAAAAGATAGCAAAACTAAACAACTTGCATGCATTTGCAATTTCTCTTCATGGCCTTTGTAATATGCTAAATTCGACACAGTGCCAACTAAAAACCCAAAAAATAACCCAAGAAACCCATTATACGAGACAATATATCCAACTGTAGTTGAGGCTAAATCAGGGTGATAATGGGTTAACCATAAAACAAACGTTGAACGAAACATCAAAACTGGCAAGGCAAGCAAAAAACGAGAAGCAAAAACCCCTCTCTGGAAGCGTTTGAGGTCATCAGTTATATTTTCTACATTTGCTGTGTTTTCGGTAACACCGTTTTCGTGATTAAATCCATTTTTGTGTGATTTTTGTGTTGGCATGGGTTTATATAACTCATGATTAGGATAAAATCTTAAAATTGACACAACTAAAAAATTTAATAAAAAAAGAGAAGCACAAATCATATAACTAATGTAGAGTCCATAGGTATGGCCAAAATTCGCAACCAAATGTCCGTGAACAGTGGGTCCAATAATAAATCCAATGCTTGCAATTGCATTAAAACTTCCTATTGCCTGATTTTTGTTATGACCGGACTCTTCAATTAAGCAACATCTGCATAAATCTTGTGTGTGCTTAAAAATACCAGGAATTATCCTTAGCAATGCCAAGCTGACCAATGATGAAACAAAAAATCCAGAAAAGAGATATCCAGTAGAAGAAATTATTAGGCAAGCTGAAATGGCATTTAAACGTCCTCTGGAATCGCTCCATTTTCCAACCAAAGGACTTGAAAACAGTTGTAGTGCTCCGTAAATAGATGTTATGGCCCCTGTCAGGGTCGAAGAAGCTCCAAACGATTTTATATGAACAGGAAAGGCTGGAACGACTAGACTTATGGCAAGCATGTCTAAAAACCCAATCAAATATAGAAGGAAATGCCGAGCCTGTAGGTTTCTATTTTTCTTCGTCATAATACAGTAATATTATGGTATGTTTTGGTCTTAAATAATCTCTTATCTCGACAGTGCAATAATCTAACATGAAAACATCAGGAAGCATGCCGAAACTAATCTTTAAATTGCCAAGGAAGAGAATACGACAGTTACCTACTTTCCAGCATAACGCATTAGAGCGCCATATGGATGTTTCAAAAAACGAAAATGTTCATATCTACGCAAGTTGGCGCAAGGCATCAATAAAAAAATGCACGCGATTTGACTGAATTTTCGAACCAAATGCTTAGGGCCGTAGTTTCGCTTGGGATTATTTAATTCTTTTTGTGAATAGTTTTCTAACTGCAGAACCATCGTTTTATAGGAGTGAAATTATATGGAGGCCATGTGAAATTCACTGCCTCATTGTGTTGATAGTGTTACGGTTATATATATATATATGCTGATAATATATCCGATGTCAGATCTTCACTTTTGTTAGATCACGGTACCGGTACCGTGCAAGATTAAAGATTATACAATACAATTTTATTTTGATCTTTCGTCTACAACGTGACAACACAGAACACAAAATAAAAGCACAGACAAGGGCGACGAAAAGATCGGGAAATTGGCGAAACCTCGAGAAAGGTTTATAGCAAACGCTGCAAGCGTTTGTGCCCTTTACCCACACTCACACATATTCATTTAAATTGCTCATAAGTCTGTAAGTGAGCGTGCGCTTTGTTCACGACGGGGATATCGCTCATGTCAGCGTGTGTGTGTACTCCTCACACGGAGATACTTACAGAGTTGAATAAGTCATTTAATGCAGCAATGTCTGTTTTCCCCATTTTGCCATCAATATTGTGATGCTTTGTGGAAGTTTGAATCGATCTTATTTAGGTACCTATTGCAGTATTGTTCTGCGAATTAACTTCCTGAAACAGTAAATACACATACAGACACACATAGCTGACATAGAGCTATTGATCACCTTCAGACCTTACACAATGTTTAAGAAATACGGTATATTTGATTTCTTTTTCTCAACTTTTAGCCCATAACGTAAAATTAGGATATAAAACAATGGCAGGAAATCCAGCTAGATCTGCACAACTCTCTCACACAACGCAAAATCTACTAAAATCATACAAAAGCAGATTACAGGATGACATCCGAACCATGTATGAGAACTTCAACGAAATTATACGATCTGCAAAAATAACAACAGATGAAAAACAACTCGTACAAAAAGAATCGCAAGGCTATTTTGACGTTTACCAAATGAAAGTACGAGCTGCAAATATTGTTCGCGCAGGAGAATCATTACTAAAACTCATATCGGATCTCAAAACTTTTGTCATTTTGAACGATTTCCCAAGTATAAATGAACAATTAAATCAGCAGAATCAAGCATTGAAAAACACTGGTGATCTTTTACAACAGAAGATTATTGAAATGAGAGATGAATTTTCTTCTGCTATGATAGATCTTGAAAATGAATATTATAATTCATTAAGAATTCCAGTCCGTAAACCCACAAATCACAGCTCTTCTATGCAATAATTTTAAATACAAGATTTCCCCATTTGAGACCTCATCCTAGAATGGGAAATTTTATAACTGTCTTAGGATAAGGTAAGAGGCAGCTCAATCATATAGGAAATCACAGCCTCTTGTGTTATATACATGCCTAGGTTAAATATGAGAAACTAATACATCGTTTCAAATACCAAGATGGTGGAGGAAGTTGTAATCCGCCAGCATTATGTAAACAACTTTGTAGCAGTCAGGGTGACCAGCAATCTTCTCACATAATTATCCCGACAGGATTAAATATTAACACTTTCATCCCATATAGTGCCATCTTATCTCTGAAATATTTAAATTTCTTGCATGTTTATTCTTACAGTGCCTCTGTTAATTTTTTGTGAATTGAGTTATGAATGGTAACTCACTTTTATTCATATTTCTACTTGAATCAAATGAATTGTCTTTGTATTGAGAGACTCAGAGTTGAGGTTCCTAACATAGTATAAGCCTCATTTCTGGATTATTTTGTATGTTTCTTTTTTGTTCATTATTGATTTGATTTTTGTATGAGTTACGGTATATTTTTATTTTTGAGAAAATTTGTTTTTCATACTGGTATTTGGTTAAGGCTGTTCTGTGTGTATTCTGATTTTGAACCATTCAAAAAAAATTGACTTAGTAGCAAAATTTGGTATCGTGCTCTCCTCAAAATTTTCTGACATGTTTCTTAGGTTAGAATAATTCAAAACTTAGGACAATTAACCTGGGGTAAACAGAATCAAACGAAGAAATAAATGTAATGGTGAAGAAATAACGTAGTAGCACCATAAATTTGAGTATAAAAACATTGGCTTTGGAGAGCATTTTCGTTTAAATTTGAAAATTATGACTCCGTTGAAATTCACAATAAGACTCCCTATTCCTAAAACAGCAAAAACACTAGGCCCTAACTCCACAGCCCTGCTTTGTTATCTCGAGTACTAGTGCTTAATACAAACTTATCAGGCAATTTTTCTATTTTTTTTTAATTCCATTTCTCACAGACTTTATAACAAAATGAATCAATATTTACTTAACGGACTCAATGAAGAAATTCCTGAATCTTTGAAAACATTGTCATTGGAAGTTGTGAAATATGAAATTTTTATTTTGCAAGAAAGTGATGAAACATCGTCAGAAGAACTTGAAGATTATAGAATAAAATGTTTAGCCTTGGTTACAAGTTTGACAAGTCAATATATTTGGAATAACGAAGGATTTAATTTGAGTATTGGGCAGATAGGTAAGACCTTTTTTATTGAGGTTTAATTCACTCATCATATTTACAGGCATTCCACTCCACTATAATTACAGTTTAACTTTCTTTTTTTATCATTTGCTTATTACTTTTTTATTATCATTGTTGTAAACTGCTTATCTGAGGAGTCTCACAAAAACGAAACATTACAGATTAAATTATGTGAAAGTTCGATGCAAGACTATTAAACCAGGAATGGGGTTGTCATTTTACCATTATGACATTTACAATTGCTATTCCAGGTTGAAAAAGATTCGTGACTCGGTCTCCCAACTCTGATTTGTAGAAAAATCTGATTTCTACTCTGAAAAATTTTGGCGTTGCTTTATTTATCATCATTAAAATTCTGCCACTCTGAGTCAATTTTGGAAAATTCAAAATTTTGACTGTGATTCCGGGGAGTTGGAAAATACGACTACCCACTCCCTTATTTGTTCAAAAAATGTAAAACTGTGTGAAAAATTCCATTATTCATTCAGTGGTAGTTGTCCTAAAAAAGGAAATCAATTTAGTCCGGTTTGTCATTCATACTATCACTACAACATTAAAAATGTTATCACAAGCAATTAGAGGCGCAGTTCTTACCACTTCATGGTAGCTCCTGCCACGAACGAACCGCGGCAGCTCTTGCCATGGTTTTATAGCGCTATTCAGTAATCAGTATTAATGGTATATCCACAAATTAATGTACCAGATTTTAATTGATCATGTGGAATTATATCTACTTAAACCCTAACCCTAACCCCAAATCAATCTAAACTGTATCCATAAGAAAAACGTTCCAACTTACCCAATATTTGTCACGGCCCACCTGCCTCGGTTACGGCAGCAAAATTTTACCTGCCATTGGTTTTCAATTTGCTGCCGCGGTAACGGCAGCTCGACATTGGTTTGTGGCAGCTGAAAAGTCAGTTGCCATGAGTTTGGCCGTAGCGGCCATGGTATGGAAATACCGCTATGGTTTTGCGGCAGCTGCAGATGCCACAGAATACTTAAAACTGCACTTGAGCAATTAGATGTAAATTCCAACAATCTTGTGTCTCATTTTCAGATGGAATCAAATGTCTTCATGGTGAAACTGACTTTGGTGACTTCATAGAAGATGAATGGTTGATCGTTTGGATCTTGTTCAAAATTACTGAAACTTTTCCGAAGTTGGCTGCAAGGTTTGTGAATTGTCATATTTAGTCCTCATAATAATTAACCCAAGTCAAGCTGACCAAGTCTTCCTAACATTAGGGGGGTTGGCTGCCTGGCAGACCATTTTTGTTGAAGCCGGAGTTACCAGAAATTTTAGTGGATTCAATTCCTAACTTCCTAATTATTAGTTTATGATTTAATAATACTTATTTTTAAATACCATATTTATAATTATTTGATACCTCATACAAATAGTAAAATCGATCCTTTCTAGCTTATAATTTAATAATTAAAAAGTTTCAAGTTGAATTTGTATTTTTTAAAGATTAATTTTGATATTTGAAACCTTCTATCATATCATAGTTTTTGTTTCAAATTCACAAAACTGCATTTGGACTTGTTATACCAAAAAACGTCAATGGAGCCGAAGCAAAAAAAAGGAAGGTTCGAGTTTGCGAGCCATTGTGAATTCAAACCAGCTTTCTCCAGCCTTAAATTCTTAACCCTGTTTATTTACAATTCACTTTATTAGTCAACTTTCTTCGAACTCTTTTATAGGATTCGAGACACTGATGGAGAGTTTCTATTAATTGAAGCTGCAGACTACTTACCAAAATGGTTGAATATAGATACTTCAAAGAATAGAGTGAGTAGAAATAAAGAGTCCTCTTTCTCAAAATGCACTATTAACAACAAATAGCCATATTAGTTCATGGAAATAGCCTTTTGTTTGTTTGCATATTATACTAGTTCCGATTTTGATTCTACAATGCGCCTATTTTGCAAAATATCGATATTATGTTCCAAGTCTCTCATTATATTCTCAACGATATTTCAGGTCTTCATACACGGCTGTCATATGCACATTGTTCCTCAACCGAAGTCTCCGGGTGAGATTGCAAAACTTCCCGTTGGGCAACCCACACTCAAACAGTCTTTATTTGCAATTTGTAAACATCCTGGATTAACGAAAGCTAATTTGAAAATATCTGAAACAATACACAAACGAATTGAAAGGTATGGGTGAAAAAGTAGATTTTTTTTGTTATTATGATATTTACCATTCCTAATTAATTGTAAGTTCCTAAAAGGTGGCACCCAGATCCAGTGTCAAAACTGTTGCCAACCCAGATTTTCCCCCATTTTACTGACCTTCGAATAGGAAACAAACATTTCAACAGACTGACCCAAAATTTACTTTGTGGTATTCGCTATCGCCAAGAGCAAGAAATTATTCTTTTTTTCAGTGAATGGATAAATAATTTGCACATAAGCTATTCAAATTTAAATAAAAATACCTGGAAATGAGCAGAATTATTATTAAAATTACAGACATATTGTTTATCCATATAACATAATGTTTACAGGTTTCCTCACAAAGCAAAACAATATATACAAAATGTCAATGTATTCATACCGGAAAGAATTGTTAAAATTCTCGATCATGAACCGAACTTAATATCTGCCGCTGTCCGGGCTTTCTACTACAGAGATCCGATTGATTTGAGATCTTGTCGTGTATTCAAACATTTTTTACCAGATACAAGAGTGTGGAGTCAGGTATGATTTTGTTTGTCTTTTTTGTGGAATTTTTCTACTTCCTTGACATAAATTACTGGTACATAGACGAATGCCAAAATTGAATTAAACTTGCTTTTTATGAATTATCGTAAATGTAAGGTGAAATATTCTAAATGATGATTACATTAAAGTTGAAAAATTAAAAATATGGTCTTTCGTCATTTTTTCAAAAGCCTTTGCAAGTTTCACCCTAACGATTCACACACCCTAACCAGGTACACATACTGCGTTCCGGTTGTGCGCCATCTTGGTGCACATATTTCGTTTAAAGCCCATTTAGTAAGTACTTATCTCAGTAGTGTCTTAGTCATGGGGTATCTGTCATATCCGTAATAGAAAATTCATATTTTCATTCATTAGTCTTTCAAGCTCTGTTTTTCAACGATGAGACCTGAAGCATGTCTCACTTGTAAAACACCAAACTACTGGTTACTAGTGTGGTAAATTGCACATCTCCCTCATTTGCTCACTTCTTCAAATCCATATGTTTGCTTGAGAATTTGTGAAAGTTTGTGATAGTAGTAATAGCATGATCTAATAAAATTCAAATCACATTAGTTTACTTTCTATTTTTAGGAACTTAAGGATATTCTGATCTTTTTATTATGTGTTCGATAGAGAACTCTTTTATTTTTCATTCAAGCTTTGTTTACCTCATTCTTTAGATTCCAATGAATCGATGCAGTTACGCCCAACTTATGCAACAATTATTTTATGCTGATAAACGCAGTGGATATTTTGTTCCTAAAAATGTTGGATGTGATTTTAAGGGCATGGATCTTGGTTCCAAAATAGCTCATGGTTTTGAGATATTGTGTGGGAATTGCTCAAATGAGGATCAAAATATTGATACTAATTTTAATGAATTAGGATTTCAGAAATATATTGAAGCATTAAAAAAACGTGACTATTTTGATGGCGAAATTGAAGGCTCAAAACGCTACAAAGAACTTTTTTCAAATGCAAAAATTTATTTCACAAACTTTTCAAATTCTGAAAACCCAAATGACAGTATATATACGTCTTTGGGTAAAAAAATCCTGAACATAGAACATGATGTCTCAAGCGAAGAAGTAAAAACAAATAAGTTCCGCATTTCTTCCGCAAGAACAGAACTTCCACAAGAAGACAGTGATGAGTGGATGTATCTTGATGATGAAAAAATGGATGATGTTTTGTCAGAAATGAGTAGGGGATTTCAAAAATTAGGACGCAGAAACTTGGGGCGAAAAAATGGAGAAGAGATGGAGTTGAATGACCTATGCGAACAGATGCAGAATTTTGTGCATAGTTTTTCTGGTTATGAAGGTGTCGAATGCCCATCGAACTCTGACACTGTAAAATTTGATGCCACAAATTTTGAGGCTGCGTTAAAAAGACTTGCCGATCAACGTGACAATGGCGAAAGTCTGGATTCTTCTAGCGATGACTTTTTATCCAGCGAGGAAGAGGATGACAGCGCTCAATCAGACCATGGAGAAAACTTGGAGGAAGAAAAAGAAATCCAGGATGCAATGCTGCAAATGGATAATGAACTAGCTTCAACTAATGTTGGAAAGAGTTTTGTCAGAGAAGATCGAACAATTGACAAATCAGACGAAACGTCAAAGAATGATGAACTTGCACCTGTAAATATAGACCTAAATTTAGTTGAAAATTTCTTGAAAAGTTTTGAAGGCGAAACTGAGCTTACTGGCCCAACATCAACTTTACTTCAATCGATGGGTTTGAATGTTAATGTGAGTGATTGATAGATATTTTGTTTTATCACTGCCATGGTACAACTACTGCACTCTGACGAAAATTCAGTAAAGTTAGCAAAACATCCAATTAGGGTGTGCCGTCTCATTTTGTGCCCTGGCATGGAAGTGAAAAAACATGGAGCAATTCTCAAATTAGTCTTGAAGGATTATGTGAGTACGCATGCCTGTGTCATACACACAGGATCAATGGAAATACAAATGATACAGTATCAACTCTGTATCATACTGTTTTACTCTTAACTAAACCCAAACAAACTGTAAAATAGCAACCATATTCAAAATAAATTAAGAAGGCAGCTGCATAATCGATGAGCCATTAGGACGGCATGTTAGTAATCGAGGTTAGGTATACTCTATGCCAGTGTTTTCCAAACTTTTTCCATCACAGCTTACTAGACGCAGCCAAATTCTTTCGCGACCTTCAGGAACTAAAATAAACCTTCATATATGGTTTATGGAAGAATGAATGATTGGGCTTCGTCCTTTCCGTATTGCCACTCAGTTCAGTTAGCGTTAGCTTTTCAATGTTTGGTGAGATATGATGGTTTGATTTCAACCACTAAAAGTTGTTAAAAATTGACAATTATCAAATACTTGTTTACAGAATGGAACGTAGCTTTATTTATTTTATTAAATTCAGTGTTGAATTAATTAATATCATTGGTGTGCTGAAAAATGCAACAGTTTATTTCCTGTTAATCAGAAGAAAAAACTTTAAATTTTTCGAAGGTAATAATTAATATCTTCGTCTAATAAGTCCGGCGGACAATCAAAAACAGCAAAATAATTTTCGAAATCGGTCAGAAACACCGGGCGTCCATTAGCTAAAAATTCATTTGTTAAAAACGGATACTGATTGTTTTAGGCCGAGGATTTAATAATAATGATACAATATTAAAAAATTATATAAACAAAAAAACGTTAAGGTACCTATATCCAACAACTTTTGTCATGAAGTCCATTCATTTCACGTAAAAGTTATCTATTATTATTGATATATATTTGAAATACCGATGTATACCTGAAACGTAATTTATAACAAATTTACCTTGTGAGCGTCAATTTTCATTCTCACTTGAGGATAGAATTTCTGTAATTTCGATGCAGTCGATAATAAAGCACTTGATGCCAATAGCACAAGAAAGAACAAAATTAAAACCATATTGGTATAAAATCTTCTTCGTACTGGTACTTTGTACACTTTTATTCTGTAGTGGTATAAGTGAGAATCAGCGTTTTCTATTTTTCTACGCCTTACTTAACATCTAAAAAAAGTTAATTAACTTTGGAAAATACATAATTTCCTGTTTTCATATCTTTACGAACACTAATACCTAATTCAACTAGATCGGCTATAAACTTCGAAGAAATAATAAAACGAACAAAACACGCTCATACGCATCGTACCTACTCACACAGCTAGGATGCAAATGCAGAGTTCATTGACTTTAGTGTCTGAGGTGCTCCAATACGTAATTCTTTGTGGTACAATATCTTCGGAAGTGGTGCCTAAGAGGCATAGTTTTATGTTTTCTCGGGGCCTAACCTGGTACACGCCCTACTAGGGGGCCGAATAAGCTATTGGGAGATATAATTCTTTTTCAGTGTAATTTGAAATTATCGTGGGTCTTTGTAATTATCTTCTACTTTTTTTAACTTACTAATGTTTTAATCATCTTGCCTACTTTCGTACTATTAAAGAATGTGGTGATAATTAACAAAATTTCTTGTGAATCTGTTAGTTTATTGATATATACATGTATATATAGATGGATTGGTACTAGTAAAAATTGAACCCCGTTTTTAATGTAATTAAGTTGGATCTGCAAAAACTCAAAAGTTTCGTCTCCATATTGTTATGTTTTATTTACGCTTGACTCCAGTTTGTTTCCGAACACGTTGAAGCTTGAAAGTTGGCTGATATTCCGACGTCATGAAGAACATTGATGAATGCCGCAACCTGTGACAAAGTAGGATTCGGACTGGGAAAATATCCCCAGATCATTCGATGTGCTGAAATATTTAAAAGATGGTATAAGTTAAGTTAATAAAAGATGGTACAGTTATTTTGTATATACCTATTCACAGACAAATTATTTTAATGCTATAAGCTAATATTTTATACCTTCATCAGCTAATAAGTTCGGCGGGCAGTCGAAAACGGCAAAATAATTTTCATAATCTGTCAGAAACGTGGGGTATCCCTCTGCTAAATACTCTTCTGTGAAAAACGATAAACTGTATATTGCAGGTCAGTCATTTGAAAGAATGTATAATATATGATTAATAAAAAAAATACGATAACTTACCGATATCCAACAATATTTTGTCATGGAGTCCATTCATTTCACGATTAATCGCGGGTTGATCATTTTCTACAAAGAAGAAGAGATTCGCATCATATGCGTATCCGTTGAGGGGTCATGCAACATTTTTTAAATGCTAGTTTGCGACGTTTGTTCTATTCTTGAACGATTTACTAAAACTGGATGTAATCTAGATTGCTATCAATAATCCTTTCACCAAATGAACCAAGATAGATGAGAATATGCAGTTATATAAATTGGATTTGAAACTTCGACACCTAAGTAAGTCCGAAGTGAGATTCTTTAGTACAGGGGTCACCAACGCGTTGCCCGCGGGCACCAAGTCGCCCGCAAAGACCACATGAGTCGCCCACATGACTGTTCCAAAATAAGCATAACAACGGCGCTTATAAGTAAGCTACATCAATTAATTTTTGTCATGCTATTCTTGTATAAATCGCACTTATGTCTGTATGTGGGAACTGACACTATGTTAATTGTTATTTTAACGATCCCAAATATGACATCACAGATGTCACCTTCCACTAACCCGCGTTTTTTCTTGTCCGTTGATTTGTGAAGCAGACATAATACAGTTATTGATTTCAAAGAAAAATGACAGAAAACCTACCATCTCACGATGAGTAGGGGATGGATTTCCCCTTACCACCTTGCGTATGTCTAATTTGCGGGGCGATTATAGTAACGACAAAGCGGAAAGATATTTCACATCTTGTCACTATCCATTGGTCAGCGCAGTAAGGGAGAAAAAGCTCGCCTTTTAAATCAAACAGAAATTACATTTTACCAGACCAGTGTTTGGTTCAAGCTATCTTGGTGAATCAACATTTTTTGACATGAAATTCACCAGGAACTAAACACGAAACACGCCTCACTGCTAATGAAAATCTGCAAGACTCGCTCTGAGTTACAGTGTCAAGTTACACGCCGGAGTATAACACACTGGTGGAGAAGCATTAGACCACATTTGTTTGATTTTAGTTTTCTCCTTGTTGAAAACAAGATATTCATAATTAGTTAAATGTGTTTGTATATTCAACATTTAACAGTACAACTGTTAAGTGCATTTTTATCTTAGGCTTATGTAGGGTGTTCGTAAAAACGCAGGTACATTGTGAACTTGTGGTGTAGTTTCCGAGGATATTATTATAGTGATCATTTTGAAAAACGATCAGTTTGAAAATGGAAGTTCTATGGATAGTGATTAATTTGCTACGTTGTGATAATCGTTTGATTTCCTGAAGAATTCCAAGGTTTATCAGTGTTTTTACTTGAGTAAATAGCAGTAATTATCAATAATTGAAGCTTGATCGAGCAAATTGACTTTTTTGGAAGTTTGCATTGAACTGGTAGCCCTCGGCTCAATCTGTACCAAGAAAGTAGCCCTCGGCTTCGAAAAGGTTGGTGACCCCTGCTTTAGTATATTGTTAGATATCAGTGGCTGCCTCTATCTGGCTTTGTTCGGGGCAAAAGCCCTCTCCCCCCAAAATATATATATAAATAAAATTTTGCGCTGGCCTTGGTTGGCTCAATGTGTAAATATATAACGTCACATTGAAACGATACAATAGCACAGTCTTACACAATTTGCGATTTAATGCAAACTAACATACCATTATCTGATTTGGTCAAATAATAAATTCCGTTCTCACGTAAGCTAAAGCAAAGCCCAAGCTGAACAAATCTAGAAAGAACGACGACATTATCAAATTATAAGTTTATATTTACCAACAATAACATGATTATATATATAGTTTAGAATTTAGATATTTCATTGAGTTTTGATGTACATCATCAATTATATTATTTATTTTAAATCTGAAATGAAATGTGAAAACAGCAATTTTTTTAAGAATCAATCAATAAGACCGTTTTACCTGACACCTCGTTCTTTCACGAGCACCCCAAACCCGGATTCTGTAGCAGTAAAGTTGGTTAATCTAGCGCAAGGGATTATGGAGGCTACAGCATCATTTGTCTGTAGTCCGGTATACCACGTGGTTTTAGAAAGCTTCAAATAAGAAAAGATTAATTTAAATTAAATTAAATGACACGAAATAGATCTATGAATCGTTGTTGTTGTTCTTCTTCTTGTTGATGTTATATTTGTGATGTGAAAATTTCGCTTTTCCCATTAATTACTAAATCAAATAGTGAATATTTCCAGCGTTTAAAAAATTGTTGTTGTCAAAAATTTCTGTGGACTTTATGGGATTCGTATTTTACTTTGAAGTTTTGTATGTTGACGTCATCAACATTGAAAATTGCGCAAAGTTTGGCGGTTCCACGATCGTGAATCAGCGATATTGAGCTTAGCAAGTTCGGGAGTTTTTCGAAAATGCAGGCTACCCATAGCAAAACATATCACAGTTGTAACTCATTTGCTATATCGTTTCACATTGAGACAGGTCGACGCATGAATCATCATCGCTACAGGAACTGGAAAAGCGAGGACAGTTTGTGTACCGCCACTAAGAAGTCACGGTAGCAGCTCATTTAGGATATATATAGTTTTGTGGGTAAAAAAATCGTTTTGGTACTCGTGTACATGTATTTGAGCATTACTTTCATGTTCTTGATTAATTGTTGTGAGTGCAGTGCATTGGCGATTGCTTTAAAATGTGCTATTCCGTTGTCCTGGCCTACATTGTTTATTACAAACAATATTCGAAATATCAAGTATTGTTGCTAGGTTGGTAGTATTGCGAGTGATAGTTTGTCACTCACAGCGAAACAAAGATTCTGATTTGAAATTTAGAGACATAATAGGTATATATAGTAAAAAGAGTTGGCAGTTTTTAATCAAACTATCGTATAACTGAAATACCTATTCATACCACAAACGTTATTTATAACAAATTTACCTTGTGAGCGTTTCCATCCTCACTTGAGGATAGCATTTCTGTAATTCCGATGCTGTCGATAATAAAGCACTTGATGCCAATAGCACGAGAAAATACAAACTTAAAACCATAATGGTTATTATAGAATCTTCTTTGTAGCGGTACTTCGTACACTTTTAGTCTTTAGTAAAAGTATATATAAGTAAAAATCAGCGTGTTCTATTTTCTACATCTTACTTCAAAACTAAAATAAGGTGATTGACTTTGGAAAAGCTAAATACATCAAAACGTATTTGCATATCTTTAGGAAACCATACGTAATTTAACTAAATCTGCCATGAAATTTGGAGAAATAGTAAAACCAACAAAACACATTTGAATACATCGTACCTCTTCACCCAGCCATGATGCAATTGCAAATGCAAAGTTTATTGATTTCAGCGTCTAAAGTACTCCAATGTGTAGTAGTTGTTCGTGATACGTTTCCAATGCCCTATGAGGTAGCGTCTAACTCTAAGATGTACGGTTTCTCATGTCACAACAAAAGTATATGGCAGAGTTGCCCGCTTGAGCAATGAAGTCAAATTGAATTTTACTCTACATTACATTTGGTATTGAAGGCAATATTAATATCATTTTTACAAATTTGTTGTTATACGAATATTGTCTCATCTCTTGACCAAACCCGGATTTGACTATCATAGTATTCAAATATTTTTTAAATAGCACACTTCCGGCAATTTATAGAAAACGATTAAGGTTAATGTTGCCCGTATATAAATATTCAATTTTGTTACGTAATATATCATTATATGGCAGTGGTTCTCAACCGGGGGCCGATGGCCCCCTAAGGGGGCCACGAAGCAGTTCAAGAGGATCCACGACACAAGACCAATAATAGATCATAAAGCAACTTAGTTTGCATACTTTTATTTTAAAATAAAATCTCCCGTTCAGGCGTTCACCGCAGTTTCATTACATGAATAGGTTATTTGCGATTTCAGGGTGAATTCACTTTCCCGTACGTGAATTGTTTCAACATATTGACCACAATACGAAAATGGAACGACAGTCGCATTGGCGTTGGCTTCACCAATGTAAATTGAGATGACAGAGTGAATGTAGCTATGAAGTGGCATTTCGTATTCTTAGTGCAGCGGTACGACTTAACCGGAATACCGGTAGGTGCTCGCCACTAATACAGTCTAGTAATACTGTAATAATTAGTTCAGAAGATCCAATGTGCTGCAAAGACACACAAATAGGTTCGAAGTTCACGATGCAAACGAAGAGACTTTATTAAAATAGTGTAAAATCCACGCTTAAAGCAGATAAAATAAGAGCGACAAAATACGGTCCTTACCCAAAGCGTATATATAATACGCTTCTCGACCTCACCTAAATGCCAAATTTGTTTATATTCCCTTGTGATTTTATGTTGGGTTTTTATTCAAACTAAAAATCTTTTTTTTTTTCTTCTCCTTGTTCGGATATTCGCTTCTAAAATAAATATTAAAAAAATGTGAATTTGTAAAAAGATGTGAAAATTATACTCTCTTTTACAGAATTTTAAACAAATCAAGTTAAATCAGCCAGGGAAACAAGCAGACAGAAGATACTTCAGCAAAACGCAAATTGAAAA